ATGTGCTTAGGAAATCTAAGCATAAGCTATGTTGCTTCTTCCTCTGGGATTTATGATCTATTCTAGAAAGACAAGACTAAAATAAGTGAAGGTGCAGTGAACAATGCATCACCAAATGATGGTCTGAATGGGCCACATAGTTCAAGGGCGTCATGTTAGAAATCTAATGTAATCTCTATAAACATATTACAGGAGAAAAATCACTTGATCATCAGATGGGGAAACAGCATGATAAAATTCAACAGTCAATCACAACAAAAACTCTTAAACTAGAAATAGAAGAGAATTTCCTTAATGTTAGGAAATATCAGAAACACAAACAATCGTATTAAAACCTGAGAAGCATTTCCACTAAAAGCAGAAGAAAAAACTAGGATATCTGCTCTGCCATTGGAAGTCCTAACTCGAGACAAGACAGAGAGAGACAAAAATTGGAAAAGAGCACGAAACTGTCATTTTTGCCTTCACTGAAGATATGACTGCCTTCACAGTATTGCATTCATTGATTTACTTCCTTTTTAAAATTTTTTTTAAAGTTTATTTATTTAATCTCTATGCCCCATGTGGAACTCAAACTCATGACCCCAAGATCAAGAGCCACACACTCCTCTGACGGAGCCAGCCAGGTGCCCCAATTTTTTTTTTTAATTAAAAAAAATTTTTTTAAGTAAACTCTATACCCAATGTGGGGCTCAAACTCACAACCCAGAGATCAAGAGTCACATGTTCTACCCACTGAGCCAGCCAGGCACCCTGTCAGTGATTCACTTCCAAGAGAATCTGCAAATTATGGGAGCTAAAAGATAGCTAAGACTGCTAGATACAAAAATCAATACACCAAACTTAGCATTTCTATACATCAGCAATGAATCTGAAAATGTAATTTTTAAAAAGGACGCCACTCACAACAACTAAAAAGCACCTGGAAATATAAATATAAAAAACAAAGTGAAAGACTATTACTGAGAAGATAGTAAAACATTGATGAAAGACATTTAAGATGTAAATTAACAGGGAGAAAGATAACAGTGATCCATGAGCTTTCTTTATGAAAAGTTTATGGAAAAAGATGGGAGTTGAGAATAGCTGGGGAGGCAAAAAAAAAAAAAAAAAGAGGACAAAGGGAAAACCAGATGGGAAGGTCTAAAGGCAGGAAGGTCCATAGGTGGTCCAGGTCCATAGGTGGTCCAGATCGGTAGGATAGCCTAGTCAATCTAAAACAGAGGAGGTATGTTGAAAGGCAGTAGTAAGGGAAAATGGAGTCAGATGAGCAAATCTTGAAAATCTGATGTGCAAGTCGTTACTATCTGATGTGCAGGGACATAAAGACCACTGACAGTTTCTGATTATGTGAATAAGACAATTAATACTGGATGGTTACTCTGGCAGCTGCAAGAGTGGACAGAACACCAAGGGCGTCAAGGGAAACCTAGAACTAGAGAAGACAGCCTTACTTTTCTATGGCTGATCAGACTGGAGCAGGAGTGCCATGTTTCAAAAAAAAAGAAAGACTGAAAAACTAGAATATTCAGGGAATAGGCTAACCAGCATGAACCTGAAACCATAAAGAATGGACGGAATGGACGGAAGAATCAGAGATGTTTCGTCTAAAGAAAAGACTAGAGGGGGTCAGGGAGATAGAGAGAGGTACCAAGATAATGCTCTTCAAATATGTAAAGGATTGTCACGTGGATTAGAACTGCTCTTTAGGGGTGGCCTGGGTGGCTCAGTTGTTAAGCATGTCTTTGGCTCAGGTCATGATCCCAGGGTCCTGGGATCGAGCCCCCGCATCGGGCTCCCTGCTCAGTGGGAAGCCTGCTTCTCCCTCTCCCACTCCTCCTACTTGTGTTCCCTCTCTCACTGTGTGTCTCTCTGTCAAATAAATAAATAAAATCTTAAAAAAAAAAAAAAACTGCTCTTTAACACCAAGAACTAGTTAGGGAGACACTGACCAAAAATGATATAGATCATCTGAGAAAGTAGAGAGCCTATTTTAATGGGAGGTGATGAAACATAAACCGGAGACCCCCTTAGTAGTGGAAACTGACGTGTCAGCATGTTAGCTGAACTCCAGAACCTAAAACAACTCTTCCAATTCAAAACCCACATTCCTATACCAGCTAAGCTGGTGTAGCTAGTGCAACGGTGGAGTAAAAGACCCTACTCTACAAACCTGGCAGTAGGAACATAAAGATGGAACTTTCATAAGTTGAGTAATGAAGACCCCATGGCTTAACACAAGAGCTAACATTCAGAGTGCTGTGTGCAAGATAGCGTTCTCTTTTTCATGAATTAATTTCAAAGCCTTATAAGCAGGCTTTTAAGCAGGTACTATTATTGCCCAGTTTATGTTGGGGAAACTGAGGCACAGAGCAGCTAAGTAACTTGCCCAAGAGCACGCAGGGAAATATATGTGCTAGGCATAGCAGCTAAATGATATGGAGAATGAAGGAGAGAAATAAATCAAGGATCATGTCAGTATTTCAAATTTGAGACAGCCAGGACTGGAGAACAGAGAAAGAAGTTAGGTGTGAGGCGTGCGTTGCAGGGTGGGGAACAGAAGAGGTAATGGGTCCAGACGTGTTGGATCTGAGATAGAGGGGATGACGAGAGATGTTCAGGGGACAAGAGAGGACAGCCAACTGGAACTCAGAAAAAGGGACGCAAGGTAGTCTTGGAAGCAGCAGCAGAGGAGAAAGGTGACAGCATGGCAAGGAACACAGTCCCCGAGGGTGGGTTTGAAGAAAAGAGCTGAGTGTCAAGGACTATGCCCTGAGAAAAACCTAGTAACCAAAAGAAGGGAAAAGCAGCCAGCACCAACAGGCGCGATTAGATAGGGCCCCTTCCCAGCTGCCGCACCAAGATACTTATCCCCTCAGCCCTTGGAGGGGCCAGCACCCGAGCCAGTCACCTTCACGGGTTCTTCTGTAAAGATAAATCCATGTGTGTTATGTTAAAGAATGTCAGAAAATACAGACACAAACGATCCAAAAGCCAAGGGAGGAGGGATTAAGGAGGTCGTGCTTAAGGGTACCAAGAGCAATAGCTGGTGCCAGTAACGGTCTGACAGGCAGTGTGCACAGAGCTCCCATCCTGTCAGGCTTCCCCTCAAAAGCTTCCAAAGTTTCCTTAAAACAACTGTAGCGAAACCTTAAGGAAGCCTCTGCAGTAAAAGCAAAGGGCAGCAGGACCACAGGAACAAGTTTCTGAGACCGGGATGATGGGCAAATATTTTAATCCACAGAGATATGAACAATGAAAGCAATAGATAAGCAACCTTAAATCTTAAAAAAAAAAAAAAAGCAACCTTAGATCTTAAAAAAAAGAAAAAATTGATCAACGTCCTCTCAGTCTGTCCATGAGCTACAGCTGTATTAGGCTCAATGCTATCATCTTACACTTTGGGGCTGATGGGTTTTTTTGTTTTTGTTTTATTTATTTATTTATTTGACACAGCGAGAGAGGGAACACAAGCAGGGGGAGTGGGAGAGGGGAGGGGCAGGCTTCCCACCGCGCAGGAGCCCGATGCGGGGCTCGATCCCAGGACCCTGGGATCATGACCTGAACTGAAGGCAGACGCTTAACGACTGAGCCAGCCAGGCGCCCCCAGGCTGATACTGGTTTTTTTTTTTTAATTTTATTCTTATGTTAATCCCCATACATTACATCATTAGTTTTAGATGAAATGTTCCATGATTCATTGTTTGTGCACAACACCCAGTGCTCCATGCAGAACGTGCCCTCCTCAATACCCACCACCAGGCTAACCCATCCTCCCACCCCCCTCCCCTCTAGAACCCTCAGTTTGTTTCTCAGAGTCCATCGTCTCTCATGGTTCGTCTCCCCCTCCGATTTCCCCCGCTTCATTCTTCCCCTCCCGCTACCTGCTGCTTCTTCTTCTTTTTTATTTTTTCTTAACATATATTGCATTATCAGGCTGATACTGTTTTTAACCTGAGTGTTTCCTACAACTAAAAGGCAGTAATTATTTCTATTGACTCCTAGGTAGGACACTGGAGAAAACTTCCAGAGGCAAAGGAACAGCCCTGTCTTTGTCGGGCAATTTATGTCAAGGATACCTCTTTCCTCCTAAGGATTTAAAAAATCAATTACCACCTCAAAAAAGACAAAGGGGGCACTTTAAAAAATTCTCTTTGATAAAGTAGGTAACATTCCGGAGGGCATCTCCTCCCCGGAGCACTCCCTTTGGCCACCTGGAAGATAACTGGAACGGTCACCTGCCTCTTAATCAGAAGGAAGTGCGGAAGGCACAAACACTTGGAAGAAAGAACGACTCGGACTTGGAAAAGTCTGGCGAGGCCTCCGGGAACCTTCACCAGGCACCCTTTGGAATACACTCGGCTGTGCCAGAAAGCCAGTTTTTAACCGAAATAAAGAGCCATGGGACAAATTTATTTACTCACAGTAACACTCATTTCCCCCCAGAATGAGCCCCCTGGAGGAGCTCCGTGCACACCGGGGTCTGACTCACGCCAGCAACCAGCCATCCTCAAAGTCTGGAAGCTATAAAAGGCCTGACGAGGGCTCCCCGAAGCCTCCAACTCTGCCCTGGTGCGTCCGCGCCTCGCGAGGTGGCTCACTAACTTAGAGTTCGCTGCCGGCCCTCCCGGCCCTGCCACGTCCCAGAAAACCTACAGCAGGGCCGGGTGGGGTGTGGGGGCAGAAGAGGGGAGCCTACAAGCCATTGGGGGCCCCTACAGCCTTAACACGAGGCTCACCCAGTGCCCGCCAGGACGGCACAGAAGCGGCTGTGAAAATGCCCGCTGACACCTCCAGGTCTGAGGGGCTCGGACGACTGCACCAGTAATGGCCACGGGGCTTGGGCCCGGCAGACACCAAACCCCGCAGCCCACCCCGACAGGCGACGAGCGGGCGCCGCGGGGATCCGCACACACGCCCAGAGCCCCCGAAACCCGGCCCTAGGCCGGCTGGACAGGCCTCGGACCCACCCCCGGCCCCTCCTGGGCAGCTCCCCTCACCAGGAACTGGAGCATGGCGTCGGCGCGGAGGGCGCGGAGGGCGCGGAGGGCGCGGAGGGCGCGGAGGGCGCGGAGGGCGCGGAGGGCGCGGAGGGCGCGGAGGGCGCGGAGGGCGCGGAGGGCGCGGAGGGCGGCGGCAGCTCGGTGGGCAGGTCCGAGCCTGCCTCCCCCCGAGCGAGGGGCGGAACCCTCCGTGGGCTTCCGGGTCACGCCCGGCCCCGCCCCGCCCGCGCCTCCCTCCTCGCCTCGCCTCGCTCGCCCCGAGCCGCTCGCGGCGCTCCGCCGCCCACTGGCGGAGCGCCCCGGAATTACCGCCTGGACCGGGGAGAAGGCCCGCGCCCAGGGCAGCCTCAAGCCCCAGGCAGGTCTGGCTGGACAGATTTGATCATTCAGAATCCAGGACGCCAGTCTCCAAATCCCGCTTCTGTAAACCTGGGTCGGGCGGGGGCTCTAGATTACTACCAGCGCCCCAGCGATTCTGATGCAGAGCCAGACTTAGGACTCCCTCACCTAGAAGGTCTGCAGGAGGCAGCGGATCCCGTACCTACGTGCAAAGCAGAATCATCCGTGGCGCTTTTGCAACATAATCTACCCAGATCCCACGCAGAATCTGTGGGAGGTGAGGAGAGCTGTACGTTTCAAAAGTGCCACAGGTGTGCTATGTAACCTACAATGAGCACTTTTGATAGAGGCTAGGTACTTAAGTGGTTAAGCTAGAGGCCTTTGGAGTCTCTGGCACAGCCGCGTCCAATTCATGACTGCCTTCACTTCCTGGCTACTTAACCTCTCTCAAGTTCGCTTTCCTTCTCTGTAAATGGGGCTAATTCCAGCTCCCCGTTGAACTGTTATGTGAATCAAATGAGACGTGAGGGATCAATAAATGCTTGTCATGTGTCTGGGGTGGACAGTGAGCTCTAGAAGACCTCTCCTCATCCTGTCTCCACACAGAGCTACCCAATCATACTATGGGCCACCTCCTGCTCCTGGTCTTCAAAACCTTGAACCACCTCCATTAACACACGCTTCCAAAAGCAAGACCACTTTGCTCTCTGCCTTCTGAATTCACCCATTATCTGTTATATTAAGTAGAACTCTAGTTCCAAACCATAAAAACCAAATCATAATAGCTTAAACCGTATGGGAGTGTGTTATGGAGATAAGGTGGACAACGATGGGGAATGGGAAAGGTGTCCAGAATTAAGCAGCATTTTCTCTCCATTTCTGCTTTTCTCCATACATCTGCTTCATTGTCCTCTCATTTTGACTTTTGTTTTTTTCTGCCTTCCAGAATATGACCATTGTTACTGGAGTTTACTCATTAAATGATCCAACGATAGAAAAACTGGATCACTCTTTCCCTACCATTTTCAAATACCTGGGAAAGGAATGCTGTTGGTCAAGTTAGTGTTGGGTGCTCTCTCATCAGTTATAACCAGAGGAGTGGGATCTCTTTGAACTAAAGTGACTGCCAAGAGAGAGATGCTGGTAGATGGCTATAACACACTTCAATTTCCAACATATCTAGATTAAAACAAGACTCAGGCAAATCTTGACCAGTGCTCCTTCAATTCTAATGTGCATTCAAATCACCTGGAAATCTTGTTAAACTGCAGATTCTGATTCAGTACATCAGAGTTGGGCCAGACATGCATTTCGACCTAGCTCCCAAGTGATGCTGCTACCAGTGGCCTCCGAAACATTTTGAGCTGCAAGACACCACACTGTGAGCTCCACGAAGATGAGGATTTCATTCCGTTCATGACTCCATCCTCAGTGCCCATCAAGTGCTTGGCACAGGCTCTGAACACAGGATTTATTGAAGATCCTTGCATAAAACCTTATCCCCTTCTCACAGATAAATCCTGAAAGGAAGCCTTTTCCTCTAAGGTCTTTTCAAAGGTTCTTTCTCTTATACCCCCAAATAACCACAAGGAGAGGGGGGGAAAGGGCAGAATTCTTTTTGCTACTTTGAGATTATTACTTAAATGTCCTCTGATGAAAACACTTCAAGATTCATGCCTTCCCTTTATCCCTTCATGATCCCTTCATCTACTGACTTCCCAGGTGGTCCCCTCATTCACCAAAGGCTTTAGCATCTAACAGCCTTCCTTTCAGCCTTGCCAAGCTATCATGATCATGGGTGACATCCAAGGCCACATATACTTGTATTTTCCAGACTCCTTACCTCCAGTGACTTTCATCCTCACACCACTTCAGCAATCTACCGCCATGTTCATAACCCATACTTTATTATCTACTGGACCTGCTCCACCTTTGAATTATTATAGTCACAAATCTTATTTCCTATTTTACCAATTCTTTGATCTTAGCCAGATCTCCAGTCTCAGCTGTTCCATATTCTTACAAGCTGTGAGCTCCCCTCTGGCTTCACTCCCTTTCTAGCTGGTCTAAACCTCAAGAAATCTGAACTTCAATCTATGGAGACAACCAAGATGCCCTTCAGTAGGTAAGCGGATTAAAAAACTGTGGTACATCCAGACAATGGACTAGAAATCAGTGCTTTAAAAAAAAAAGTTATCAAGCCATGAAAAGAACTGGAGGAAGCTTAAATGCATATTACTAAGTGAAAGAAGCTAATCTGAAAAGCCTACGTACTGTATGATTCCAAGTCCATGACATTCTGGAAAAGGCAAACCTATGGAGACAATAAAAAGATAATTGGTTACGAGGGTGGGGGGTAAGCAGGAATGGAGAAATGAACAGGCAGAGTGCAGAAGGTTTTTAGGGCAGTGAAAATACTCTGTATATTATAGGGATGGATATATGTCATACATTTGTCCAAACCCAAAGAATACACACCAAGAGTGAACCCTAGGGCTTTGGGCGATTATGATGTGTTAATGTAGGATCATCTCTGGTAAAAACATACCATTCTGGTGAGTGGTATTGATAATGGGGGAGGGGAGACTATGCATGTGTGGGAGCAGCAGGTATATGGGAAATCTCTGAATCTTCCTCTCAATTTTGCTGTAAACTTAGAATGGCTCTAAAAAAATTAAGTCATTGGGGGAAAAAGTATGACAACTGAACTGTTACTAATGGTATGAACAAACAGGAACTCTCACCCCATGGGTGGGAGTAAATTGGAGGAACCACTGAGAAAAATACTGCAATGTCTAGTGAAATTTAAAATTCTTAATCTCCATCTCAGGATTTCCACTTCTAGTTATATAATCCAGAGAGGCCTTCTTACACGTCCTATATCTCATCCAACGAGACACGTGTGATAATCATTGCAGCACTGTTTGTAATAGCAAAATACTGGGAATTTAAATGTATGCCGGTCCACCAACAATAGAATGCATAAATTAGGGTATTTGTAAAATGCAGTAACTACCATTCAATATTTATAATAAATGAGTATGAGGAATTATTAAAAACACAATGTTGAACCAAAAAAAAGCAAACTGCAAATTGTTCCATAGTATGACAAGACACATATAAAGACTAACAACCTGTAAAACTAGGGATAGGTTAAATGGGTGATGGGGATTAAGGAGTGCACTTGTGATGAGCACCAAGTGATGTATGGAAGTGCTGAATCACTATACTATATGCCTGAAACTATGTAACATGCTCTGTTAACTGGAATTAAAAACTTAAAAAAAACAAAAAAAACCCTGTAAAACAATCCTTTTTAATGCTTATGTACACACACATATGTAGTGGAAGCACAAAACATGAATGGCAAATTCAACAATGAATTCTTGACAAAGCTTGTATCTGGGAGGGAAGTTAGGGGAATGGGATCAGGGAGTTCACAGGAGCCCCAAATGTATGTACCATAGATTTCCTTAAAAAAATAATTCTGGAGCAAAGATGGTTAATTTAAAGATTTGATCAAATTAAGTATATGACATGAGGATAGAGTGGGTATCTGCACATTTATTATATTGATTGTATTATTTGTATGATTGAAGCCATACACAAATTGTTCAAATTTGAATACATGATAAAAAGCAATGGCTGAAAAGGTTTTTGGAAACATAAATTCACAGTCTTGACATATCAACCTATAGATTATTCATTGCAACGGATTATTCATTGCACTACCTCAATTGAGCAAGCTTAAAATAATGGCACAAACTGATATGTACCTCCTGATACGATATGCTGAAGGCATATCACCGATAGAATTGTAGTATTCTTGCCAAAAATGTTTAACCTGAATTAAAAAACAAAAACTGTGGGACCTTTTACAAAATAGCTTAAAAGTGTCAGGTTAAACACCTCCCCTGAAAAGGGAGGGGAACCGCTTCTGAATGAAGGGAACATGACAGAACTAAATGTAATGTGGACTCTTGGTTTAATCATAAACCAAGTAAAGGTAAAAACATAAAAGTTCTAGAAGTACATTTTGGGGGGCAATTGAAATTTGAATACAGACTGAATATTAGAAAATTCTTTATTGCAATTTATTAGCAAATGTCTTAAGTGCAATAATGGTACTATGATTTGGAGGGAAATACTTGCTGAAATATTATGGATAAAGTGTCACGATGTCTACAACCTACTTTCAGACAGTTAAGGGAAAAAAAGATGAAGCAAATGGGCAAAATGTTAACAGTTGGTGAAGCTAGGTTAAAGAATTTAGGTTCACTGTACTTTCAACTCTTGTGAAGAGTTAACATTTTTCAAATTAACTTGGGAAAACAGACAAATATTTAGAAAAGATTCAATTGTGTATGAACAGCTTTTATAGCTCAGATAAAGTTCAGACTTATATACTCATGCAACACTACTTTATGAAGACTACAGTAATAAAGAAGGTACTCACCTCTTTTTTTCTAATCCCACCAGATTAACTCAGTAAAAACAATGCTTTAAGATCCTACGCTTATTTAGCAGTTTTTAGGACTAGACGAACCTTCCCTTTAAACGCGAAACCTTTTTAAAATGAAAGTTCTACAGTGTTTGATCCCCTTTGCTTTGCTGCAGAGCACACAGCCCCTCTCCACACTCCAGGTAACCACGCTGAGTCAGGCAGTGCGTCCTCTGCAGCCCCCAAGACTGTTAGCTTCTCCCTCCGACTTTATTATACAAATCGCATTCCTGGTCAGCCTTCTAAGCAGCATACCTGCAGCTGCAATCCTTCCTGCCTTCCCTCCCCACACGTTCTCCAGTGTCCAACTTCCGATCCAGTCTGCTGGAGTTTTGGAAAAAATGATGGGAAAACAGGAAAACAAAGTTTAGTAAATCTAAACATCTTCATTTTCAATTTAGCTTCACACTCCCAAGGTCTACAAAATGCTTTGATCCTGTGCCCCAGGCTCCTTTCTGATTCTTCCTGGGCTCCTGCCTGTGTTCTGATGTCACCAGAGGCCTGACTGTAGTGAGTGGGGGTGGGGGAGAGCTGCAGTTGCTACTCCATGGTGTACCTACTTATTCACACATTCACACTCCCCTGAGACTTCTATTTATTAGCAGGATGCTTTTCAGCTAAAGACTAATGTTTCTAAGTGGTGGGCAGTAAATTAACTTCAAAATATAACAATGACAAAGCACTTTTAAAAAAGATGCTAAAAAGCCATGGAAATGATATAAAAATTTTTTAAAGAGCAACACTGTATAACTAAGTATAACTTTTCTGCTACTGCATGAGTCAAGACTCTTTCTGCAGTCTCTCCTATATATTAGGCTGAAATAATTGGTGGCTGGAAAGGGAAAAATGGACTTTGAGATGATGTAGTCACTTGAACGTAAGTACAACTGGGCAAGAAGTAGAGTGGTGATTGTATACGTTCTTTTGCCCTAATCGTAGCCATCATATTAATTACAGGTGATTAGTTTGGGAAATTTCACAATCATTTCTAAGGAACAAATGCAAATTATTATACTATCATTTATATGCAGAAAAGAAAAAAACAATTTTAGGGAAGAGATGGCTTCATTTCTTGGGACTTTTCTGTAATACATTCACAGTACTGAGCACACTATTCTGTTAAAGAGCATAGCTATAGTTTGTTGTCCGCTCTACCCCATGGAGTAACCCTGAATATCACAGAAGTGTAATGTAGACAACAAAGGGATAAAACATTAGAATTTTCAGACTATGCCTTTAATGTAACATTCAGAATTATATCCCTAGGGGAAAACCACCACTGTGGGAATTTTATTTGTTGGATTCCCATTAATGTTGATCATTTTCTAGGTAAAATTTCAAAAGACTCACCATACGTTTGTTTTGTTTCTTTTTTTAAAAAGTATTTATTTTTTTTTACTAGTGAGGTTGAAAGCAGGCAAAGAAATTTACAGAAAAGATGTCCATATATAAAGAAAGAAATAGCAAAATATTTTTTGGTCATAATTTAGAAACAAACTGATCTATAAAAAGGGGACAGTTCTCCCCAATTCATCTCTTCCCTAGAAGAGCGTAAGCACAGGCTCTCAGTTCCTGGATATTCTCAGCAGTCCTCGGATACGTCTGACAAGAGCTTGTATGAAACTATAGCGAGATCGAACTTTTGAGTATAATCCTTCAATGTCCAGAAGTTTCTTCTGTAGTGATTCTCCAAAAGCGCTGATGGCGTCAGCCTGAAGCTAGAGGAAACACAGATGACATGTCATTATTAAAATTACAGTCTCAAATATTTTTTTTATTCTATGTCTTCCAATTTAAAATACCTTTGAATTTTTGTAATGTGGTCCTTTCTCATGTAGCAAAGTAACTAAACATTCACATTTCCATGCTAGAATTTATCGGTACAGAATTGTTTTTCCCTTTCCGGTCCGTATAAAAGTGTAACATCTTAAATAGCAACAACTATGATGCTGCTGTTGATATATGGGCATATACACAAATACATTTCCCGAAGGGCAATACAAGAAGCTGTTAGGAGTGGGTGCCACTGGGGAAAAGAAACAAAGGGTAAGTTGGAAAGAAGCTTTTACTTTTATTTGATTTTTCAATTAAAAAAAAAAAAAACATTTGCATGCATTTATTTTCAAGATATATAAGCAGAGGAAAGGAACCTGGTACACATTTTAGAATTCATGTAATTTAGAATTCATATGTAGTTTTGGATGGATTCTATTGGTATTATACTGAAACACTAAAATTAAGTGTAAAATTAGATGACTCTACCTGCCTTCAGTTTTGCAGTAAAATCAAAGCACAGAGTGAGAAGATTATTTATTAATCCTGCATTTCTTCTAACTATAACAGAGCAGTCTAATGAAACAGAAATAGTCATTAATTCAACACATATTTATCAAACATCTTCTGGAAGAACTATTCTTTGGCTAATTCTGCCCATGGCCTCACTAAATACTGGCTTCCCTAAACAAGCCTAGCCAAAACATGAATTACTATTATGAAGTCACTTAAAGGGCAGATGTAGTCAGGGCTAGGATGAGAGCACGCTATGTATGACGTCTGGTTAAGTATGGTCTGGAGGATGCTCTTTCCTGGATAAAGCCCAACCTTCAGCATCAAGAAAGGCAGTGACCAAGAGGGATTAGGGAAGAGCAGAGGCTTTATCAAACCAGGGCTAGGGACACTCAGATGCCTAGCAGCAGATCTAGTTTTAATTCCATTTATCTAACATCACGTACCCTGCTAACTGCTTTGTTCCCAAGACTCCTATTAGGTTCATGTGAGGTTTTTACGTTAGTTGTTTTTGGAATGCTCTTCTTCCATTCCAATATTATTGGTCAAGAGGTTCTTAATACATAATACTGTATCATATCATAGTCTCCTACCATGGAATTTTTAATGGCTGCTCACAATCTCTCCATTAAATTATTTTCTAAAAAATTAAGTGCTAAGTGACACTCTGTGCCTAAGAAGTCCACAAAGTTAATCTAAAGAAATTGGGAGTTTCCGGATCACGATGCCTACTGATGACTGAACTCTCACTATGTCCCTTCCAGGCACTACTGCCCTAGAAGCCTCACATACGAGACCTCATTTCACTCTGACAAAACTCCTTGAGCCTCAACTATCATTCCCACTTCTTCGGTGAGGAAACAGAGGATCGAAAGTAAGTTGTTCGAAGTCCCAGAGCTGTTAGGCGGCCAGGTCAGAATCAAAATCAGGTCTTTGCACACAATCCAGAAAATCATCATCATACTAACATACTAGGCTTTTCCTTTTTCCTTTCAAAAAAGAAAAAGAGTATGAGAAGAGACCCTCACCTGGTCTATGTCATGTTGGCTCACTCCAGTCAGTCCACTTCTAAAATCCAGGTTGGTTTCTGGAGTGAAGGAATCTGGCAACAAAAGACACAAACAAACCAGCTTTACAAGTACGTATCTATCATACGGTGGAAGAACCTGAAGACCAGGGGACTCTGGAGCTGGCCAGCCCTTAGCTGCAAGAAGCTGAAGAGCGGGGTCTAAGATGTTCTTATGCTCCACACAGTCTCCCATGAATAGAAGTAAACTACAAGAAACAGCTATGTCTACTAACTAAGTAGCTCTAGATTGCCCAATCCACTCTTAGTAACCCGGAAACACAAAAAATAAATAAAAGTGTAACTAGTTTTTCAAGGCACTGCAATCTGTAGGTATGTATGGTTCGCTAATTTTCAGAATAAAGTTTACCTTGTAGTCTTCTGCTTTTAAATAAGGTTCTGGAGGCAAATAAGGAATCCTGAGAATCCGTGGGCGTGCAGTGTAGCAAGTAGTACTCCAGATGGCGCCAAAGAATAAATAGGCAGGTCTCTATGATAACTACAGAGAGCTCGGACTAAAGGAAAACAATCTCATCAAACCAGTTTCTGAGGAGGAAAACAAAGGAGAGACCGCACTACTTCGTGATGTACCCACGGCCTTGGTCTAATAGCGAGGGGAAAGGTTCCACTGAAGGTGTCCCCCCAGAAAGCAGCAAGGTGTGTTGAGAGGAAGGAGGTGGGGACCGGGGGGTGCTGTGTCCCTGCCTCCTGTCCAGACAGTGACTGTATACATTATCAGGATTACTAGCTAAATCTAAAAGAGAAGAAAAAAAATTTCAGTTTGGAAACAGATCAGGCACTTACTGGAAAAAAAATTATGTCCCTTTTCATACAGTTTTGATGCCCAAATAATGTGACAATCAATAAACAGTTCCTACATTTAAAGATTCTCTTAAAGGTCACCATTCAAGTTCCCACTGTGATTTCCATTAAGGATACAAGAACAAAGGGAAAGGAGTTTGGCTCGATTGTTGATCAACTTCACCAAACGCCGTCTTGCTAGAACATATTTCTGGGCAGTGGAGATTTTTTCAACACCAACAGGCATCACAGACTGGCACAACTGAGGACCAGAAACAAACACAGTATTAGCGATGACATAAACTCTAACAGAAACTTCATGAAAATCTACAGAGAGGGTCACTATGATAGGCACTGCGAAAAACATTCAAAGAAGTTTAAACATCCTTGCAGACAAGAGTTATTATCTAGTTAGGAAGCTGGTAACTAAAAAACTGAGAGCCAAAGTAGTCGAATTCACTAATGAAGATTCATCTGCTGCTTTCTGGAAAAGGTCTTCTCTCTGAAACAGACGTTTCCAATCTGCTGAGGGGCCAACCAACCCTCAATTTCCTGTCAAACTAAAACAAAACACAACAGTAGGTTTTTCAAGCCATAGGTTTAACAGTGCCATGGAGAATTTCTGTAACAGCCATCATGTATCTTCTGAAGAAAATGTAAAGCAGATTTCTACAGCAGAAACTAAAATAGGCTCATCAACCCAGAACTCCCTTCATCACACCTCTGTTCGGCATAAGCACGGTGGGCCAACTCAAAATTCAGCTGCTGGCTTTGGCAGAAGGCACCCTGAAGTGGGGCTGGGAGAGCACCACGTCCTTGACGGGAAGGCTGCATCCCTCTTGCAAGTACTGGTGTTGCCCATAAGCTACACATGAAGGGGAAGGGCTGCCAGAGGTAAACCGCCCAATCTCAGGGATTACCTGAACCCCATCAGTTACTCCTGTCTCGGGACTTGCTACCTGTGTGGCTTTGGGTAAGTTATCCAAACTTCCAGGGCCTCGATTTCCTCATCTGAGAAAACAGGCATAGCAACATCTGCCTCATGTACTGAGACAGAACTTGTAGCTCAGGGCCTGGCACATTGTCACCACCCACTACACGTTCCCTGTGATTACTAGAAGAGTGGCAAGAGGGAGCTTTGACTACTCTGAAGAGTGACATGGAGTTTTTCAGGACAGTTGGTGCAAACGAGGAATGGCAACATGTTCTACATCCGGGCTGCCCCAGGCCACCATGGCACTGTTAAGGGAGTCCTCGTGCCGTTTAGCTGTGCCAAATGGGAAAGGCAGCTACTGAGGAAGCAAGCCTAGCAACTCAGCATCGTTAGCTACAATAAACAGCAGCGAGTGATTCTGGGTCACTGAGAGCCATCCCATTTGTCTGAAAAATTCACCCAACAGATACTTAAGATGCTGAAGGCACAGAGACATCTTTTTTTTTTTTTTTAAAGATTTTTCTTTTTTTTTTTTTTTTAAGATTTTATTTATTTGCGAGAGAGAATGAGAGACAGAGAGCATGAGAGGGAGGAGGGTCAGAGGGAGAAGCAGACTCCCCGCTGAGCAGGGAGCCTGATGCGGGACTCGATCCTGGGACTCCAGGATCGTGACCTGAGCCGAAGGCAGTCGCTTAACCAACTGAGCCACCCAGGCGCCCCGGCACAGAGACATCTTAACTTAAGGGATCACTTCTATTGAATTAGCCTCTGCAATTGAAACCCAAGTTTCTCAGCACAGATTTTAGAGTATAAATTACCAAAAGCCTTCTTTGGTAGCCAGCTGCCATTCTACTGAAGCGCAGGCGGTGTTCCCGAACAGGTGCGACTTCCCTGTCTTCCATGCAAGAGTTCCCCTGCTTACCAGGCGTGCCGCTCTGGTGGGGGACTCTTCTTCAAGCCACACACAGCAATCATTTCAAGCCCTTTCATCTCACTGCATACATCAACTCTACTCACAAATCGGACACCAGTACTGTGACCCTTATTAGGAAAAGCAATGGCTTCTCAAATATCTCCACAGCTCATTATAAAATTCATACCTCTTTGATCTCATCTGGTGGAAGTTGCTCTACATTCTGTAGCTTGTTGACACTCCGTCGATGGCTGTCGTAATAGCTGAAGAAATCATTAGCACTCTGTTTCAACAGGTAGACAATGATGCCCAAACCAGGCAGGCGCCAATATGGAATCACTGGAGCTTGAGTATCTAACAGAGTTGATAATAAAAAACAATGTTCCACTTAAAAGACCTGTTTTAAACGAGGGATGCCCAGGATTTGAAGGGCATGTAAACTATTATTAAAACCAACCCAAAACTACTTCTGAATACTTCTGACAGTTCAGAGGAGCAGAGAGGAGCTACTGTGATCAGTTATGTGCATAGAGCTAGAGCCCTAAAGAATAAGGAAATTTGGCTGGTGGACAATGGCAGAACTCCCCCTTTACTGGGGAAGACCTCTTTGAGAAATCTATCATAAACTTTTGCATCCAGCTCCCCCCCGCCCCCCCACGGGTGTGCGTGTACATGTGTGCATGCACGCACACATGCACACACACACGCACACATGCCGTACACACAAGTCTGGAGGTTCCTGAGCCCAGGTGAAGAATTCCTGCCTCACCCTACAGCTCTAGTTATATGGATTCATTTCTGGTCTGCACCTTTCTGGTTGCTGAATTCCCAGCTCAAAGTCATTCTCCCAAGAGAAGAACACTGAGACAGTCAAAAAATATAATTAAATTTAAATTTCAACAACTCTCTTACCACCATTAGTCCATTTGGGTAGGAAAACATATTGATCTACCTTTTCCTCACCTAGCTTCTGATGAAGGTGCAAAGGAACCATGAGAAGTTGGGAAAGTCGTTCGTGAAGGGAAGAACTGGAAGGACTGGTGCAAATAGAGTAATTTCCTCTTACAACTGAGGAATTCCTTGAGAAATACCTTAGTAATTTCAAGTTCAATTTGGAGATAATCTTTGTTTAATGGCTCTAACTGCCAAGAATACTGCAGGAGAGATGTGCATTTGCTTCCTTCCCCACTATCTCCCTTAACTTTGCTTCAAAGTCAAATTTCATAGGTCTTCATGAGGAGAGGAAGAGAGAGAACAGTTCCTTGTCAGTGGATGTTGCCACCAACCAGGACATCCTAGGCTCATCTGAGTTGCCAGGTTTTCCCTCCCAGTCTTCAGTGAAGATGGGACAGTCTCTATGATACAAAGCCTTCTCCTAGTGAAATTAGGGACCCTGGTGCCCAGGCAACATTTAGATGATACCTACTCTGGTAGGAACACATCCAGAAAGAGAATGGTCTAGTGCTGAGAGGAGTACTCCAAAGCCTATCAGGAGTTCTCATATGCTGATGTGCTCATATCTAGAAAATATTAAGGGTGGGCGCCTGGGTGGCTCAGTTGGTTAAGCGACTGCCTTTGGCTCAGGTCATGATCCTGGAGTCCCGGGATCGAGTCCCGCATCGGGCTCCCTGCTCGGCAGGGAGTCTGCTTCTCCCTCTGACCCTCCTCGCTCTTGTGCTCTCTCTCATTGTCTCTCTCACAAATAAATAAAATCTTAAAAAAGAAAAGAAAAGAAAATATTAAGGTGTGCAGAAGCTACCAGACTTAGACGTCAGATGAGGATGGCTCACGACAAACCTGACTACAGAAGAGGGCCCTGAACCACAAGTAATAGCACATATACTAAACAGTAACAGTGAAGACCAGCAAGAATGAAAATAGTTACAGGTCACACTTAACCAGTGCTAAGTGCCAGACACCGTTCTAAAGCACTTCACATTGAGTAACACGTTTAATCCTTACAATAATTCACTGGAAAAGAGCTTGTTGTTGGGGCGCCTGGGTGGCTCAGTTGGTTAAGCGACTGCCTTCGGCTCAGGTCATGATCCTGGAGTCCCGGGATCGAGTCCCGCATCGGGCTCCCTGCTCAGCGGGGGGTCTGCTTCTCCCTCTGACCCTCCTCCCTCTCATGCTCTCTGTCTCTCATTCTCTCTCTCTCAAATAAATAAATAAAATCTTTAAAAAAAAAAAAAAAAGAGCTTGTTGTTACTCCCATTTTACAGCTGAGGAGGCTGAGGCACAAAGAGGCTAAGTAGTTTTTCTGAAGTCATATCAATAGTCGCTTACAGAACTGGGACTCGAATCTAGGCAGTTCATGATCAGTCTGTGTTCTTCACTGCTAGGTTAAACTCTCCCTCTACAACTGAACGTTCCTGAACCTACCACACACCTACCCACTCCTGTGTCTTCAACTAGCAAAGATAAGTATGCTGATTAAATCTTTAAAAAGTCTGAGGAAAAATAAAGACCAATATATAAGGCTTCATAAAGTTCATCATCAAGTATTAAAGATCTAAGAATGACCTGGTATGTGAAAGACTGGCTCAAAGTGAGAAGAAACCAAGTGAAATTTTAATAATTACTAGTGATACATTAGTAGCATATGATTAATGTTTTTGAAGAATAAATGACAAAACCACAATTTCATTTGAAAATCTTATGAACAGGTTAAATTTGTTTTAAAATGTTAGATTCAAGGTAGAAGAAAGGGGCCCCCTTGGACACTTTATAATGAAGTTACACAAACAGAAACAAATAGTTCTCAGCACCATTTACATGAGACAGTGGTTATATGCTGTTAAGCTAATATATTTTTCATAATATCATTCTACTAAATATTTTATGTAATTAAGTAATTTTCAGGGAAAGTAAGATCTTGAAGAAGATGAAAATGTGACAAAATGATTTTCAGAAACCTCACACAAAAAGCTTCTGGAAATCAGCAGCAGTGCATTCCATTACCAAGCACCACTAAGATCACAATGGGCTTTGTCTTCTGAGTGGCCCACAGGATAATAGCTTTAATCAACCCATAGCCCTCATATTCCAGACCTCACCTACTATGTCCTTAGGAAGTCATAGACTATGTCAGCCTACTTAGCATCTACATTTTACTTTGCTGTGGCATAGAAATTTGGAGCTGTACTACAAGACCCAATTTAGACACTACATTCAGCTTAACATGATTTCACACATTAACCATCTGTTATATTTGTACATTTTTCACCCAGCTAGCTTACTCACCAATCTTAGAGCCTTTCTTTGGGGTCTCCAATACTATTCAAAACCATACTCTCCCCGCAAAGCTCTTCTAAATGTATCCTCAGAATATCCTGAAGTTCTCTGTCCTCTCAAGCTCTCTAGCCTATCCACGGGACTGACGACAGTACCTCCTTATCGATCCTTCCTAAAGTCATTTACAAATTTTCCCACTAATCACACATAAAGAAAAAAACTGTGTCTCTCTGGAGCCAACTAGAGCTTGTCTTAATCACAGCAGCTTAATCCTCAAATACAGAAAGAAAGGAGCAGTCTCACCTTGCCGGGGTCCATCTCTATTAATGGTTTCTGACAGGCTAGGGGTAAAGAGACACACAGCATGCTGAAATGTGGGGGAGCTCTGTAACATGAGTGACTGGCAATATTCCATGACATTGGCACAGATCTACAATGGAAGAATAACAGTAACAAAAATATCAGTTCCCCCAATGCCCAAATGTCACAGAATTCCAGATTTGAAGAACAAAGTTACTGATCAATTTGTAAAACTACAACAAAGTTATAAATCAAATTGCAAAATCACTCCCATCTCTTATTTTAATCACATCCTTCCAAAAACACACAAATGTTCAAGAACAGATACACAATGCCCACTCCTCTTACCTGCTGCATGGCCAGTTCGAGTTCATCTTTTTTGCTCACTCTATCTCCCTCCACATTATCATCTTGAAATTTAAACTGACGCAGTCTGTCAGAGCCCCCAAAGCGGCTTAGTAGTCCTAAACACTGACGCTGAGAAAGAGAAAGATACTTTGTTCATATCTAATTGGTATGTCTAAAATTGGTGACCTCTCTTTGAGGGATATAAAAAAGAAAAACTCATTGGGGAGTGGAATCACTCTTTGAAGAGTCTGATTTCTTACTTCCAACTGAAACAAATGAAGTTAGCTCTATTAAAATTCACCTTTCTGCAAATGTCATTTGCTTGGCAGTCAACTCACTAAAAGAACACCATATTTGTTTTTAGCAATTAATCCCCATTACATTGTAAGCATTAGCCAAAGAATATTCTGTATCACACCAAGTAATTCCTTGGTAGATACCCATTAAATAAACACAAGTTGATAAACAATGAGAAGCAAAATGGAATGGCAAATAGACAACACTTTGTCACAAGCACATCCATGATAATTTTGTCTAAAGGCTCAAACTTAAAGGCTATTTCTCCTAGGGCCACTTCTGGGGACTCCATAAAAGGGGGTGGGAACACACAAAATGAAAATGTCATCTGCTTGAAATGTTGGTACTTGTCACCTGACATTACAATTTTTCCTAAGGTTCTTGGAAGGAAAGGACGAGCTTTTCACAACTGGCAATATATCTAGTGGTTGAAATTAGAAATGTGGGTTCCACTAGGAGGTACCTGACCTCTTGCTTTGTAACCTACAACAGGTTACTTAACCTCCACAAGCCTCAAGGCTCACAGTCCTAGGGTGCAAATAGCGATTCCTATTCTACAGGATTGTGGTCAGGATTATTTGAGACAATGAATGAATCATTTACATTTGTATACAGTGCTCTGCACATAATAAGTGGACAATAAACATGTACTTTAAAAACTGGTATCTCACACACACACCTATGTACACATACAGACATACACAGGTATAATATGTAATAACTTATGTAAACTGAGGTTAGTTTACATAGTAAGATTGGATAAGGCAAAATGTATTAAAAAGACAATATAAACTTAGTTTGCCAAAATAGTTATATCTATTTTTTAAAATATTACCTGTGTGCTACCCTTACAGACAAAACAGATGCACTATCACATTTCTAGAAGTCACCTACAGAAGATCCTTCAAAAATATCTTTTTCTCCCTACCAACGAAAAAAATTAGAAGACAAAAAAAGAGAGAGGGAAATAAAGGCAGAGCATTTGGGTTTTACTGGTGAGAGGGCAACCCCTTCCGGAGTTGGATAAGGGCTCCACATGTTCTGTGTGTGCACCCTCGGATCCAGTGAGACCAGTTAGGTTTATCTAATCTATAGCTCAAAAATTTATACACAAAAACACTGGTAGCAGCAGTTTTCTTTTGGAAACCTGAAAAAACAGTTCACAAAAAGAGGACTGGTTAAGAAAATTACTGTATCAAAAACAATGAAACATAAATTTTAATATATAAATACAATTATTCCGAAGCCAATCAAAAGTGAAGCTGTTCAGATCAAAGCAGGCCAGGAGGCTCCCAGAAAGACTAATAAATATTTAGTTGACAAGCTATCTAATACGTTTGAATATATTAAAAGGAGATTACACAACTGGAAGAGAGCTTGGGAATAATTTAGAAGTAAGTACATAAAAACCAAGCAAACAGGGGCGCCTGAGCAGCTCAGCAGGTTAAGCGTCTGCCTTCGGCTCAGGTCATAATCCCAGGGTCCTGGGATCAAGCCCCACGTCAGGCTCCCTGGTCAGTGGGGAGCCTGCTTCTGCTGCTCCCCCTGCTTGTGCTTGCTTGCTCTCTCTCCCTCTGTGTCAAATAAAATAAAATAAAATCTTAAAAAAAAAAAAATTTTTTTTTTTTTAAAGCCAAGCAAGTAAAAAAAAAAAAAAAAACCACCACTCACTTTAGGGAAAACATAACGTTGCACCTAGAAGTAACTTATCACCCATTCTTAATCATAAATGACACGTGATCTAACCAAAATTATGATATAATTATGTTGCGTTTCAGTGGGGAGGGAGGCAGTGTTGTGAGAAATGTCCATATTGTACGGTGGAAGAAAAGGAGAAAAGAGATCTAAGGTCTCATCCTCCTCAATGGAAAATCAACAGGTGATTCCTAAAATTTGAAAATAAGTATATGATTTAGATATACCAAAAAATCAATTAAAAACCATCAAGAGGGTTTGCCCAGGGGCGCCTGGGTGGCTCAGATGGTTAAGCGTCTGCCTTCAGCTCAGGTCATGATCTCCAGGTCCTAGGGTCAAGCCCCACGTTGGGCTCCCTGCTTAGCAGGGAGTCTGCTTCTCCCTCTTCCTCTGCCTCTCCCCACTGTTCCTGCTCTCTCTCTCTCTCTCTTTGTCTCAAATGAATAAATAAAAAAATTCTTAAAAAAAAAAAGAGGGTTTGCCCAAATCCAGGAAGCAGAACAGGGAGAATGGATAAGAGGACTGTTATATTTTGCTGTAAGTCTTATAGGAGCTACTCTTTAAAGAAATAAGAATCAGTTACCTGGAATCTTCCGATATGTCCCTGTAGCTCCATTAGAGATCCTTCATTTACATCAACATCAAGTTCATTTAATATACCTATAAAATTTGGAATGCTTTTAAATATAGTTTTATAATCAACAAAATAAAAACATTAAAAAACCAGGAAGAGTGGTTCTAGCATTTTATATTCCTTATGTATAAGAACAGACACAGACTTGCCATGAAGGAGCTCTGGGAAATACAACTTCACAAAGATTGTAAGTTCACCACTTGTTCATTTATATGCAACCTAAATCTAGACTGAATTCATAATTTTAAAAGGTACTTTTTAAAGGTTTTGACATAAACCTATTTTTTATTTATAACCATAAAAGTTAAAATTTTCTAAACTCAGCAGTAAATTACTTTCTCATGAAAGAGTTTATGATATAAAACACTTATAATGAAATACATTTCTTTTTTCATTTAACTCTCCTAGGTACTGTATCATTTGCTTTTTTTTCTTTTCCCTTAAGCAAAGTACAGTTTGCACATACACAAAAAAGTTCCCATGCAACTTGTTTAGACTTAGTACAAAATTCTTAAATCACAGTGATCAACCTCTCAGAGTATCAGGAAAAAAAACCCTTTATTTCTATCAAGTCCTCCAAGCAAACCCACTGGTTTCTTCTTTGTTCCACGGCTGTCGTCATGCTGAGGATCCACCTGCACCTGTCCTAGTCACCCTGACTTTGTGTGCGCAATCCTTTTAATTCAGTCCTCACTTCCAAGCATGCACTCCAGAGCATGTAACCCAGAACCTTATCCTTTGCTCCTCATAATGACAAGACCTCCTCTTTCTAGATCTCTCAGCCCAGGACCTCACCCAAACCCACAGAAAATACCCCTATCCTTTGGTACCTGCTGGCTTGCTCTACCTCACCTGTGCCTCATTACTCTACCCCTTCCCACTCTGCCTCTTCCAGGAGTCTGCTCCCAGAATCACCTTCTTTTCCAGCTTACCAAAATCTACCCTGCCACAGAGGATTTTTCCACACTTTTTGAAAATATGTTCAGGTCTCCCTTGTATTCCAAAACAAAACAAAAACAAGCAAAAATCTGGTTAATATCAAATTCTTGAAATATTTTTTCCACATTCGCTGCTTGCAATTTTAAGCCCTTCTTTCCCACCCTACCCCTTGAAAGCTGGATCGTGTATCTAATACTATCACGGAATTCAGGCCTTTTCCTCTTTGTCCTCAAACCTCCTGATCTCTGCAACATGTATTGCTACGCCCCACTTCTTTTCTTCCACCTGCTGCCTCTGTTTAAAAAGACTACTTGTGGCGCCTGGCTGGCTCAGTCAGTGAAGCGTGGAACTCTCGATCTCGGGGCTGAGTTCGAGCCCCGCACTAGGTATAGAGATTACTTAAAAATAAAATCTTTAAAAAAAAAAAAAAAAAAAAAGGCTACCAATTCTCAGTTTCTGTAAGACCCTTCTAAGTGTCAGTTGAGTCCTCTGTGTACCATTTGTATCGCTCTCAACTCCAAAACACTCTCCAGAATATTTCTGAGTCATGAAAAAAATTAACCTGCTGGTCGGTATTTGAGGAGGTAGGACATACCCAGTATAAGGCTAGGCAATAAAGGGAACACAGTTATAAATGGGCTTATAACTTAACGGGAGCATTTAAGATAAAAAAATATATACAGTAAAATTATGGAAGAATACAAAACAGTATGTCTTCAAGGGCTAAACTGTGCAGAGTAGGGTTGATAGGAATTAAAACTGTTAAGAGTTTGTTTAAAAAAAATTGGGGAGGGTATTCGGCATTATCTCCCCCCCCAAAAATTTAAGTATATATATTTTCAGACCAAGCACTGTCAGGAATTAATCAAGCCTACCAGCTCAAATCTACAAAAACACTTATGTGTACACACACACACACACACACACACCGAGTTATTAAAAGCCACACTGTTGGAAATTTAAAAAAAGACTGGAAACAGTCAACATGTTACAGGGGTCTGGTTAAACAACAAAGATCTGGTTAACTCTCACAACTGGAAAATTATGCAGCCAATTTAAAAGAATGAGGTAGGAGCTCTATATGATGATGAGAAAAGATCTGGAAAAAAGAATTACAGAGCAGTGTGTATAGTATGATTTCATTTGTGTAGGGAGGGGACAATTTTACACCATATGCATAGAAATTTCTAGAAAAGTAAACTGATAACTAATTCCTTTTAGATAACAGGAACTGCTAGTCATGGTACTTTATACTCTGTTCTTCTATTTTGTTTGAATTTATCATGAGCATGTTAAAAAAACTGCTTTTCCGAATACAATCTTAATACATTGACAGGGTCAAATGATGCTATTAGCAAAATACAAAAATTTTAGGCATTTAAAAAAATTAATGACAGGAGACTTCATGAATAAAACCACCTTATGAGAGGATTTGATAAAAGGTAAATTCTCTTTATACCTAACTCAGCACTTCTAGGTGAAGATGGTAGAATGAAGTAGCATCATAGAATGTCCCTCCTGTTGGAGCGCCTGGGTGGCTCAGTCGGTTAAGCCTCTGCCTTCGGCTCAGGTCATGATCCCAGGGTCCTGGGATCAAGTACCGCATCGGGCTCCCTGCTCAGTGGGGAGCCTGCTTCTCCCTCTCTCTCTCTACCCCTCCCCCCTGCTCTCTTGCTCTCAATAAATAAATAAATAAACAAATAAAGTGTCCCTCCTGTCATCAACCTACAGAATGAATGAAATTCACCAAAAGGGTGTGGGGGTGGGGAGACTTATGCCACAAATACTGAAAAATGGTGATGGCAAAGGACAAAAAAACCCAGAAAATTCTGGTGAAGCAAGTAGCATGATTCAGCTCATGACCCTTATTCCACTCCTCAGATGCAGTGTGAAGGAAAGAAGATAGACCAAAAACTCTTGCAAATTCTCATGGAGACTCTTCAATTTGCAGAGAAGCCTTTTAGAGTAATTAGGTAAGGCCTAGAGAAATCAAGGGAAAAGCGTTAGGAGAACCACTACAAAGCACCGTGGGACCTTAGTAGAGGCAAGAAGGACGGCCTGACTGGTATCATCCAAAAACACTGGGATGAGCTGGGGAAATGAGCATAACAAGCCTCCAGGACTGAGACACGCCACGACTGGGTGGAGTGGAAGCTGCACTCTCCTCAGAATAAGCACGGGCTCCCAGTGCTTGCACGGGCACTGCCCTCCGCCCTACCAAACACTCTTCTCCCAATACAAAGGGCTCAAGCACTGATACCCCCTAGAGAGGAAAACATATCAGGGTTGGGGGGTGGAATCATGGGCTGGCCTCAGACTTGGTAGCAACATAAAAATGGAGGTAGCAGAGTCTACGAGTTAACTGCACAGGCTCAGAAGCCATACTGGCTGGGAAACCACACCACCAGTATTATATATGTGACTCTGGACAAGGCAAGCTCTCTGTGCCTCAGTTTCCTCATTTGTAAAATGTGGAAAATAATAGTTCTACCTCGTAAGACTGTTGTGAGGAATAAATAAATATACTAAGTGTTTAAAATAAGTACTTGGCACATTATGCTTAATAAATATGAGCTATTATCATGAGCTACAAGGTCTGAGGGAAATAAAATCATAATCAGCTATGCCATCATTCAAGAACAGAGGCAACCTTTAGACGTTGATAAACATTAGAGAATTCAGGGACTATAATATACTTCCTTTTTTATTATGTTATATTAATCACCATACATTACATCACATAATATACTTTTCTTGGGGGAGGGGACCTCAATACAGATGAAAAATACCAAGAGATAGGGGTGCCTGGGTGGCTCAGTTGGTTAAGTATCCAACTCCGAGTCTTGACATCTAGCCCGGCACTGGCTCCGTGCTCAGTGCAGAGTCTGCTTGTCCCTTTTCCTCTCCCTTTGCCCTCCCCCTGCTCACAAGCGCTCTTTTCTTGCTCTCTCTCTCTCAAATAAATAAATAAAATCTTAAAAAAAAAAAAAAAAAAGAATAATAGCTCTTATGCTCCCGTAGTAAAGAAACATTTGTCTGGAATTCAGCAATGTCTTCAATTTCTCTTCAATTAATTCTTTAATCTGTTAAGTTCCTGTAAAATTAGGGGCGCCTGGGTGGCTCAGTCGTTAAGCGTCTGCCTTCGGCTCAGGTCAGGATCCCAGGGTCCTGGGATCGAGCCCCGCATCGGGCTCCCTGCTCCGCGGGAGGCCTGCTTCTCCCTCTCCCTCTCCCCCTGCTTGTGTTCCCTCTCTCGCTGTGTCTCTCTGTGTCAAATAAATAAATAAAATCTTAAAAAAAAAAAAAGTTTATGTAAAATTAAATAATTTTTTTTTTCTTTTTTTTTAAAGATTTTATTTATTTATTTGACAGAGAAAGACACAGCGAGAGAGGGAACACAAATGGGGAGTGGGAGAGGGAGAAGCAGACTCCCTGCCGAGCAGGGAGCCCGACGCGGGACTCGATCCTGGGACTCCAGTATCATGACCTGAGCTGAAGGCAGTCGCTTAACCAACTGAGCCACCCAGGTGCCCCAAAATTAAATAACTTTCTAAAACTGCACATAAAAGGTAATCTTGTTCTCTTAAATCACCTCAGTATGTCTCCGTCTCCATCTCTCCTGTATATGCATATACAGAAAACGTCTGAGAAGCTACTCACCAAATGTGAACATGTGGTGATTGACTAAAAAAAGCACTTGGTAATTTCTAGGTAGTGAGGTTCTGAGTATTAATTATTTTCTTGAACTCTTTGAATTTTTTTGTATGATCATATATCATTCTTATACATATAAACTTACTAATTTTAAAAAAGCAGTTAACTCTTAGTACCAATTTCAAGTAAGTCCTATGTACTGCAAAGCCATAAAAGCCTCATTCTATTAAGTGTACGTCAGTCTGTAAAGAATTATTCAAAGTCCATCCAACCTAATCAACTCACCAGGAAGTGCTGCTTTACTGATAATTCCTGTCAGCAGAGCCAGTTCCTGCAAAGACCCAGCACTCACATCCTGACAGCGCAGGATTGCTTGTATGGTATCAGAATGTGAAATGAGAAACTGCAACACCTGAGCCAAGGAAAAGGAGGGGAAACGGAAAAAAGGGAAGTCAAGATTAGCAAATTTTTTCTACATCTGTAATTCATCTTTTTAATAACGCTGAAGCACCAAGTTCAATGTAATGAATCATAGTGAATGTATGTAAGCAACTGTCTTTTACATTTATAGTTTATTTCTTCAAGAAGCAAATATTTACCTAAAATTCATAAGAAAGCCAAAGATAAAGATGATTTCAACTTTTAGAAATTACTGTATTTAAAGGCTAGAGTAGAAAAGTATAACTTACAACTACTAAATGAAAACTATTACTTAACCCTTATTTAATTTCTTTTTGTCCAAATGGACCTAGAACAGGAGTAGGCATAAAAATGATTCACTGAATTTAAGTTGCTCTATGAAAATGTGACTAGCCTGACATGGGGACAATCACATTAAAGCTCTTGTTAAATTCTCCTTTTGATATAATACGAATGAGATAAAAATCCTGACCTCCAAACTCTGCCCTTCCACCGTGGCATTTTCTACTGTACTTTCATGGAGGAATCCAATTACTTACACATATGATGTCTCCTCAACTAGATCATAAATGCCTTGAAGGCTGAAACTACGCCAAACAGGCCAAACATCTGAATCACTCAAGAACTGTGCCCCCTTTTATTTTTTATTCAGATTCCTGGCCTTAACCCGTAATTACTGGACGTAGAACTCTGTTTTCTTTTTTTTAAGTAGGCTCCATGCTGGGCCCCAATGTGGGGCTCGAACTCACGACACTGAGATCAAGATCTGAGCTGAGATCAAGAGTTGGACGCTTAACCGACTGAGCCACCTGGGCGCCCCTCAGTAATCTATATTTTTGAAACAAGCTCCTTGGGGGATTCTGCCACAGCCAGTACAAGAGTGGCATTAGAGAATCTTACATCATCACAAAGTCCCACTTCTAATAAAAAAAAAATCTTAATCTCAATAAAGGAGAAGACAAGGAAAGTCTTTGAGTTTTAAAGAACTGATTCAAAGGCCACATATGGAAGTGGCAGGATGTACTAATGCAGCATAAAACAAGGTGCCGTGTTAGAAAGAGCAGCATTCTACCTCAGTGGCAAGCCTGAAGGCTGATGGCAGGGAAAGCACCTAAAATTACTATAAGGTATTAGGACACAGTTCCTGAGGGTGTCGTAATAATAGAGCAATACAATCAAAAACTGCAGAGTCATATTGATAAGTCTAATCAGTGAATGGCTAAATTATACAATGTATTATTAATTTAAAGAAACAAAGATTTTTTTTTGAAGGTTTCACTGAAAAGGGATGAAAATAAAACTAATTTCTGGTGCCCAATGAAAAAAATTTTTATGTTAGAAAATGCACTTATCTCAATTACTTCATCCTCTAAATATCACAACCCAATGGGCCATTATCATCTATCTTTCATATTTTCTGCGAGGTCTAAAATACTGTACGGCCTCTCAATAAATCCCTGGTTAAATTACATTTTAGAAGCCAGTTTATTCCTATCACAATAACCGCTTCCTTTTACAGAAGAACAAACTTAGAGATCTTGCTTTCCATCTCACTATTCTGTTCCTCGCTGTGGGGTTTCATTCAAATAAGAGTCAAGAGCGGGCCAATGAAGTTCACAGCAAAGCACAAGGGGCTGGCCTTCGACGCCCAGGGCTGCCACAGAGAGTGTGACTAAGGTAAAGGCCCGGGCGCTGTCGATGCCTCGGGTTTGTGCAATGATAAAAGGAGGACTCTGCGTGACGCCTTCTACACCAAGGGCTCTTCTCACCTGCCCCGCTGCCTGTAAGTGCTGGGCTGTGCTGGACGTGAGGATGACCTGGCACAAGCGGAGAGCTGGGAGCAGAATCTGCCGGTAGCGGTCCACCGGGGCAGGGATGAACACTGGTGGGTCTCTCATGCCGAACATGCTTCATTCATTTCCACCCAACAAGGAGAGAGCGACAGTCCAAGAGTTAAGGGATGCTAACAGTTCCTGACCACCTCCATGTCAAACAATCACAGGTGCCTGATTAAGATGTGAAGCTACTAAGGAGAATTCTGCATCCCATACCAACAGTAAAAACAGTTATTTCAGTTCTGAAAAATCTCGATAAAGAAAATCTGCATAATTTGAAGACAATGCTTGGAAGTTCCTCAACATATTTATTCTACTCTAAATGCTCCCGTGGGCCACAGAAACTATAAACAAGAAACAGATAAAAATGGAAGTTATTTTCTCCAAATTTCCCTCTCCTGTACGCAAAGCCAGAAATGAGTCTACATTGCCCATTATATTAAAAAATCAAGATTTTAAAAAGTTAAAATGAGGCTGTAAGATCATTTCACTTTTAAGATTAGGTATTAATAAACCATCATTTATTGTAAATGTTTGTATTTAAATTTTTAGACAAAAGAAAATGGTTGCCTGTTGAAGAGAAGGGAATGGAAGCAAAATATGGAATAAGAGAAAGGCTTTGCACAGACAAGTGATTAAATGCCAAGAGCTGAGGAATGTAAATAACTCAATCCTTTTTACCTAAGGGGAAAATAATAACTCTCATGTTTAAAATTTTAGAAAGCAATATAAAAAAAACATTTCTTTTCTGGAGGTAAAATAGTTCTACAGTTAATCCTGAAACACTCAAATATTCAATTTGGCAATGGATCTTTTGAAGAAAATTAATAAAACTGACCTAAGTGTTATTTACTGCTAAGAGGGTATGCTAACAATGTTGCAGCCAGGTAGACAAAAATGAGGGGGAAAAAAACCCATATACAAACTGAACTGAGAAATCTGTTAAAAAGCTCAAAACTTAGGGGCGCCTGGGTGGCTCAGCCATTGGGCGTCTGCCTTCGGCTCAGGTCATGATCTCAGGGTCCTGGGATCGAGCCCCGCATCGGGCTCCCTGCTCTGCTGGGGGCCTGCTTCTCCCTCTCCCACTCCCCTTGCTTGTGTTCCCTCTCTCACTGTGTCTCTCTCTGTCAAATAAATAAAATCTTAAAAAAAAAAAAAAAAAAAAGCTCGAAACTTAAAAAATTGTTTGACTAAAAGATTTCAAATGTGCAAGCAGTTGATAAAATGCTACAATGACAAAAATATAAAATACTATTCAAGTCATCAGGAATAGGAAATCCACAACAAATTATAATTTCACTACAATACTTTAAAGGATCACTATAACTAAAAATAAATATTCTTTTTTGTTTTTTTAAGATTTTGTTTATTTAGAGAAAGAGAGAGAGCGTGAGCAGGAGAGGGGTAGGGGGAGAGGGAGAGAGAGAATCTCAAGCAGACTCCGCGCTGAGCTCGGAGCCCGACATGGAGCTAGATCTCACCACCCTGAGATCATGACCCAAGCCAAAATCAAGAGTCAGACACTCAATCGACTGGCCACCCAGGTGCCCCTAAAAATATATGTTCTATTGAACAGAACACTAAAGTTGGGAAGAAAAACATTTACTAACAAAATGGCTCTATTTCCCTCTTACATTACTGCTCTAAAATGGAAAGCATTAGGTCCCTCTTACTTTTACTCTTACTAGCAACTTCCACTTATTAGTAAATGGCAGGGACGTAGGACCCAAAAAGAGTCATCAGGATGAAAGAATACTGCTCAAACAGAATGACAAAGCAATGGCAAAATTATGTTTGGAATATCTTTTTCCCTCACTGACCCTTTACAGTGAAGAATTAGTAAGGAAACAACACCAATGTATATGGACACTTACCCCTGTGGGTCCATCTCTGGGCGCATGTCATAGACCTGGCATTGTGCCAGTCTCACTATCACCCCAGACCTCAGCAGCTCTAACGCACCCTGCTGTATCTTAGCCACTCTTGTAAGAAATGCCTAAGAAGTTACAAAGGGAAAAGCATCAGTACAGAAATCATATTCAAGGGCCTGAGATACAAATGAGACTCTCTCACAGCACATTTGCGATCTTTAATCATAGCAAAGAGAAATTCTGAGCTAGCTGTGCAGGGGCAAACACTACGGTTCTCAGAGGATTCTATGAGGACTGAACGGCACCGTGTATCTCAATCGCATCCAGTGCCTTAGCATGAAGGAAGTGTTCAACTCAACTGTAGTTTCTCTGATCATTATGTGGGCGTATGGAGGGCAGGGAAGATTGTTTTGCACACAACTGTATCTCTAGTACCCAGTGCCACACCTGGCATGTAGTAGGTATTTAATAAATACTTATTGAATCAACAAAGGAGGGGAAAGAACTTTAGTAAGGAATCTAAGACTTCAGTGCTCCTGTTATTGTGACACTGTAGTATTTTCAACCAGGAGGAAACAGAAAACAAATCTGGAGGAAAGGAAATAATGGGTTATATACTGTACTGAAAATCCTGTGTTAAACTAGAACAAGCACATCTACACGAGAATGTTCACCAGGCAACTAACAGAGTCTGAATTTTATTGTGAAGAGACAATTTTGCTCATTGCTCTCCTCAGAGGACTGAATGTCCTATCATTCGCCATCACCAGCAGCCTGAGTGAGCAGCAGTTCCATTACCCACCAACCCTCTCAGGCTCACTTCAACTCAACTCTGGCATGCTAGGAAGATGCATTTCTAACATATGTTCCCAATTTCAAACTTCGTAAAAGATGGAAATATTCAAAATTGCGGCCACATTAATGTTCTTTAATATAGCTATAGCTCGAAGAGGAAGTGAGCTGTTGATCTAACTTCAAAGGAATATAAAGCCTTACCATTTTGGATTCGTAAGTATAAAGGGCTTTTAAAAGGGGAGGTTGTGGAGTTAGTAAGCTCTGCAAAGTATGGTCATCTTCTACCAAGCTGTCCACAAGCACCTTCAAATAGCCACTATTAGAAAGATACAAAAGCCACTGCTGCTGCTTATCTACGGAGACAATCCGATCAAGTAGAGCCAGGGCCAGCATCTGAGGGAAGAACAAATCACAGTCCGAAACACGGAAACGGCCACCAAAATCATCGACAGAAACTGCCTTTATGTGAAAATACTCAGAACTCTTCTTACCAGGGGATGGTAGCTTAAAATAACATTTTCTTATTTTGGTTTGGTTTTGTTCTGTTTTTGAGAAACTGAAAGCTATGTATACAGAATCTCAATTTATCAATAAAAGGAGGAAAGGGACTTTTTAAAATAGCTTTTTTTCCTAATTGTGAAGTTTTACATGCTCATTACAGGAAACCTAGAAAACGTAGAAAAGCATATAGAAAATATGTGGTCTGATAAACACTCCATTAATCCATTTTGGTCTCTCTCCTCCCAGTCTTTTTTCAATGCATAAAAACACTTAAACTTTTTTTAACATAACTGAGAACTTACTACACAGTTTATATTTCATCCTATTTCTTAAAATCTCGTTTCCCACAGTCTTCAAATACAACTGACCCTTGAACAACACGGGCTTTAGGAGCACAGTGGAAAAACCACGTGTAACTTTAGACTTCCCACAACTTTAATTACTAACAGCCTACTGTTGACCAGAAGCCTTGCTGGTAACATAAACAGTAGATTAACATATATTTTCTACATCCCATGTACTATATACTGTATTCTCCCAATAAAGTAAGCTAGACAAAAGAAAATATTATTAAGAATATCATAAGAGAAAATACATTTACAGTGCTGTACTCTACTAGTCAAACAAATCCACGCAGTTCAAACCCATGTTGTTCCAGGATCACTTGTGTATGATTCAAACGCTATGAAATTCTCCACCAGCAGGAAGTCACCTTCTCACTGCGCTATCACCAGTCTGACACAGTATTTTAAAGAAATAGAAATGCAAATTCCCCTCCACAAAGCAGAGAAAGACATATTCAGTATAAAAGCTGTGCACCCAGCATTCTCTTAACCAAGATCTTCCTTAAGCAGCATTTCTACCAGTGTAGGGCCAACCTCACAGTCAGCACAAAGATTATTCTGAGGGAAGATTCTGAACAAACTGAGATTCTGAACAGAATTAAACAAAACATATGAATAAACGATAGAAATGCCAAATCACAGCAAGTAAGAAAATTCACTAAAATATATTACAGAAAACAATTCTCAATATGCAACATGCATTTGAAAGTTGATGCAGTTTATACCTTAATGAGCCAAAATATTTATTCAATTATTCTACTAAATAGGAGTTACTGTACCCTTCCAATCTCATGACCGTCACAGGCATCTCGACAGACCACTTCCATGAGGGCAGCACCGTAGCTCTCAATGATGGCTATGTTTTCTCGCTGTAATTTACTAAATACATCTTCAGGGGCTGTCAGCCTTTCCCACATGGTTTTCTTGGCTAAAAGGGTTATAAAAGAAAATATTTAAAACACTCCAATAAAAAACAATTTGGTAACAAGTAATTACACCTCATACACACAAGAAAAAAATCCCTCCGTTACTGCATGTACCCAAAGGCCCACGAACCAATGGGTCCAGGTAGGTGAACTTCAGGGACCCAGTGCACACGTTCCACGTATGTACACTAAGATTAACAATGGTATTAGGAAAAGGATAAACTAACTATTCTTAAAGAAATCAAGATGAATTATGAGACTACAAGAGAACCAATATCCTGTGTTTATTCTGCTAACCAATCTGTTTTCATCCTTCACTGAGATCTATGAGAAATGTGGCTAAAAAAAATCAGGTACAATGTAGACAAGTACCTGCTTCCCAAAAAATCAGATAATTTTATTCTTTTATATTTTTTAATTGACATACTTATTAAAAGTATACCCTGGGGCGCCTGGGTGGCTCAGTTGGTTAAGCGACTGCCTTCGGCTCAGGTCATGATCCTGGAGTCCCGGGATCGAGTCCCGCGTCGGACTCCCTGCTCGGCGGGGAGTCTGCTTCTCCCTCTGACCCTCCTCCCTCTCATGCTCTCTGTCTCTCATTCTCTCTGTCTCAAATAAATAAATAAAATCTTTAAAAAAAAAAAAAAAAAAGTATACCCTGTATGATGGCAATTTAGATAATTAAAGATATGACCATTCATTTTAACATGAGATTCATGTAAACCTTCTAGAAAAGTTTCAAAAATATATTACATAAAGCCATGACCTGTATTTGAAGCCAATCCTGTGACTTTTTTACTACCTAGCAGCTATCTTTTAAAATTAGGGAAAAGTTCTTGGGGCACCTGGGTGGCTCAGTCGTTAAGCGTCTGCCTTAGGCTCAGGTCATGATCCCAGGGTCCTGGGATCGAGCCCCACATCAGGCTCCCTGCTCGGCAGGAAGCCTGCTTCTCCCTCTCCCACTCCCCCCTCGCTTGTGTTCCCTCTCTCGCTGTGTCTCTCTCTGTCAAATAAATAAAATCTTTAAAAAATAAAATAAAATAAAATTAGGGAAAAGTTCTCAAGATGAATTGATCAGAATGGAGACTAAAAATGAAGCAGGCTTCATCATGAAAAATAAAAGTTAATCCACATTGTGGCCTACACTCCATTATAAAGTTTGCAGCAGGCAAACTTCCAGTATTAATAATATTTTCTCCCTAAGTATTTTTACCACTACTATGAATTTTATTTGTCATACTTATTTTTAATCTCAAATAGTGTCAAAGGAGGGTACGGTTTTTACATTTCTCATTATGTCACTTCCTTAGGTCACATGGTCCCATTTACTTCTCAGCCTCCTCTTCCACTCTCCACCTCTCCCACCAGCTGCCACCACACGAGCTTTTCTGTCTCTGAAATTTACCACTTTGGTCTCAGGATCTTTGCACTTTGATCTCTCATGGTTTTCCTTGGGTCTTAGCATGGCTGCCTCCTCTTCATCACTGCAGCCTCTAATACCACTTCTCAACCACCTCCAGCACTCCCTACACGTACACACATACACAACACAGTACTGTCGTATTTTCTGCATGGTACTGATTTACCAGGACCTCAGGTGGTGTGACAGTGGGATTCTGTTTTGTCCACCACTAGTCTCCCAGTATTTAGCCCAGTCGTTAGCACAGTAGCACCAATATTACTGACAGATTAACAGCTCAGAGAAAGTTCAGAACCTTGTCCCAGGGATGCCACCAGATGCCCTCAGGATGGGTAATTCAAAAACCCAGTCTGAGGAGCTATGGCATTTTTTCTATTTTACACATAGGATTGCCACAAAATTCTGTTTGAATAAAGGTTTTGAGTAACAGTCTGAAAGCCACCACATTATAGTTTGTTTTAGCCACAAATTGCATATTTCAAACATGGCTGAAATGAGGGTAGAGGGCTGCTGGAACATTACTCCACAGACTCTTCCACAAAAGCCCTAAGATACCCGAGATACCCCTAGGGCTTCACAGTGAAAACTGAAAGCAGTGATTTGCAGAAAACCAGGATAGGTATCATAGAAATAACTTGATTTTCATTTTCAAACTGTGAATAAGATTTCCAAGTTCCACATACTATTTATTAACAGCACCACCTAGAAATAAGAAAATTCTAAGTCTGCAATTTAATTAGAACTTTCTTTTAAATCTTCCATCTTTGGAGGGTAAATTAGCTCATCAGAAACCACCAAGTTAGTCTCTTATACAGCAAACCATCCCTTCTTCCAACATACCTTATAAATCACTGCCATGCGAGCTTTTCTAAATACCAACTTCATATCACATCTCTCAATAATTAAAAATGGCTACCGACTGCTTAATCCAACCACCTCTAACACTGCAATTTCATTTTCAAGGTCATCAATAATATGGTCCCACCCTCTCTACTTGACTTTGCCATCAACCTTCTCCCTTGCTTATACCCAGGACATCCCCCTTAGTCTTTACTCCCTCCTAGTTTGGGCCTTGCCTGAAAAGCTCTCCTCCATTTATTCCTGTGTAAAAACATCTTTACCTGCAAAGTCCAGTGAAAGTCTTGATCTCCTTTTTTTCTCTTACCTCTTATAATTTATACTTGGGGTTTGAAAACTAAAGGCTGAGGGCAAAATCTGACCTGTTCTTATAAAGCTTTAATGCAACATACCCACAGTCATTCATTTGCAGTCTCCGGCTGCTTTCACACTATAATGGCAGGGTTGAGTACTTGCAACAGAGAGCATGTGGCTTGCAAAGCCTAAAATACCACCTGGCCCTTTACAGAAAAAGTTTGCTGGCATCTGGTCTATATCATCCAATTTAACACTTTCTGTTTTATAAATACATATATTGTCATTTCTACTAAAATGTAATCCTTATGAGAATAAGAACCCAATTAATATTTTCTGCTTCTTAGAATAAGTGAAAATAACCAACCACCAAATGATTACTGATTTTTATTTGTATTGTGAAAAACTAGAAATAATCTAAATGTCCAAAAATGGGTAGGCTAAATAAATTATGGTATTCCATAAGTGACAAAATGTACAGAACTATTAAAAATATTACTTAATGAAGAAAAAAGTTCATAAAATACTGAGTGGAGAGAAAAGGGAGATTATAAATCAATATAAAATGATGGCTGAAACTGTGGAAAGAGCCGAGATGCCCTTCAACAGATGAATGGATAAAGAATATGTGGTCCATATATACAATGGAATATTACTCAGCCATCAGAAAGGATGAATACCCAACTTTTACATCAACATGGATGGGACTGGAGGAGATTATGCTAAGTGAAATAAGTCAAGCAGAGAAAGTCAATTATCATATGGTTTCACTTATTTGTGGAACATAAGGAATAGCATGGAGGACATTAGGAGAAGGAAGGGAAAAATGGCGGGCGGGGGGAATCGGAGGGAGAGATGAACCATGAGAGACTATGGACTCTGAGAAACAAACAGGGTTTTAGAGGGGAGAGGGAGGGGGGACAGGTTAGCCCTGTGATGGGTATTAAGGAGGTCACGTACTGCATGGAGCACTGGGTGTTATACGAAAACAATGGATCGTGGATCACTACATCAAAAACTAATGATGTATTGTATGGTGACTAACATAACGTAATAAAATTTTAAAAATAAATAAATAAAATAAAATGATGGCTGGCTATAACCAAAATGTTGTGGTAGTTTTTAGCAGGGTAAAATGTGTGACTTCTTCTTCCCTTTATTAGTATGTTCTAAATTTCCTACGTTCAGTATGTATTTTGAAATAAAAAATAAAAGCTAGAAGTATTTTTTAAATGCCTGATTGTTAACTCTTAGTCAGATTCTCAGGTTTTTGTTTTTGTTTTTGTTTTAATTTGGGAGAGAGAGAGAGTGAGTGCATGTGTATGTGAGTTGGGGGGGACAGAGGGAGAGGGAAAGGATCTTAAGCAGGCTCCCCGCCCGGCTTAGAGCACCACACAGGGCTCCGTCTCACGACCCTGAGATCATGACCTGAGCCAAAATCAAGAGTTGGTCGCTTAACCAACTGAGCCACACAAGCGCTCCAGGTTCTCAGGTTCTAAAACAAGTGATGAGGAATGTGCATCTAAATTCACATCAAGCAAAGAGCCTACACTCAACTATATACACACACGTACAGCTATAGCTAGTGTTTTTAAGTCACTTACTGGAATCAGACCCAAAAGAACAGAGTCAACAGCAGGCAAGATGTTCTATGAGATCCTTTTAGTCCCACTACTTTATGACTTATGGGTGTATTTATACTATAATGCCAGATTACACTAATGCCTAGACCATAAAAACTGAGACTCTCACAAAAGATTTCTCAAAAATTTAATAATGGCAATAGATTGTCTTTTCTTTCTTTTTTTTTTTTTAAGATTTTATTTGACAGAGAGAGACAGAGCGAGAGAAGGAATACAATCAGGAAGAGTGGGAGAGGGAGAAGCAGGCTTCCCGCCGAGCTGGGAGCCCGATGTGGGGCCTGGGATCATGACCTGCACTGAAGGCAGATGCTTAATGACTGAGCCACCCAGGTGCCCAATAGATTGTCTTTTCTAACCGCCTTTTTAAAAAAGATGAATTGATATTATGGTTTCACAAAGAACAAGAATATTCTTGCTCAGGGGTGCCTGGGTGGTTCAGTCGGTTAAGCGTCTGCCTTCAGCTCAGGTCATGATCCTGGAATCCCAGGATTGAACCCCACATGGGGCTCCCTGCTCAGTGGGAAGTCTGCTTCTCCCTCTCCCTCTGCCGCTCCCCTTCACTTGTTCTCTCTCTCTCAAATAAAATCTTTAAAATATATATATATATATTCTTGCTCAAAAGTCACAAGAGCGCAAAAGAATTATGACAATTTCTAATGCTTACTCATAAATAAAGTGTAAAACTGAGTATCATTAACTTGTCAAAATTAAGGGAAAAGAAAAGCCAATTTAAAACAGAACATGGGGGCGCCTGGGTGGCTCAGTTGGTTAAGCGACTGCCTTCGGCTCAGGTCATGATCCTGGAGTCCCTGGATCGATCCCGCATTGGGCTCCCTGCTCGGCAGGGAGCCTGCTTCTGCCTCTGACCCTCCCCCCTCTCATGTGCTCTCTCTCTCTCATTCTCTCTGTCTCAAATAAATAAATAAAATCTTTAAAAAATAAATAAATAAAATAAATAAATAAATAAAATAAAACAGAACATGGGACACCTGGGTGGCTCAGATGGTTGAGCATCCAACTCTTGGTTTCGGCTCAGGTCATGATCTCATGGGTTGTGAGATTGAGCCTCGTGTTGGGCTCTGCACTCAGTGGGGAATCTGCTTGAAGATTCTCTCCCTCTGCCACCCCCCCCAACTCATGGGCACACACATAAGCTCTCTCTCTCTCAAATAAATAAATCTTAAAAAATAATTAAATAGCCCCTCATCAGGCTCCCTGCTCAGTGGGAAGCCTGCTTCTCCCTCTCCCACTCCCCCTGCTTGTGTTCCCTTGCTCGCTGTGTCTCTTTCTGTCAAAAAAAAAAAAAAAAACTTAAAAAATAATAAAAAATAAATAAACAGAACATGTGAGAAAAGCTTATAGTAAAAGTGTTTAAGATTGCAACAATTTAAACAATTTTAAAATTAAGTAATTGAACCAATACCTTCCATACAGCTATATCAATCAGCTATAAATTAAAGTTGGATGATAAGCTCCTAGAAAATGAAAAGTCATTAATGAATCTGTTCTAAAAGCAATATAATCCATTTTACTGAGATTACAATAGAACATTCAAACAGAGCTAATCTCATGGAAATAAAACTAAGAAAGATGTACTACACTCTCTGCTCCGAAGTGTTAGCCTAACTTCATAAAATGGCTTTATAAATAAACTTCTATTGAAAATATTAACCTGCTAAAAAATGTGTATCTTTGTAATTATCAATCTGTCTTTAAACGTGAAGCGTTTTTATAATACTACAGCTTAAGAAATAAACCAAAAAAAGAAATTAAGAATGTAACAATGGTGCTTCACATTAAACATTTAGGCTCTGGTCAAATTATCCATATTTTCTCCTAGTGGTCACTGGTAGAAAAGAAAATAAAAGGTGAAAAGAATACAAAGAGAGATATTCGTGATGTCAACTCTTGTCAACTAACCCCTAGGGATTACATACGCAAAAGCAAGGTCAGATTTTAACTACACTGTTCTTAACTACAAAGACATATAAAAATCTTCCACAGAAGTTACTCAAAGAATATATGCTTTTGTTCCTTCCCAGATCTGCATTGCGAGCTCGAGGCGATGGAATCTACCAATAGGGATTTTCAGAAAGCTACCTATATGCTTAAGAGCCATTTGACTTCCTTTTCCCTAAACTGTAAGCTCATAACTTTTGCCCATTTTTCTACTGGGTTATTGATTTGTAGGTGCTCTTTACATACTAGAAATTAATCCTTTATAACATGAGCTACAAATACATTGCTGGTACGTATTATCTATCAAATTAAAAGGAAAAAATTACAAATTGCAAAAAGACAACAACAACAAAAAAGATGAAGATCTGGTCAGGAAAAGCAACATTCTATTACAAATTGAGAAAACTGAATTCTAATCTCAGATCTGTCACAGACAAGCAAGTCATTTAGTCTCTGTAAGTCAGATTCCTTTTAAACAAAACAGGGAAAATAGCTGCCTAGTATTCAGTGTATATAATTATGTTAAAAATAAAGTAGGGGCGTTTGAGTGGCTCAGTCGGTTAAGCGTCCAACTCTTGGGTTTCAGCTCAGGTCATGATCTCAGGGTCTTGAGATCAAGCCCCATGTTGGGTTCCATGCTCAGTGCAGAGCCTGCTTGAGATTCTCTCTCTCCCTCTGCCCCTCCTCCTGCTTGCATGTGCTCTCTCTCTAAAATAAACTCTTTAAACAGTAAATAAATAAAGTAAAAGTGGTATGGAAAAATAAGTATATAGACTTTAAAAATTCAGTTTCTGTTTTAAAACAAAATAGAAAGTAAGTACAGAGTCAAAATATACACATACAAAAAGGCCCTCAATAAATATTTATTGAATTTAATTTTTTTTTTTTAAGTAGGCTCCATGCTCAGTGTGGAGCCCAATGTGGGACTTGAAATGAAGACCCTGAGATCAAGACCTGAGCTAAGATCGAGAGTCGGATGCTCAACCGGCTGAACCACTCTGAATTTAATATGTCTAATTTGAAACTTAAAAACACTAGTATCTAGGGAATAAATTTGCTATTTAAAATAAGTCAAAATAAGCAGCAATTAAGTGGTAAAAAAAACTAATTAAGGGATGAAATTACTCTGAAAACAGATCATTTGAAAATAAAAACAAAGGAGAATTTTCTTTTGTGGTCCTATTACTTTTTTTTTTTTTTATTCATTTGACAGAGAGAGAGACAGCAGGGAGTGGGAGAGAGAAAAAAGCAGGCTCCCCGCTGAGCAGGGAGCCCGATGCGGGGCTTGAACCCAGAACCCTGGGATCATGACCTGAGCCGAAGGCAGACACTTAACCGACTGAGCCACCCAGGGGCCCCACGTGGTCCTACTACTTTATCACATCTTGATAATGATGCCTTATAAAAAGCATGTTGTGGCGCGCCACCTAGTAGTTATGTGGTGATTTTGCCATAGTTCCACTAAATAGAATGTTAACAAAAATTTTAGACAAGAGAAAAATGGGGGAGGTGGGAGGAGCAGGGAGTGGAATCCCCATTACTATCTCTCTTTATAAAAGCTCTTACCTGTTTAAAAAGCTTCTCTGAACTATTATTTAATGACTTTAAAAATATTTTTGTGCATTTTTTAAGTGGGTAGGGCATTTCTATAAATATATCATTTGGCTATTATTACCTTCTAAGAAAGATATGTAAAAATATATAGCCAGGAAAGAATAATATGAGATGATCTGGGTCTTACATACAGAGTGGTTTTTAAAAATTTGTGTACAAAATAGCAAATACTTATAAAGGTTCTCAGAAGGGGACCAGGAGTCCATTACCAAAAGGTACTTACGACAAGTTCTTAAATAGCAGAATAACCTCTGGTGTAGCGTATTATATACTCATCTGCTGGATGGTTAAAAATATTTTTCATATCCAGAGACCAAAGAGTCCAGGTTATTACTCCTAACTAAAAATGCTAATTATATTTTAGAAAGTGGATTTATCAATATTTTTAAATAGGTATTACCTTTGACCAAGAAATTCTACTTCTTGGGATTTATCCAAGAAAAACCTCACATTAGTACAAAAAGACACATGTACACTACTGACGAGACTTCAAACTGGTAGGATGCCATCCGGTAGAATCTACTAAAATAAAAACGTGCATACTCTTTCACATGGAAATTTTGCCATGAAGGATTCTTCTTGAAAAATACACAGGCATATAAAAGAGTATTGATGCAGCACTTTCCTGACAGCAAAAAATTGGAAATAATGGGAGTGCCTATGAATAATGCAAGTGGGGAAATAAATGTTTCCATATTATGGAACAAGAGTCATCTGAAAAGATTCAACTAGGGGCGCCTGGGTGGTTCAGTCGGTTAAGCGTCTGCCTTCAGCTCAGGTCATGATCCCAGGGTCCTGGGATCGAGCCCTGCATCGGGCTCCCAGCTCGGTGGGGAGCCTTCCTTCTCCCTCTCCTACTCCCCCCGCCCCGTTTATGCTTTCTCTCTCTATCAAATAAATAAATAAATAATCTTAAAAAGAAAAAAAGAAAAAGATTCAACTAGATATGCACTGTGACATACTGCAAAGGAAAGAAAGACATGGACACGCTAAGTATCGCATATTGTTCAGTGCGACCAGAGACAACAGAGGGAGTCAAAAATATATATAAGCTAAAGTGGTATCTGGGTGTTTGTTTTTACAGTACTCATGTACTATCTTCTTAATTTTAGAAAATTAAACATTCTTCCTTGACTTTAGAGTAGGCGCTTTAATGATTCCATAAAGACTCAACAATTTGTTACAGCTTTGCTTAGCCAAAAGATGGAAAAGGGCCTTTTTTAAATTTAAAGTAACCAATCACTAAAACAGAAAAGATTAGGAATGTGTCTAGTTCTACCTGCTTCTAATGTGTCTGGTTCGTCTGGTCTTTGGGCGATTTGTAAGTAATACAACAGAGAGCCATACAGGTGTGTCCTCACTCGCTGGAATCCGCCACCTATGGAGACATAGAGTAAAAGTCCCTTTTCAAATTAAAGTTAAAACAAATACAAAAGGTGTAATTTTAAGAAATTTAGATGAAAAGACCTGTCTTCAAAATGAAGTCCAAGAGCTTCTTCAATATAATGTGAAGCGAAGAATCTCCAATAGAAGCAAAACCCACCACAGGGCTGTCTGCTGGAGGAGGGGGCGTGAAAGAACTCTCAAGCATAAAAGCGTAATGGGTCTCTCCAGGTCCCAAGACTAGTGGTTGCTTCTGTTCCGTGCGAACGGCCTGGCTTAGGTGAGCAGTCAGGGTGAACACGGCACCTGCCACCACCGGCATTAACTCCTGCGCTGCTTCATCATCCAGGATCTTAAAGCAGAAAGACAAATCGGAGTGAAGACTGCGCTTTCAGCTACAGTCATTACGGCTTTTATATGCATTTAGCTTTCCAACTACCATAAGAATGTAAGAATGGAATGGCACTGTTCAAAGCAAATAAAAGCTAATATACAGAAAGAAATTGAAACATGATGCTGGTAACACGTGTTCTTAACCAGAAGGGATTCCTATCAAAATTCCTTAGGGAGAATTTTAATGTAAATTCACATAAATGGTCTCACCACCAGTGTCCCATCCAGTATGTCCAGGGTGGGATCTAGCCCTGTGTGTTTTTAAAAAGCTCCCTAGATAATTCCGGTATGTACTCTGGTTGAGAGCCACAACTGTACGGAAGCCTTTCTCAAGGAAAGTCTTCAACACCGCCAGTGCACAGCTCTATTCATTCCTACTATAAAAGGGGGGGGGGAAGGATGGTGGCAAACTGTGTTTAAATGGTATACAAATAAAGGCAATATAGGAAGTTATTAGGAAGTAAGGAAGTTCAGGAAGCCATCTAGGAAGTACGTCACCTTATCATGCACATCTTGTAAAATATCACGAATAATCAGTTGTCGATCCTCTGCCTGAATGAGGTCCTGGGGACAAGCTGTCAGTATAATTTCTACCAGCTGTCTCCATGACTCTAACACATGCCGTTTTGCATGAAGACACTGCAGCAATTTGTTTCTTCCTACCACATACTGAAGTATAGTGCTGATTTCCTAAAGCCACAGAAATTGAATCACAAGGTAAACACATGGGCAAATAATATCTTTTATTAATACAGTCCCATTTTCTTTTAAAGTTTATTTATTGGGGTGTCTGGGTGGCTCCGTTGGTTAACAACGTCTGATTTCAGCTCAGGTCATGATCTTGGGGTCCTGCGATCAGGCCCCACATCCAGCTCCCCGCTCAGAGGGGAGTCTGCTTTCCCTTCTCCCTCTCCCTCTGCCCCTCCCCCCTACTCGTGCACAAGGGCACTCTCTCTCTCTCAAATAAATAAATAAAATCTTTTAAAAATAAATAAAAGTTTATTTATCTTTTTTAGTAATCTCTACACCCAATGTGGGGCTCGAACTCACCACCCTGAGATCAAGAGTCGCACGCTCCTCCAGCTGAGCCAGACTGGAGCCCCAACAGAGTCCTATTTTTAACTCTGTCTGTACATCTGAATACATTTTTATTTATTTATTTTTTTTTTTTAAGATTTTATTTATTTATTTGACAGAGAGAGACACAGTGAGAGAGGGAACACAAGCAGGGGGAGAGGGAGAGGGAGAAGCAGGCTTCCCGCTGAGCAGGCAGCCCGATGCGGGGCTTGATCCCAGGACACTGGGATCGTGACCTGAGCCGAAGGCAGACGCTTAACGACTGAGCCACCCAGGCACCCCTGAATACATTTTTAGTACACTTTGGAAACCTTCCACATGCATGCCAATAAGCAGAGGTGATGGGGTAGAAATGAGCTTTTTAACCCCATTTTCTCTTTGTATTGTCTACTTACGCTTACTCTCAAACACTAGTTGCCTAAAACTCAAGGTCAAGGGCATGTTTCCCTGACACATCTTTTATTTCTTTGCCTCTTGCTTTGGCCTAGCCAGCTGTGTCTCCATGTATGTGGTTCTTCCTGCCTGACCTCTTACCATTACTCCCCACCTGTGATGACAAATGACTCTCTCTTCCCTCACTGACAGAGAGCAAGGGAAGTCTAATACACAATATGGACAGGTTGCAAATCCTTAACTAGCATAGCAGAAAAAGATTTTATTTCTTCTGGCATCCAGACATTAACTTCAGTTTAGTTTATAAAAATTTTAAAGTCTAAATGAAAGATTCCATTAACGTTTAATTTTAAGCAGTTTACTAATTAATCAGCTACAAATCAATTTACTGTTTTGTTTTCTAACTGGCAGTTAAGTAGTTTAAAAAGGTTAAAACTAACATACACTCAATGGGGCTTACCTCCATTAGTAATGGTCGCTGGCCTATGGCTGCCATACCCTGAAGGGCATTTACTTCAGCTACAAGAACCCTATGAAGAAGCTATTTAATTGAGAAAAGAGAGAAAAATCAGACCACTGCAGACACTGACAGAACAATACCTCTACCAATTACTATAAACTGCCCTAGAGGGAAAAGTTTTGGATACCTTTACATATAACCTTCAAGTGGCACTGTCCAGCTTCTAGACACAAACTTCAGGTATCCCTCACATTACTAAGTGGTACCAAAGAGCCTCGGTAACAGGTCAGTTGGTGCAAATGGCCTTGGGTATCTTCTTCCTACTGGTGAGGCCATTACCATTTACCCGGTAGAGAGTTAAATAGCTAAAACTGTTCCATAGCTGGGCAGCGTGACTGCTCTCAGGAAGGTGATGGGGAAACTTTTAAAGAGGTAAAGTTAGTGTGGCCTATTCAGTTTCATTTCCCAGCTGTTTGAAAAATGAAAACACAGCCCAATAAACCAATATCCTTATCAGAAAACAAGTGTGTGGTTCTATTTTGTCCGATGCCTCGAAGTCAGAAGCCCTTGAGACTGCACGCACTTCAAAGCAATCCTCACCTTGACATTGCAGACTGTCTGTCCCCGTAAATTCCTGTGTTCACAGTTAGCAATAACTTGTTCGATCTGGGCCCGATCAAAGAAATCTAACTGCAAAGGCTCAGGGATCTCCTGACTGAAGTCAATCGAGTCAAGAATACTTAGAATTTTTCGACGTACTAGAAATAAATAAAAAGTAGTTCAGGTGTACTTGGAATAGCGAGGAGAAAAGCAAACCACTGTACTCAGCTCATGCCCAAAGGCAGTGCTATGGTCAAGCAAGTCCAGCAACAGAAGACTGTGTTGAAATCTAAATTTGACTTTATTTCTAATATATCCGTTTACAAAAATATTTTTTCCATTCATTCATCCTAATTACAAAAAAATTATTTCTGAATGGCAAATAATCCTTTCTATAGCTTTTCTATACCAGTTCAGAATTTGCAGGCACAGGAGTAATAATTACCTCTTGAAATTTTAAGCAATTTAATATATACCTATAAAGTCATTACAGATTCAAAGGTCTTTACCTTTTGTCGCAGTGTCAAAGTGAAGGAACCCAGAGACAGACCTATTTTCATCTTCCATTCCTCCTTCACCATCTGTTAGAGCATCAATAATAACAGATCAGGAAAAGAACATACTTGTAACACTTATTTGGAAATAACAAACATAAGGTATTTCTTTTTCTAGGTCATTGTTGCTAGGTCAAAGAGCCCTCCACAAATGGATAATTGAAATGCAAAGATGATGAGGACTTAACAACAACATTCATCTAATTCTTTCCATCCCTAGGAGATCCACTTCACAACTGTAAAGAGGATAATCAGAACTCCCAAAGAGGCAGGACCCAATCATGCCAATGAGATGATTAGAAAAGCTTATGTTTAATTTGCATGTATAATACACATTAAAATATCATGGGTCATGCTGGCTCAGTGTGACAAACTCCACTGAATATTTGTGGATATGAATATAGCAGAATGTGAATGCTTCAAACAATAATAAAATGACAATTATGGGATGATTTAAAAATTTTGGTTTTAAGGAAAAAACTTCTAAAGACAGAGAGAACTTGTTTGGCCTACAATCACACGCTAAGCACAAGACTGTTGTGCTTGCATTCACACAAACCAGTCAGCAGCACAATAAAACAAATGCCAACACGCACACACTGACCTGAGTATGGTTTCACGGGCATGTCATCCAGTAAGAGGTGTAGGAGCCTCTGGGTATGGGACCGTTGACGATTCAAAGAAGTTACCCTTAGTTCTATTGAGGCAGTCTTCATTAGCCATGACATCTGGTTCAGCATAGACATTTCATACTCTGCAAGTTACATACAGAAATTTAGTTTCACAGAGTAGTAACACAGAATCATAACAGACCTAAATTCCGTAACTCATCAGATATTTTCCCATGTCACATTGTCAATAACTTACAAAACCTGGCATCATAATTTATCACTCTAAGAAAATTAAAAAAGCAAAAACAGATGCTAAGAGAGAAAAAATAAACAAGTATATGTCTATAAAAAATAAGCCAAAGCAAATGAAGAACAAAAGAGAATCAAGTTTCCATTACCAGAATAATTTTACACAGATCTAAGTCTGTCCCATTTTGACATTAATATGGAACTTCATACTTAAAAAAAAATTCTCGGGCGCCTGGGTGGCTCAGTCGGTTAAGCGGCTGCCTTCGGCTCAGGTCATGATCCCAGAGTCCTGGGATCGAGTCCCGCATCGGGCTCCCTGCTCTGCGGGGAGCCTGCTTCTCCCTCTCCCTCTGCCTACTTGTGTTCTCTCTCTCTCTGTCAAATAAATAAATAAAATCTTTAAAAAAAAGAAATTTCTTAAAAAAAAAAATTCTCAAATATATAACTTGTAAAAAATAAAAAGCTAACATACAGTTTGACTTTTATTTCCTAAAACAAATACACAATGCATGATTTTACGATATCTCTGAAGATAATCAAGGACACCCGATTTAACATAGAACTAGGGTTGGTTTTTACACCACAGCAGCCACTCCAGAGCTACCGCCACGGCCTGAGCTACGCTACGGCTGTGGGCCTCACCGCGGGCCACAAGGTGACCAAGAGCACGAGAAAGCTGAGGCACAGGCACCACGGGCGCCTCACCAAGCACACCAAGTTCATGCGGGACATGATCTGAGAGGTGTGGGGCTTCACTCCACAAAAGCAGTGCACTGTGGAGCTGCTTAACGTCTCCAAGGGCAAGGGGCTCTCAAGTTCAAGAAAACGGTGCGGAAACGCACCAACACCAAGAAGATGAGAGGAACTTCGCGATGTCCTGGCAGCCACGAGGAAAGCGGCCATTGAGAAGGACCGCGCCCCTCCCCACTCTGTGCAAACTAAAACCTTTCCAGAAGCAAAAACAAAAATGAAACCTATAATTAGGATTGGGAACCACTTACAGAAGTTTGTGAATCCAATATCCTTAATGGGCCTGATCTGAAGTCCTAAATTCTAACAGTACAAACATAAAATACACCAAATACTCCTACTCCTACTGCCACCAGCTCTACTGCCAATAAGCAAAACCAGATGGATTTTTAGAAGACAGATACAGTGGGGCGCCTGGGTGGCTCAGTTGGTTAAGCGACTGCCTTCGGCTCAGGTCAGGATCCTGGAGTCCCGGGATCGAGTCCCGCATCGGGCTCCCTGCTCGGCAGGGAGTCTGCTTCTCCCTCTGACCCTCCCCACTCTCATGTGCTCTCTCTCATTCTCTCTGTCTCAAATAAATAAATAAAATCTTTAAAAAAAAAAGACAGATACAGTAATAGATAAGACATTAACTTTCGGGGTGCCTGGGTGGCTCAGTCGTTAAGCGTCTGCCTTCGGCTCAGGTCGTGATCCCAGGGTCCTGGGATCGAGCCCCGCATCGGGCTGCCTGTTCAGCGGGAAGCCTGCTCCTCCCTCTCCCACTCCCCCTGCTTGTGTTCCCTCTCTCGCTGTGTCTCTCTCTGTCAAATAAATAAAATCTTAAAAAAAAAAAAAAAGACATTAACTTTCCCTCCTGATTAGGTAGAAAGGAGGGTTTCTTAAAAAGCTTGTTATATAAACAAAATCTTAGGACTAAAAATAAGACATGCTCATTATGAAAATGAAGTGAAAAATTTTTTGCCATTAAATAATTCCCAAGGGCTTCTCACACCCTCACTCTAAAAAGTAGATTAGTAGCTGATAATTACTAGTAATCCAAATTTATTATGAAATCTGTGGGCTTACATTTCCCAAAACATAAAGATGATACAAAATAATCTTCAAAAAAACTCCACAGACCACAACTGTCTGGATATAATATGAATTCAGAAAATTGTTACAAAATGATCAAAAAGAAAATTATATAAAGTAGAATCCTATAAAACATAGCCTGGGATTGTGGTGGTCAGGTCAATAAACTCAGCTATAGTTTCCACTGTACTTAGTTTTCCATTTCTCATGTCAAGACCTGAATTGGTTTCAACATATACATAAGAAACAAAAGTAAAACAAGAGATTTTAATTTATTAAACACCTTCACTCAAAAAATCTAAATTTCCAGAATCATATACATAAATATTTTCTTACCTCTTCAACACAATTTAAAATCTTTATTTGGTAGTATAAGAATCAAATTCTATCCTTGACAAGCTATTTTTAAATAATTTAATGCCAACAGCTAGAACAGTGAGGCTTCTCAAGAAGAAATTACAAAAGCAACCCAGAGTAAGAAGCAAAGTAACAAAATGAAAGCAGAATTCCACAAGTACTGTAACTGCTACCCCCCAATGTTGTATAAATAAAATCACTCAACATGGACTTTACAAATTAGTTACAATAGTGTGGGAAAATAACGTCCTACCTTTGTTAGAAAAAGGTAAATGTTGCAACTGAGAAAATAAGAAATCCTGGCTGGTTCTCAAGTACCTCATAGTAGGACCGGATGTGTCAGAGCATGCACACAACTGATATATCACCTAAAGAGTTCAAATGAAATAAGAAAATCCCCAAATCATTTTCTCTGTGTTAAAAATTTTAAGATAAAAGGTGACCCAAGGTTTACTAAATGGAAACTAAGACCCATCAATAACTCAAGCAAAATGGATAAACACACATATAAAACAGATGCTCAGTTACAAGCAGTTGTTGGTACCCCAACTCAAGAAAACATATTGGAATATAATTGAGAGTGTTGATGACATCACTATAGAACTAATCTTTAAGTCAGCCTAAGTATATTAATACATACAGTTTAGTATTTTAACTATTATTAATAGCAAATTACTCGAAGTAACTTCTAAAAATTGTACTGAGTAGCAGCGCATCTGCTTTCCGGTCTGTCAGACTCTCCGCCGTCACCCTCTCCCCAGCTTCCTGTCTTAAATCTGGCTCCTTTCACTAACTTCACCTGCCTAACTCCTTTAGCCTCCATGATTAAGCTTATCAACTACTACTACCTGAATACGTCGAATTCTAAAGTACTGCTAAAATGCCCGTCAAGGGCGCCTGGGTGGCTCAGTTGGTTAAGCAACTGCCTTCGGCTCAGATCACGATCCTGGAGTCCCAGGATCGAGTCCCACATCAGGATCCCTGCTCAGCGGGGAGTCTGCTTCTCCCTCTGACCCTCCCCCCTCTCACTCTCTTTCTCATTCTCTCTCTCAAATAAATAATTTTGTAAATAAATAAATAAAATGCATGTCAAGTTTGTTCTCCCATTAAGGAAGAATTCATTTTGATTCTGAGGAAGACCTAGCTTACAGGCTTTCCTTACAGGACTTACAGTGAAGGGCTGTTTGGACAGCCAGAGGACAGGAGAAAATTGTAACAGATTACAAAAAGAAAAATGGGAGAATAATAAAGAAAAAGCTCCAGGTCACTAGAAGCCAACGATGCCTTTTTTTATTCTGAAAATGTGAATCAAGGGTGCTGCTGAAATTGAGAAACAAGTTGCATCTTACAAAGCCTAGTTTTTCACACACAAAATGAGTAAGACAAGAAATAATCACAAGCGAACACAGGCAAAACAGAAGCTCTCAGTACAGTTTCAACTTTGCACTAATTTGACTTTCCACCACCTTACATTTAGCTCTAGTGCTGGAGTCACATGGTTCTTAAATCGCGCTCTCACCCACAGTCCTACATTCTCAGCTAAGTCTCACAACAGGCCGCTGCACACATTAAACTCAGAGAAGTTTTGTGCCCCACCCAAGCTGATTTAGCTAGTTAAGGGTTAGAGATGAGAATCAGAGGTCTTCTGACCCAAATCCACTACTATCTTCACCAAAAAGAGACAACTTGAAATAGCACCACTGGACACTTTCTACACTACCAGCTCAAAATCCATCTCAAAAATCTAATTTCCCTCATTTGTCAAAGGAGCGACATACAGGATCTGTAGATCTATAGGAACTTGGGGTTTATGCTCCGTGGATTTTATCTATAAATGAAAGACCAGCCAAACTACCAAATGAACTCATTTTAACTCAAGTCTTACTGTTAAACTTCCGTACCTGTGATATATTCAAGCACCTAGTTAAATTTCTTCTACTAAGTGCTATCAAATACAGCCTTCTGTGTACCTGGTAACATAGTTCAGCGAGTTGAGGAGATTCTCTCACTGCCACCGGGCCTGTTCTCCCTTCAGTTCCCTTCTCCAAGATGTTTAAAATGGCATGAAGGCACGTCCGAGGGCAACCTAACACTCCTACGGGAGACCAAAAAGAAGTTCAGCTTTTCAAATTTCTGCATTAAAAACTTTAAAATCCCTTTATTAAATTCCAGGGCGCCTGGGTGGCTCAGTTGGTTAAGCGACTGCCTTCGGCTCGGGTCATGATCCTGGAGTCCCTGGATCGAGTCCCGCATTGGGCTCCCTGCTCGGCAGGGAGTCTGCTTCTCCCTCTGACCCTCCCCCCTCTCATGTGCTCTCTCTCTCAAATAAATAAATAAAATCTTTAAAAATAAAATAAAATAAAATAAAAAGAAATATTAAATTCCATAAATATATGCTCCACTGTAAATACACTTTCAAATACTGACACAGAAAATTAATAAATGCTAATTTTCCAAAGCTTAATTTGTCGACTTGATCTAAGTTCTAAAGACTTACCAACCATATAACCTCTCACTTCCAGTTAATTATCCCATGAGCCCAGAATTCAACGAATGACCATTTAACTACATAAAACCGAAAAGAAATCAATGTCTATGTGTCTTCTGGTTATACCTGGATCTTGCAGGTTTGTGGTACTGACAGGTTTCTTCAGTTCAAAGCCCAGGAGATAGAGAGCAAGGTTGGGTGGGTTGCGTTCCAGAGAGGTGATAAGAAGATTCAAGATGTGGATTCTTGTTTCATGACGGATTCCAGCTAGCTTCTTTTCAAGTTCTGATCCTTAATGTGGAAATCCACAAAACAAAATTACAAAACAATAAACAAATCAAGATAAGTCAAGTTTAAATACATAAAGCTTGTATTCCAAACCTCCACATTCTCTTAAAGTTCACTTCATCAGCCATTAGAGTGCAGATTTAAGAGGTTTCCAGAAAGCCTTATGTGTTTGTGCCAGCAAATTCTCAAACTTCTCTTGTATCACCAAGAGACAGTTAACAGTTTTCTTTATATTATTTATAAAGAGTAAAAAATGTCCATGTTAGTAGAAGACATACCCTCTTCTAGACGTACAAATTCTTCTGTATCTTCACTATCCAAACACTCCACAAATCCAGCCATCAGCTTCTGACTTACACTCTGGGGTCATATAAAGATTTTTTAAAAGACAAATTATAAGCTTCTTAAATATTAAAGAAACTATGATAAATATGCTATGGATTATAAACATTTGTCTACAAAGAAAAAAGGCAAATCTCTAAAGTACTTAGGTTTCAGTTTCGCTTTTAATTAATAGGAAACTCAGTTCCTTAAATTGCCATAAGTTAGCTCTCTATAGAAATAATTAAAGAAACAAAAATTTTTTAAGTTACTGGTTTCAAAACTTGCTTCCCTAATTTTCTTTCCCAAAGGATCAAACCAGTTTTAAAAAAAAATAACATTAAATTGCCATCTCATGATCTCTTCATTGTATACCCAATGCTATGAGATCTTAACTAAAATATAAAATAAAATTCTCATCCTCTCTCTTTAGAAATGTATTGCTTATCACCAGTTTTACGTATCTGGGCTGGGCTGAGAGATTAGACACTACCCCATCTCCTCGAGGAACCTAGCAGGATATTAAAATTGGTAATAATAATTCATACTCAAATGTATGTGAGTGAGCTGAGAACCCTCACTTTCCACATCCCCTATCATGTAGCTTTTGTGGGGGTTTTTTTGTTACAATTAATTAATGGAACTTCAATATGTGGGTGATACACTGATTGCCAGCCCAACAAAGGAGGATTCTGATGAAAATACAATCCTCTCTATCATGTAGTTTTTTTGTTTTTTTTTTTTTTTTTTTTTTTTTTTTTTTAAAGATTTTATTTATTTATTTGACAGAGAGAGACACAGCGAGAGAGGGAACACAGCAGTGGGAGGGGGAGAGGGAGAAGCAGGCTTCCTGCAGAGGAGGGAGCCCGATGCGGGGCTCGATCCCAGGACCCCGGGACCATGACCTGAGCTGAAGGCAGACGCTTAACGACTGAGCCACCCAGGCGCCCCTCATGTAGTTTTATCCAAAAGCCAGATCAGACCGTGGTTCTCAACCTGGGTGGCACTGCTGCTCCAGACGGCACTTGGAAACATGTGGGGGCATTCTGAGTTGTCACAACTAGAGTTTACTACTGACAGACACTGGCAGGGCACCAGGGATGCTAAGAGTCTTGCAATATGAGGAAGAGTGACACAGAATGAAGATATGTCCCATCTAAAATGCCAGAAGAGTCTCTGTTTTATTTTTTAAAGATTTTATTTATTTGAGAGAGGGAGAGCACGAGCGGGGGGGAGGGACAGAGGGAGAAGGAGAAAGAGAATTTCAAGCAGACTCCCCACTGAGTGCGGAGCCTGACACGGGGCTTGATCTCTGGACTCTGACATCATGACCTGAGCCAAAATCAAGAGTCAGACACCCAACCAACTGAGCCACCCTGTCACCCCAAGAGTCCCTCTTTTAAAACACTGTACACAACAAAATTCAACTAGCTAAAGCAGTGATTTCTAACATGAAGATACAAGGGGAAAATGCCTATAAAGAGCAGGGGAAAAAAGTAGCAGATACCCCAATAGTGGCTATTCAGCATAGAACCGAGCTATTCAGAATAGAAAGAGATTATAAATTAGATTAATAGAAGAACATCTGAAAACTGTCTACAGTGCAATATCAAATGAAGTGACACAAATGGAAGTCACCAGAAAGCCACAGCAGTAGACAACTCAACAGTGAGACACATCCAGAATTGCACAGGCTCACTCAGACTACGGTCAGAGTGACCGACAGAGTGAGACAAAGGATGCAGAACACAAGCAGAAGCCACACTTACAAACCTCATCACCTTAATGTACTCAGAGGGGCAAGAGTTTCCCTCCGCCTGCCAGGCACACACCACAGCGTCTGGAGCATCACTGTGGATGGTGTTCTCTTCAAAACAGATCACAGCCCAGTACATGGACGGGTCTTCACCATCATATATAAATATACTTACTCTCACAGAATTTTTTCATAAACATGAGTAAGATTCCTCCACAGACACTGTGACTTCCATACGTACTCAGAAAGTACCAGAAGAAATAACAACACCAAAATCAGTTACCTGGTCATGTGTGAAATCTCCAACCAATTTTATCTGAATATTGGAATTGCAAGAGATACAGCAGAGGATCTTGGCACTTTCAAAAGCCAATTCCGGATTAGTATTGCCATGATAGAGGTATCTTTAAAACAAAAAAACATTTGACGAACAATGTGACAAAACTTTTGGCTTTTCACTCCTCTCTACAAGGAACATTTAGAACCAGGCCATACAGCACTCTTGGGTGAATGAGACAAAGGTTTCTGTTCTAACTAGATGCAGTCTGTTATGGGTTGAATTGCATTCCTCCAAAATTCAGTCGTTGGTATCTGAACACGCAGTGCTCAATCAGGACACACAGTGACCTTATTTGGAAATAGGGTCTTTGCAGACACAGTCAGTCAAGTTAAGGTGAGGTCATTATAGACAGCCTGGTCCAATGACTGCTGTCCTTATTGAAAGGGGGGATTTGGAACAGACGCACACACACAGGGAGAACACCATGTGAAGCTGAAGGCGGCAACGCAGGGGACACCTCTATAAGTCAAAGAACACCAAACACTGCCAAGCAAGCCACCGGAAGCTAGGGTACACACACTGGTAAGCTTCCTTCCTAGCCCCTAACCGCCAAACTTCCAGCTTCCCTGAAGGAGACAAACTATATATATATATATATATTTTTTTTTTTTTTTTATTAGTTTCAGAGGTAGAATTTAGTGATTCATCAGTTGCATAGAACACCCAGTGCACATTCCATCACGTGCCCTCCTTACTGCCCATCGCCCGGTCACCCCTTCTCCCCACCCACCACCCCTCTCTCTAGTAACCCTCGGTTTGTTTCCTAGAGTTCAGCATCTCTTGTGGTTTGCCTCCCTCTTAATTTTCATCTTATTTTATTTTTTCTTCCCTTCCCCTAAGGTTATGTGTTTTGTTTCTTAAATTCCACGAGTGAAATCATAAGATATTTGTCTTTCTCTGACTGACTTATTTTGCTTAGAATAATACCCTCTAGTGCCATCCACAGCGTTGCAAATGGCAAGATTTCATTATTTTTGATGGCTGAGTAATATTCCATGGCACGTGTGCATGTGTGTGTATATACATACACACACATCTTCTTTGTAAATTCATCTGTCAATGGACTTCTGGGCTCCTTCCTTTGTTTGGCTATTGTGGACACTGCTGCTATAAACATTGGGGTATATGTGCCCCTTCGAATCACTGTGTTTGTATCCTTTGGATAAATACCTACTAGTTCAATTACTGGGTCACAGGGTAACTCTATTTTTTAACTTTTTGAGGAACCTCCAAACTGTTTTCCTGAGTGGCTGCACCAGTTTATATTCCCACCAACAGTGTAAGAGGGTTCCACTCCAGGAGACAAACAATATTAAGATAATGTCATTTTATACTTAGAAATGTTTAGGATACGGAATCCATCAGAAGGAAAAAAAGAAATTGTAAACATCAGAGTAATTAAAATCAGAAGGGCTAAAGAAGACAAGAACAAAATGAGCCCCCTACCCCCCAAGTAATGAATAAGGGATCTGACCAGATTTGGAAATCAAAGGTAGAATGCCCACGTGTTTTCGTCATTTTTCTACCTACTTACCTGGCAATATTCACCACATTATCAGCCTTCTTAGTTCTCGGATTGATTCCCTGTAACAGCTGTTCTAAAGGAGAGACTATTAGAGCCAGCTGACTCTCTCTTAGAAGATCCATAAAGAGATTTTCCTTTTGCAGAGTCAGATTGAGAAGTGCAAGGCAATGCTGCACTGCTTTCTCCAAGTGTTTCTTCCCTACAAAAAACATAAACTGAAGTTAGAAAGTTCTACATGAATCTTAGAAATGCATAGCTCTTAGAAAAACAAGCTAAAGGACAAGTTCTAGACTCAAAGGCCCTCAAGTGTCCACTTGCAGCAGCAACTTCATAGAACTACTCACCCGTGCCAATTCACAGTGATGATCGTACCTTAAGATTACCTGTATGCAGTGGCTTCTCAGTCACTTTCCCTTATCCCTTCATTGATTATTTAGAGAAATGGTTCCCAGATGGGGGGGGGGGTGATTTAGGCCCCAGAGGACACTTGGCAAGGCCTAGAGATAATTTTGGTTGCCACAACTGGAAAAGCACGACAGGCATCTAGTGGGTAGAGGCCTACAACGCACAGGACGGTCCACACAACAAAGAATTATATGGCCCAAGATGTCAATGGCACCAAGACTGAGAAACTGATTTAGAGTAATACATACTCATTGCAGAAAAATCTGCAAATAAGGAAACTGAGAATTTGAACAAGGATCATCTATAATCCCACCATTCAAATTTAAAATACATGGACTCTGGAGCCAAACTGCCTAGGCTCAAATCACAGCTACAACTTACTGTGGAAATACATGAAACCGCTTTGTTGCATCAATTTCCTTATTTGCAAACTGGAAATAATAATATCTAATAACAGGGATTTTGTACAGATTAAATGTGTTGGGGCGCTGGGTGGCTCAGTCGTTAAGTGTCTGCCTTTGGCTCAGGTCATGATCCCAGGGTCCTGGGATCGAGCCCCGCATCCGGCTCCCTGCTCTGCGTGAGGCCTGCTTCTCCCTCTCCCACTCCCCCTGCTTGTGTCCCCTCTCTCGCTGTCTCTCTCTCTGTCAAATAAATAAATAAAATCTTTAAAAAATAATAATAATAAATAAATGTGTTAAATGTGCTTTTAAAAGCATCAAATGCATACTAAGCACTCAGTAAATCATGATAATTAGCAGTAGTCATGATATTAAATAAAACCTATTGAACTCTATGTACCAGGCACTAATTAAGTTCCTTTACAAAAACTATATGGACAAGAAAACAAAAAGTACATTAGATTTAAATTTAGACATGTTTAAGACATTAAAGTGAAAGAAAGATAATCATAATTACCTATAAAAAAACATGCAATGAGACACAGTTATAGTGAGAGTCTCTGTACTTTACTCTTTCACTTTAAATATGCTTTTACTGCATGACTCACTGAAAACACCACTGTACATATGGAGACTCTCACAGTGAAAAAGAACTTCAGAAATCATCTATTTTAACCCTCCATTTACAAAAAACTGAAAATATGAGAACTGTTTTCACGACATTAAGACATTCAGGCACATACCAGGGAAAGGGGCATAGGTATCCAGCTGCTTAACGCCTTCTTCCAGTAAACTAAGGGCAAGCTCCAACATTGGTGACTCATTCAGAAGATGATACATCAGACTAAATCCTGGTGGCTTGTAGGCTATGATTTCTTCTCCTAAATAGAACACAACACAATCCAAAAGACAGTCAGTATTTTTGTCACACCCTTGATTTATATGTAATATATGAGACTTGTAAACTAAATGGCATCTAAATGGGCAAGTTTCAATTCAAAGACAAGGACACAAACGGTATACAGCTGTAATTCCCAAAAGGGCTGTTTTGCTCATAGCAGTTAGTTACCTATAACATGTTAACTCATCAAAGAATCTGTAAGGCAGTGTTGTCTTTCATTTGGCGAAAGTTTATTTTCTCTTGCTCAGAACAATTAAAATAACTAAAATAATGTAACAAAAAAGATTACACTCTAACTTAATTCATAAACTTAGAAATAATTTGTATCTTATAGTTTATAAATTATAAATAGCTTTATAAATAGCTGACAGCTTATTTGAAAGTGACAGAATTAAATTACCTTGTAATTCCACAAACTGGTCTACAAAATCTTCAAGTTGAGGCTCATAATCTCTGAGCAATTTATAAAACACCTCCAAAACAACCTCAGCAACTTCCCACTACAGAAAGAAACAAATGTTACAGTAACAATAAAACAGTCCAAGGTGACAGCCTTGCTAGACTTTTCATTCCTCCCACTTTTCTCCAGAACATGAAGACACTTCGCCAAAGTGTCAAATATTTCCTATTTTCTCTAAAAATCCTGGCTGTAAAGGGTCTGAGAAATCATCTAATCACCCTTATTTCACAGAGAAAGCAAGTGAAGCTCAGAGCATGAGTAACTTCCCCAAAACCATAAAGCTTGGTAGCAAAGGTACTAGAAATCAAGCCCTGGACTTCTATTCCCAGACCAGTATTCTATCTTATGGCTCTAGCCAAAGAAGTGAAGAAGACTCAATCACTGCTGGGCTTGCATCTAATGACCCCATTAACACCCTTCTGTTAAAAAACATTTTTAAAAACTATGTACAAGGAAAAATATTTATGCCAAGGGAAAAATATATACAACAGTATAGACAGTAAAATTAAAACTTTACTTTTAAAAAAATCCATTATATAGAATTTATGAAGGCTGAGGTTGGTAACTGTAGTTAGGGTGGTTTTTTTTAATTATTATTTTAAAATCATTTCCACTGCACATAATTTTATCAAGACTGAGTTTGGGAACTGGGACTATACAGTGATTTTTTTTTAATTACTATATATTTTTTTAAAGATTTTATTTATTTATTTGACAGAGAGAGACACAGCGAGAGAGGGAACACAAGCAGGGGGAGGAGTGGGAGAGGGAGAAGCAGGCTTCCCGCCAAGCATGGAGCCTGATATGGGGCTCGATCCCAGGACCCTGGGATCACGACCTGAGCCGAAGGCAGACGCTTAACGACTAAGCCACCCAGGTGCCCCTAAATTATTATTTTAAAATTATCCACTTATCTGTATTTTCCAAAAATTTCAAGATCATTTATTTAAATAAAAAAGGCTTATCACCACATAATAATGGATTTTAGGATTGGTAAATATATACACTGGCTCTAATAGTCTATGTTATTTATCTCAATCTAAAGCACTGTTTTTGTGAGAAGCTAGTGCTCTAAAATATAGTAACAGAAGCTAAACCTGAAGAAGACTTTCAAGTGCAAAAAATTCATGAAGTTGAGGGAAAAAAGTCTGAGGGTAAGTATACTGGGGTAGTAGCTAGGGAAAACAGCAGCACTGGAAGTGTCCATATGCATGAATGAAAACCAATAACGTGGAAAGAACACAGCTGACTAAAGCTCTAAACACTTAGGTCATAATGACCTTTTTAGGAAAAGGCAAATAAGCTACCTAAGACAAGTACAAAAACATTATCAGAACATCTTGTTAAAGAGATTGCCATTCTTAGTGTCCATTATTTGGTCACCGAGGTAATTTTAGGACTTAAATGTACACCCCCTCAGTGTTTATTTTTACTATGTGAGAAGCAAAAATCATAAAACAACTGACAAAAAATGAATTTCAGTTACTTGGGACTAAATATGAGAAACAAACTGTCCAGTGAAAGGGGAATGAATACATGAACGACGCTAAAAACAAGTAAGGATCATGTAGTCATTAAAGAGACTGTTTTCAAAGAATCTTTGATGGCATGAAGAAGTGCTCATGATACCATATTTAGTGGCCAAAAATAGATGCAAACTAAACTAATTATCTCAATTAAAGTACGTATGTATAGGAAAAAGACTAAGTTATCCTTCCTTTGGCAACAGGATTATGGATAATATCATTACTTCTTGTATTTTTCTATATTTTCCTAATTGTCCCAAATTAGCACAAAAATTATTTTTATAATCACTAATACAACAACAAATAAACCCAACAGGTTCAAAAACAGCAAATTATAAAAATAAAGCAGAAATGTCCCTACAGGACACATCCAAGCATATTCTGTGAGGCAATAAACAGTATTATAGACTAAGTGAATTACGTCAGAACCTGGAAGGGTCTCTTACATAGCTTAGAGGTTATGAGCTTGAATCTGGAATCAGAGTCCTAGGTTCAAATCCTGGTCCTGGACCTTAGGCAAGTTCCTTAACCTTGCTAAGCCTCCATCTGTAAAATGGGAATATTAATAGTACCTGCCTCACGGTAATATTGGAATTACATAAGATGATATATATGGTAAGTTCAGTTCTGAGTGTATTGCAACCAGAGCAAATATGTATGTAAATAAATGTCAGTGCTCCCTCAGGCTCCATTCGTGGCAAACATACCTGACGGATCATAATACACCTTCCCACTAAGCCGAGACTCTACAACCCAAAAGAGCTACTAAATCAATAGAAATTGGTGTGCAAGTTTAAAACTTATTTCAATCCCTAAACAAAATCATCCCAAAAAAGGACAATGTGTTTCCAACTGACAAAGGTGTGACATTTTTGGTTCAATTTTGGTCCAAATTTGTTCAATTAAGGAAATGAATGACTATGAATTCATATCAATTAAACTACTGATCACTAAAAAGTCCGTGCTTTGGTTTTAATGCCGAGATTTTTTTTTTTAATGCATATAAACTTAATCAGATCATGGACACCTCAGTATTAAGACTATGAATTTTACTGATTGGCAAAAGCTAAAATGAATTTATAGCATCTTTTATCTTTCATAAAGGAAAAAGCAGCAATAAATGAATAAGGACAAAAAAGGTTTTCTCTAAACATTACCTTTTCAGCTGCTCTCCGGTAAGCTCTTGTGCGGAATCGGAGAAACACAGAATCTCTAAGGAACTGCAAATAAGGGTCAAAGCCAGGGGGCCGCAGGCCAGCACCCAAATTAGAAGGAAATGAGCTCTCCACCAAAGTACTAATAAGCTGGCAAAAAGCCCGAGTCAGTGGGTATTCTTCACACCGGCATTCTATTTCATTTAGTTCAACCTACCAAAGAAAAATAAAGACATTTAGTAATATAAAACAATCAGCTATAAAGTACAAAACATCTTGCAGACACTGACTCATTAATACTGAACATATCATCACCACACCAAAAGAAACCTAATATACATCACCATTTTTCATTTAGAGGAAAAGACACAAAAGTAGTATATAAATCTAGATCAATCAGATGGAAGAATTTCAAATTCCCACATATTGTTCCCAACTGTGAATTAAAAATAGAAATCTTACATGTTTCTTTATGAAAAAGAGAGGGGGAGCGTAGAGAGAGAAGAAAAGAAACTAAAACAAGTAAATTCTCACTTCAGGTTGACCCAAGTAACCAAATTAAATTGAATTTAAAGCAAACTTTCAGCTTGGATGGCTGCCATGTAACATCCTTTCCCAACTTTGAAACCTAGAGTATTTTGGTTCCTCTCATGAAAAATTTCATCTCCATTTCAACACTGACCAGACAACACTTCAAATGAAATTATATTAAATTTGAAAATTATAGGAACCTAACAGAGTTAAGAACAATTTTTGTTAATTTTTACCATGTGACTGTATGAATAGAGAGCATTTAAAGAAAAAGGAAAACTTTACCTCGATACCAATAGCTTGCCTCTGGCTTGGAACCCTTACGGTCTGCAGTATCTTAAAATAGTAAGAAAACAGATGTTAGGAACATCCCCCACTCCTCAATGAAAAGTAGTGGCTCTGCAATGTAATAGTCATATTCCTCACGCAACACATGCATGTATCTCCTGATGTTGATCAGAAAGCACAACTGAGAAGTCTCTGATGGGACTTTCATTGGCAGTTGTGTGGGATTCAGGTAGAACCTTCGATTATCTGGGCTTCAAAAAACTAGTAGTTTCTAAGTGCACACAAGAAGTATATGCAGCAAATTTCCTCTGAGATATTCTAGGAATAAATCTTAAGAGGATTTATGGGACGAAATCTCACCAGTGTTCAAGACCAGCCCTACAATCAGCACCAGAAAACCAATAATTAAATTTGTTAAGAACAGGTCTGAATAGGTTTCTTGTGTGGGCAAAAGTTCTGAGTTAAGATGTTCTGATCTGACCTTGCTAGGGACATAAGCAGTATATGGTATAATCAATTACACTTAATGTTATGTCATTTACCACTCTTACAAGCTGAAAATATACTATCAGGTAGGATCCTTTAAAAACAAGTCTTGCTCAAGGGACGCCTGGGTGGCTCAGTCGGTTAAGCGTCTGCCTTCGGCTCAGGTCATGATCCCAGGGTCCTGGGATCGAGTCCCCGCATGGGGCTCCCTGCTCCACGGAGAGCCTGCTTCTCCCTCTGCCTCTGTCTCTCTCTCTCTGTCTCTCGTGAATAAATAAATTAAAAAATCTTTAAAAATAAAAATAAAAAATAAAAGGGCGCCTGGGTGGCTCAGTTGGTTAAGCGACTGCCTTCGGCTCAGGTCATGATCCTGGAGTCCCTGGATCGAGTCCCGCATCGGGCTCCCTGCTCAGCGGGGAGTCTGCTTCTCCCTCTGACCCTCCCCCCCTCTCATGTGCTCTCTCTCTCTCTCAAATAAATAAATAAAATCTTTAAAAAAAAAAAAAACAAACAAGTCTTGCTCTAAGAATAAAGATGTCTAAACCCAATCATATTTCATTTTCAGTATAGAGGGGCACACTGAACACTTAGAACACTAAGTGGTGATACACTCATAAGTGAAAAAAATGAAGTATTAATACTAAACCTAAGGGCACACACCAGCTCCCTGCATTTTGCTCTTATAAAGTATCATTACATCTTCAGGATACATGTTAGAAAATAACATTTTACTGCTTCAAAATGGTGTTAGAATCACAGGTTCCTATACGTTTTATTATTTTTAGACAAACACATATTCCACCTAACCATTTCCTAGAAATATTTCTGTAAAGCACAACCTTATTCTCCTTTTTAATCTTAGTGTATATACTGAATAACTATACCTTCACAGAAAAATTCCAATAGGCCTTACATCTAAAAAAATAAAAGTTAATAGAGATACTTTGTTCTTTTCAGATGGGACAGGAGGACATAAAAGGAAGCAACAGAAAAGAAAAACTGGTATTCCCCACATCTAATGAGTACAAATAATGTCTGAAGGCTTTCATCAGCCTGGTCTTAAAGACAGAGTTGAGGAATTCTGTCCATTTATAAATATCTCACAGACACTGAAAAACAAAGTCTTGAGAGAAGAACCTATCTCTGGTAACCTAGTGAAGCTGTCAATTGATCTAAGAGAAAAACCTAAGCCTGTTAGTTTCTGATGCTATGGCTCGGTTCTAAACCACTGGCTCGGTACTAAATCATTAACTGGGAAGTTCATGGCATACTGTAAGGTGCAAACTGGATGCCCTTGCTTCTACCATATTATCAAGCCTCACTTTCCAAACTGTAATAAATAAGAGAGCTTGTAATGCTACCTGAGTGTATTCCAACGACTGCCAAAGGGAAGCAGCAATTTCAGGGGATTTTCCAAAAGCTGCAAGGGTCTTCAGCAACTCTGCTTTGAGAACAGGGGGGATACTGCATTGCAGGAGTCCCAGAATCACCACAACCGGGGTCCACTGAGGATGTTCACAGAGTGCCAGACGAGCATTTTCACTCTGGGAATCAAACACAAAAGAACAAGAGAGACTTTCCCATCTTTAAAAGCTAAGAAAAATGACCAGCAATCATCTAAATTGCTAGCACTTATACTGAGTATTCATAGGCTTGATACATACTAAAACAAAGATAAGCCTATGGCTGTGCTTGAGGTGTACCAGTGGATCAAATCAAATTACAGCTCAGTCAATGTAAGGAATAGGGTAGAAATAGCCTTTTAGAATTACTTTTATAGCTCTAAGTATGGAAAATAATCCATATGAGATAAATGGTCTGCCAAGGTCACATAAAACTTACCTAAGCACTTGCAATCCTTTCTGAAACAATGTAGTATATTTTTTACTATAATATATGAATACCTTTTAGTTTTTTGAGAAAAAAAATGAAGATATATGTGGCATCAAATGCCACTTTCTTTTTAAGTAGGCTCCATACCCAGCATAGAGTCCAACACAGGGCCTGAACTCATGACCCTGAGATCAAGACCTAAACAGAGATCAAGAGCTAGCTGACTAGCTGATTGAGCCACCCAGGCGTGCCAATACCATTCCATTTTAATTCAACAAGAAATAACTACTAACCTTACGAGGTTTTTTTGTTTTGTTTTTTTAAGATTTTATTTATTTACTTGTCAGAGAGAGAGCGCATAAGCAGGGGGTAGCGGCAGGCAGAGGGAGGAACAGGCTCCCCGCTGGGCAGGGAGCCCGACATGGGGCTCAATCTCAGGACCCCGGGATCATGCCTGAGCTGAACAAAGGCAGATGCGTAACAATTGAGCCACCCAGGCGCCCCCTAACTTTATGTTTTAATGTTTAATAATAATGTTAAGGGGCGCCTGGGTGGCTCAGTCGTTAAGCGTCTGCCTTCGGCTCAGGTCATGATCCCAGGGTCCTGGGATCGAGCCCCGTGTCGGGCTCCCTGCTCCGCGGGGAGCCTGCTTCTCCCTCTGCCACTCCCCCTGCTTGTGTTCCCTCTCTCGCTGTGTCTCTCTCTGTCAAATAAATAAATAAAATCTTAAAATAATAATAATAATAATAATAATAATAATGTTAAGCACTCCTAGAAAAGCCAAAAAGTTAGAAGACACTATTCCTGTCCTTAAGACAGAATGTCTCAGTAAGCAATTTTGCTCTAGGAAATAATAGAAAAACTAGAAGAGGTTTCTAAGTAGAGAAATTATGTAATGAAACTCATGTTTCCTATAAAGACTAATTTGATAGTGAGGGGTAAGATGGTTTGGTGTAAGGAGAGAATAAAAGTAATCCAGTAAATAACTTTTCTTGGTTTTTTTTTCTTTCTTTTTTTTTTTTTTAGTAAAAAACTTCTCTTTCTAATTAAAAATATTCTTGGGGTTCCTGGGTGGCTCAGTCGGTTAAGCATCCAACTCTTGATTTTGGCTCAGGTCATGATCTCAGGGTCGTGAGACTGAGCCCTGCTTCGGGATCTGTGCTTAGCGTGGAGACTGCTTGAGAATCTCTCCCTCTGACCCCTCTGTCCCCCACTCGCACATGTACTCTAATAAAAAAACAAATTCATTAAAAAATAAATTTAAAAAATAATAAATAAAAAATATATTCTTTATGTATACATAACACCAACACACATATCCACAGCTATGTTAGGAAACCTTCTAGAAGGATGTGCAGTCACAACTGATTCGTATTTGCCCTTCTATTTTCTTTCAGGCATATGCTATTATTTTCCCACTAGCTGACAGCAATAAGCTGGGCTACCATTACTACACCCTCTGAAGGTAAAGAAACACAGAGCTTAAAAACAGAATTCTATACATGCAAAATTCATCACTCATAAACTTCAAGCATTTCATGAAAATTTGAGAGTTCCTTAAAATGCCCCTGTGCTAGAAAACAAGTAAAATTATGCTCTCACGGGTGCCTGGGTGGCTCAGTTGGTTAAGCGACTGCCTTCGGCTCAGGTCGTGATCCTGGAGTCCCGGGATCGAGTCCCGCATCGGGCTCCCTGCTCAGCGGGGGGTCTGCTTCTCCCTCTGACCCTCCCCCCTCTCATGTGCTCTCTCTCATTCTCTCTCTCTCAAATAAATAAATAAAATCTTTAAAAAAAAAAAAATTATGCTCTCACATGCTGTGGATGATAATTACCCAAGTAATGATGGTGGAGGTGAGCTGTAAAAAAGCAATCAATCCATCCTGCTCCTTCTGGGTGATGCCACGTGAAGGAAGGTGACGGTACTGGACACTATCTGCGCTCGGAAGATCCTTCCGGAGGTGCTCATGGTAAAGCATTAAGGAGTGAAAGAAATGTTCCCAGGAAACAGGACTGCCACCTGTTCCCTGAATATTTTCAACTGTAAAGACAGCACAGAATTTTGTTTCAAGAATGTCTAAGGATGTGCTTGGAAATCGAGGGAGGAAAATAAATTTAAAGCAATAAACTTTGCCTTTGTCCTAGATAAGTAGAGTGTGTTGTCTGAATTAAGGAGTGTGTTGTAAAAGGGTTAGAATTCCTCTATAAACTAAAACTCTGGATTAATTTTTCCTCAGGGCTAAGAATGGGTGGTGCCCATGTAAGTGCAAAGGCAAATTACTTTGGGTGTCAGTTATCTGCTCTATATCCATAAGAGTTCTCTGTGTTGTGCTGTAATTATGTAGGACTACTTTCCCCATCAGATTAATTCCTAAATGTGAGCTTAAATCCCCAGAGAGAGAGGTAAGTGCAGTCTAGATTTTAAATTACGCTACAAGCAGGCCTTGACAGAGTAGCCAGAACACTGGCCTTAGTACTGGCAGATCTCAGTTGCAATCCTGCTCCTCCTCATGACCGTGGGTAAATTACTTCTCTAAACCTGTTTCCTCATATGTAAAAATGAAAGTAATAATATCTACCTAACAAAACAGATGCTTAATAACTATTTCTTTCTCTTCTCTTTTGCAGTGTTGCAAATTTAACCAGACTCAAGTCTGAAAATTAAATGAGGAAACTGGGAGGGTTGGACAGAGAAACTGTAAGTACAGAAATTTAGAAAACAAGTACTTATGAACATGAATTTAAAAAATCAAACTCATGTGGCCAGGGTATATATTCTGTTTTGAGTACCAGATGGGTTCTTCAAAGTTTTTATGTATCAATTCTGATTTCTTAAACTGAATTATATTTTATAAAGCAAACAGTAAAACTGCCCAATCTGTGAGACCGTCACTAACGCATAAAGCTACTAATGTGCTTCTTTCCCATTATTATAAAAATAATGTATACACCTGGTAGAACCTAGTACAAATAACTAATATTCTTTAATAGGCAGGGGGATAGTGAACTCAAGAATGTCACAACAAACTTAGACAACATCCAGATTTTTCTTACCATGACTACTCCCATTGACTTTAAGCAGGCTGAAACAGTAGTGAGCACACTGGGGCCCACTGGCCAATCCCTGGAGCATTTTCAAATAAGGAATGTAAATCGTTGGAGGCAATAGGTCACCCATTTGCCTAACAAACTTTGACAAGACAACCTGAAATAGGGAAAAACCAATAGTTTACATAAAGCTTATCTTAACTTTTAGGTAGCACGGACCAACTAATAAAGACTACATATGAACTAAAACTAAATGCTCTAATTTAATAATCTGGTATTCTACTTATGAAAAATTTTTTCAAGATCGTCATTAGCAATTTAATGCAATTACAGAATATTTTTGTGAACATAAAGTACAATTATTTTTTAAAACATCTCAATGTCACAGAACATAAGACTACTCACATTTTAAATATGTAAAGCAATGGAAGAAATTTATTCCTCTAAAATTAACCACAAAGTCAGATATACTTGGAACCCAGGGTTCATGAATCCCAGTCAAATTTAGTATGAACACCTAGGAACCTGAAAGAATTTTGGATGCTAACCTAAACATACTGTTTTGTGTTCAGCCAGTACCACATTCCTACATTCCTGTTCTGTAAATCCACTTCTTAGTTTTTCCTTTTATCTTGCTTATTCCTTAAATCTAATAACAAAAATACTATTCAGACATTGAGGCTCATTGGTTGTAATTCAGAACTGAAAATGTTACAGATCTCTGGAAATCGTTGTTAAATCTGTTAGGTATAAATGATTTCCTAATTATGTAGAAAAACATCCTTATTTTTGAGAGATATTTATTTACCTAGTATAAGGGGAAATGTCATGCTGTCTATAACTTACTTTAATGTACTCCAGCAAAATCAAAGTAGTAAAAATAGCAGTAGTAGATGAAGCAAACAAGGCAAAATGTTAACAGCTATTAAATTGAGATGTTGGGTGTTCATTATAATTATTCTTTCTTCCAAATGCTTGAAGTATTTCATAATATAAAGATTTTTTTAATCTTCAAAAAATTTTAATAAACCCTTCTCCAAAACATTTTTTAAATGGGGAGAAAAATATAAGAAATGCAGTAAAAAGGCATCTGATCCCAGACTCTAACATAACTGAAAATTATTTGACATGAAAGCTTCTAGAACAGCAAATCCCAAAAAGATGAAGATAGATACTGCAATCCATCTTATTTGAGACTGCGTATCCTACTTAACATAGGATAGAAAATGGACTTTTTCCTACATTATCTACTGACTCATAGGCATTTTGTCATCAATTCTAACTTCTAAACCTTTCCTTCTAGTACTTATACCTCTCCTATCTTCCCCAACTTCTTAAGAATGGTATATATTGGGGGTGCCTGGCTGGCTCAGTCTGTGGAGCATGAGACTCTTGATCTCGTGGTAGTGAGTTCGAGCCCCATGCTGGGTGTAGAGTTTACTTAAAAATAAAATCTTATGGGGGCGCCTGGGTGGCTCAGATGGTTAAGCGTCTGCCTTCGGCTCAGGTCATGATCCCAGGGTCCTGGGATCGAGCCCCGCATCGGGCTCCCCGCTAGGCGGGGAGCCTGCTTCTCCCTCTGCCTCTGCCTCTCTCTCTCTGACTCTCATGAATAAATAAAACATTAAAAAAATTAAAATTAAAAAATAAAAAATAAAAGAAATAACTAAAATCTTAGGGACGCCTGGGTGGCTCAGTCAGTTAAGCGTCTGCCTTTGGCTCAGGTCATAATCCCAGGGTCCTGGGATCGAGTCCCCCCTCAGGCTCCTTGCTCAGCAGGGAGCCTGCTTCTCCCTCTGCCTGCCGCTCCCCCTGCTTGTGTGCTCTCTCTCTTTGACAAATGAAAAAATAAAATCTTTAGAAAAATAAAATTAAATAATAATAATAATATCTTAAGACAAAAAGAAAAAAGAATGATGTATATTGGTTACTGTCATGCCTGTTGAGTACAGACTAATACTAATACCAATAAAATTCAAATAAATGACACACAGAAAGACTAGACACCTTTCTGTCTACAATTTGACACATACCTAGTATGTTAAAAAAGGCTAACTACATATCAGAACTTAAATTTAGGGGCGCCTCGGTGGCTCAGTCGTTAAGCGTCTGCCTTCGGCTCAGGTCATGATCCCAGGGTCCTGGGATCGAGCCCCGCATCAGGCTCCCTGCTCAGCGGGAAGCCTGCTTCTCCCTCTCCCACTCCTCCCCCTGCTTGTGTTCCCTCTCTCGCTGTGTCTCTCTCTGTCAAATAAATAAATAAAATCTTAAAAAAAAAAAAAGTATTCCTTACAAAAAAAAAACACAAAAAACTTAAATTTAAGAGTTTCAAATTTCCTTAAGAAAAGAAAACAGTTTAAATTTCTAAGTTACACAAGAGATCATTTGTGTTAATGGCAATGACATCAGGAAATAACATTTGTTCATGGTTCAAGACTCCCAATTATCATACCAAGATAGAAAAGTAGAAAAACTAAGAGCTCACCTGGCGTTGAGGGGGTCGCTGATGAGCCACCCCAAGGTAAGAACCCATGATAGTGGAAGTCTGAAGAGGCTCTGAGGGACACCAATATTCGAGAGCAAGCTCCAAATTAAAAGCGTTCTTTTTATATAGCTCACCAATCTGCAAAGTGTAAGCAAAGACTGGGTGAAAATGCCTATAACTCAACAATTACTTTTAAGTGAAAATTTATATTTTTACGGAATTCACTTGTATATTTGAAACATTAAAAGTGAAATTTTCTACAGTTAGGGAATAAATAATGGAAGGAGGGAGAGATGACCATCCATCCAGTGTAATGGCTTACCAAGAGCATTAAGTGTTCCAGATCTCTTCTAAGTGAAATGGGAGGTTCATTACCCATCTGCATACTCATATGAATTATTCGAGCATCTTCATCTGCCCGATTCCTCAACTGTTTCACCTATTAAATACATTACATACAGTTTAATATGGAAATTTAGTATATAGGTTAATAATACTGAAATCAGGCAACTGTCTAAAAGTGATTACATAATAGAAAAACTGTTTAAACATCTATTCCACTTTAATGACATGAAGAAATATACTAGGAATTTTGTGATACCACTATCCATAATTTAAAAATATCTTAAAATGTCAGTGTATTTTCCAGTACAGAGAAGTTGAGTTTTAACTACAGTATTTCTCAGAAGGAACATTACTGACATTTTGAACAGGACATTTCTTCACTGGGTTGGATCATCCTGAACACTGCAGGACAGTTTAGCATCTCTGGACTACCTACTTCTACCAATAACTCCACCAAGATTTTTTTTTTATTTTTTTATTGTTATGTTAATCACCATACATTACATCATTAGTTTTTGATGTAGTGTTCCATGATTCATCGTTTGTGCATGACACCCAGTGCTCCATGCAGAACGTGCCCTCCTCAATACCCATCACCAGGCTAACCCATCCTCCCACCCCCTCCCCTCTAAAACCTTTAGTTTGTTTTTCAGAGTCCATCGTCTCTCATGGTTCGTCTCCCCCTCCTATTTCCCCCCCTTCATTCTTCCTCCACCAAAGATATTTTAACAAGGAAAAGTGGTGCCACTAATTTCCCAAACACTCTCTGAAGGACGTTGTTGCACTGGCTGAGAACCATCACCTTATAACATTCGTGCCAACTGATAGAAGAAACTACTCTCTTTTAAAAACAAAACAAAAAAAGCAGGACAAACCCACAATTCAATACTCCTCTCTCAAGTATACAAAATCTGTAAGGACATGGAAGACTTAACACTATCAACCAACTTTCCCTAATGGGCATTTACAAAATACTCCATAGAACAGCAGGAGAATATACATTCCTTTCATGTGTGCATAGAACATTTTCCAAGACAGGCCATATTCTGAATCATAAAACAAACCTCAGCCAATTTAACATAAATTGAAATCCTATAAAGTATGTTCTCTAACCACAACAAAAATAAACTAAAATCAGTTATACAGAGATGCCTGGAAGCCCCCAAATATTTGGAAATTAAACAACACTTCTAAATAAACCACTGATCAAAGAAGTCTCAAGGACAATTAAAAAACATTAAATTGAACAAAAAGGAAAACACAACATATCAAAATTTATGTGACACAGCTAAAGCAATAATTAGAGATAAATGTGTAACATCAAATATTTGTATTAGAAAAAAAGAAAGGTTTTGGGGCACCTGGGTGGCTCAGATGGTTGAGCGTCTGCCTTTGGCTCAGGTCATGATCCCAGGGTCCTGGGATCAAGCCCCGCGCATCGAGCTCCCTGCTTGGCAGGGAGCCTGCTTCTCCCTCTCCCTCTACTGTTCCCCCTGCTTGTGCTCTCTCACTCTCTCTATCAAATAAATAAATAAAATCTTAAAAAAAAAAAAAGAAAAAAGAAAAAAAGAAAGGTTTCAAATCAATAATCTAAGCTTCTACCTTAATAAATTGAAATTAGAAATGCGAATTAAGCCCAAAGCAAAAAGGAAGAAAATAATGTAGAGCAGAAATCAGTAACAGTGAAACAAAGTATAAGAAAATCAATGAGGCCAAAAGCTGGTTCTTCAGGAAGTTCAATAAAATTGATAAACCTCTAGCCAGGTTAATTAAGAAGACACACACACCCATACACACACACACACACACACACAGAAGATGCAAATTACCAAAATTAAGAATGAAAAAAGAAACATCATTACAGATCCTACAGACACAAACAGTATAATAAAGGAATATTAGGAATAACTTTATGCCAATCAATCTGAATAAAAAGGACAAATTCACTGATACACACAAACCAAAGCTCGTTCAAAAAGAGACTGATAACCTAAATATTCCTATTATCTATCAAAGTACTCCAATTATGTGAATTCACTCTTTATATTATTCAAGCCATTTATGATTATCTTTCTATAACTTAAGTCCCATCTGGACTACTGATTAGGAAACACTTAAGACTTAACCTTTCTACGACTTCATTTCTGCAAATGTAAAATGAAAGGATTAGCATGCTTCTTCCTATTCCAAAATTCTGTGATATTAATCTATCAAGTCCTTCGAGGTTACTGAGGGTTCAGGTTATCTATTAAAAGTATTCCTTGACTATTCTAGTCCTGAGGGAGCTATTCTTAGCCTAAATAAATCCATAAATTTACTGTCTATACCTCTCATTCACTGTTACTACCTAATCTCTCCAACTAGATTATAAATTCTTTATTGGTAAGGAATGAGTCTACTACTTGTCTTCTTCACAACTTCTAGTATAGTACGTGGCACACAGGAGAAACTCAACAAACACTTAATTCATTAAATAATGAATAAGCACTTCACTCCTTGATCGTTTGTTGCCACTTGAGGTAGTCTTTCCATTTGCCTTATGTGTTTCAGGAGGTATGGTAGCAGAACTGTACTACAGTATTACAAGTATAGGTCCTTTAGGGAGCTTTTTTTAAATACACACACACAAAAAGTGAGTTCATAGAGCTTTACGCCCTCATTTATTTCCTGCCCGCATTTTGATGGCTTCCTTGGAACAAAACTGCATGAAAAAATAATGCTCTGGAGAAACTCTCTGAAATGGCTCTAAGAATCCCTTTTTGGATCAAAGTTACAGCTTGAACTCTTTATTCGAAAGTAGCCTTTGCATTTGTTTCTTAAATCCATTACATTACCTGTATGCATGCAGAAGTCCATTTATATACTATAATTAAGAGTCTACACAATTATCTATAAAACTGGAGATTTTCTACTATGCCTTCTTCCAAATCATGTATAAATATATCAGTAAGACAATCTAAGCATTGATCCCTGGAGTATCATGACATTAACAATTTTCTATGCATAGTAATTTAACTATTACTCTCTCCTTATAAACTATTCTCAATGTCAAATATTTTGTTCTTTTAGCTTAGTGTCAATTACCAGGTCTTATTTCATTTTCACGAATTACTAATTCAAAAGCTGTAACACAACTATTGTCAAATTATAGTCTACAATAAAAGATTTTATTAGTTTCCAAAACACAAAGTGAATTGATCAGTTTATTCCATAAAAAATTTTCTACTATTCTTTACTTATCCTACATTATTATACCTACCTTCATTGGCATAAGTGCAAGGAAATCTGTGATGAGATTATGGACTCTACGGATATAAAATTCCTCCTGATAGAAATTCTCTGACACCACTACAGATTCAGTGAGGAACAGGAAAACATTGTCAGCAATTGCGAGCTCTGCCATTGCTTCATCTGCTTCTGTAAATTCAGCCAGAGCTAGAAATATATTTAGAAAAACAGCACATGAAGGGAAAGTTATTAAACTAGATTATAACATTTCAGAATACTCTCTTGATGTTTCAAAATTCAGGTATCTTCTGAACCTTCAAGCATGTGCTAGGTTAAAAATAAGACTGTATTACTGTAATAGACTCACAAATTCAAAAGAGCTACTGAAAAAGTACATTAGAGGGGCACCTGGGTGGCTCAGTCATTAAGCGTCTGCCTTCGGCTCAGGTCATGATCCCGAGGTCCTGGGATCGAGCCCCACACCGGGCTCCCTGCTCAGCGGGAAGCCTGTTTCTCCCTCTCCCACTCCCCGTGCTTGTGTTCCCTCTCTCACTGTCTCTCTCTCTGTCAAATAAATAAATAAAAAATCTTAAAAAAAAAAAAAGTACAGGGGCGCCTGTGTGGCTCAGTCGTTAAGCATCTGCCTTCGGCTTGGGTCATGATCCCAGGGTCCTGGGATCGAGCCCCGCATCGGGCTCCCTGCTCAGCGGGAAGCCTGCTTCTCCCTCTCCCACTCCCCCTGCTTGTGTTCCCTCTCTCACTGTGTCTCTGTCAAATAAATAAATAAAATCTTAAAAAAAATTTAAATTAAATTAAAAAAGTACATTAGGAAACAAACTGCTCATCACACTAACAACATGAGCAATAAAAAATTACTTCAAGAATATATGATGTAACACTGATATAGTCAGTGAGTTATTATCAAAACATTAACATATGAAAATGACGCCAAGGCTTTAATCTCAATAAATGAACTAGATCATTCAGAAAAAGTCTTCACAGCTAGTGAGACCAAGACCTGAACATGACCACGTAAGTAACTCTTCTAATTTGATAACAAAGTAGCAAAAATTGAAAAACTAAACCTTAACCTAAAGACAAACTGGTCTACTTGTAACTTTTTTTAGCTTTTTATTCAAAAAATTTCAAATAGGTATCTAAAAATAAACCAATATAATGAACCACCACAAAACCCATCAGTTAACTTTGATGTTATACATTTATGCAATCATATTTCATCTGGATCTCCACGCATTCCCAAATGAGATTTAAGCAAATGCCAGACAATTTAACATTTCATTTGTAAGTATTTCAGTATACAACTCAAAATACTTTAAAAACAAAAAATAAACCATACATACAAATAACATACCTTAATACCATTATCTCTTAAAAAAAAAAATTCCTCAATATCAAATATCCACACAGTAATCAAATTTACAACAGTCCCATAAATGCTATAAAAGATTTTAGTTTAGTTTTTTGCTTTTTGTCTTTTTGTGCAATTTGTTTGCTTGAATCAGGATCCAAATAAGATCCACAGATTATGTTTGAGTGATACATCTGTAGACTCCTCCTGTATCTTTTTAATTTTTCACTTGCCCTTTATCTGCTGCAGAAACTGGACTTTTATCCTACAGTTTCCACAATGTGGTTTGATATCTATCCCAGTTGTATAGTTAACACACTCCTCTGTCTTCTGGTTATACTAAAAATTGGTAGTTCGATCTAGAGACTTGATCTGACTTACATTCAATTTTTTTGGTAAAAGTACATCACAGGTGCTGCTGTGTCCTTCCATCAAGAAATACATCATTGCTTGCCTTTTTTAAATTTACATATAAAACTGCTAGGTAACTTTGTGGTAATCTGGCTTTGGAAAAGAATTGTTTGTAGTTCATTCTACTTGAGCATTATACAGACCAAATACAGAGTATGCTTCTCAAAGTATATTTTCATTGCCTTGAAAAGGGTCAGGAACAGATATAAGCCAAGAGGTTCAACCAGAGGAAAACAGATGGATTTTTATGTTTTATTTTGCATTTTGAAATAAAGCCTGCATATCTACCCATACCATACAAACTCCTTGAGAACAAAATAGTTTAATTCTTTATGACTAATACTTATTATTAAAATTACTAATTAAATATTAATAACAACGACTAATTACAAACCTTTACTTGAATTCAGAAATACTGGAATTTAAATCACATGATGATCAATTCAAGAACTATTTCTTGAAGACTATTTAGGTAATAAAGCAGCATCAATCTTTTTTTTTATTATGTTATGTTAATCACCATACATTACACCATTAGTTTTTGATGTAGTGTTCCATGATTCACTGTCTGCATATAACACCCAGTGCTCCATTCAGTACGTGCCCTCTTTAATACCCATCACCAGGCTAACCCGTCCTCCCAACCCCCCTCCCCTCTAGAACCCTCAGTTTGTTTCTCAGAGTCCATCGTCTCTCATGGTTCATCTCCCCCTCCGATTCCCCCCCTTCATTTTTCCCTTCCTGCTATCTTTTTTTTTTTTTTAACATATAAGGTACTATTTGTTTCAGAGGTACAGGTCTGTGATGCAACAGTCTTACACAATTCACAGTGCTCACCATTGCACATACCCTCCCCGATGTCTATCACCCAACCACCCCATGCCTCCCACCCCCCACTCCAGCAACCCTCAGTTTGTTTCCTGAGATTAAGAATTCCTCATATCAGTGAGATCATATGATACATGTCTTTCTCTGATTGACTTATTTCACTCAGCAAAATATCCTCCAGTTCCATCCACGTCCTTGCAAATGGCAAGATTTCATTCTTTTTGATGGCTGCATAATATTCCATTGTGTATATATACCACATCTTCTTTATCCATTCATCTGTCGATGGACAGCTTGGCTCTTTCCATAGTTTGGCTATTGTGGACATTGCTGCTATAAACATCGGGGTGCACTTACCCCTTTGGATCCCTACATTTGTATCTTTGGGGTAAATACCCAGTAGTGCAATTGCTGGGTCATATGGTAGCTATTTTCAACTTTTTGAGGAACCTCCATACTGTTTTCCAGGGTGGCTGCACCAGTTTGCATTCCCACCAACAGTGTAGGAGGGTTCCCCTTTCTCCGCATCCCTGCCAACATCTGTCATTTCCTGACTTGTTAATTTTAGCCATTCTGACTGGTGTGAGGTGGTATCTCACTGAGGTTTTGATTTGGATTTCCCTGATGCCGAGCGATGTTGAGCACTTTTTCATGTGTCTGTTGGCCATTTGGATGTCTTCTTTGGAAAAATGTCTGTTCATGTCTTCTGCCTATTTCTTGATTGGATCATTTGTTCTTTGGGTGTTGAGTTTGATGAGTTCTTTATAGATTTTGGATACTAGCCCTTTATCTGGTATGTCATTTGCAAATTTCTTCTCACATTCTGTCGGATGTCTTTTGGTTTTGTTGACTTGTTTCCTTTGCTGTGCAAAAGCTTTTTATCTTGATGAAGTCCCAACGTTCACTTGCCCTTGCTTCCCTTGCCTTTGGCGATGTTTCTTGGAAGAAGTTGCTGCGGCTGAGGTCGAAGAGGTTGCTGCCTGTGTTCTCCTTTGGGATTTTGATGGACTCCTGTCTCACATTTAGGTCTTTATAAAGTGAGTGTTAATGTCTAAAAACCTTATTGAAATTTTGGAGTTTAATAAAGTTTCAAACACTATAAATTAGTGTAGTAAACATGTTTGGCAAGTTTTTCAGAAGTCTATGAAGAGAGTAGTAACTAATTTTTCAAAATTCCTATTTTATTAAAACTTGTCTGGGGGCACCTGGGGGGCTCAATGGGTTAAGGATCTGCCTTTGGTTCAATTCATGATCCCAGAGTCCTGGGATCAAGCCCCATATCAGGCTCCCTGCTCAGTGGGGAGCCTGCTTCTCCCTCTCCTGCTCACCCTAACTTTGCTCTCTCTCTTTGTCAAATAAATAAAATCTTTAACAACAGGGGCACCTGGGTGACTCAGTCAGTTGGGCATCTGCCTTTGGCTCAGGTCATGATCCCGGGATCCTGGGATCAAGCCCCGCGTCAGGCTCCCTGATCAGTGGGAGGCCTGCTTTTCCCTCTCCCTCTGCCGGCCACTCCCCCTGCTTGTGTTCTCTCTTTCTGTCAAATAAATAAAATATTAAAAATAAATAAAGTCTTTAAAAACAAACAACAAAAACTTGTATTATTTCAAGAATGGCCTTTTTTTTTGAGAGAGAGAGAGAAAGAGTGTGCGTGCACGTGTGCACACAAGTGGGGGAAGGGGCAGAGGGAGAGAATCCTCAAGCAGACTCCCCACTGAGCACGGGCGCCCTGAGATCTGACCTGAGCTGAAATCAGGAGTTGGATGCTTGACCAACTGGAGCCACCCAGGCACCCCTAACATATTTTATTTTTAAATAATACTAGTTTTTAATTTGTGAAAAATTATTTTGTGAAAACCAAACAAGAAAACATTTTAAAAAATCGTAAATTTTAATTTAAAAAATTATGATACCGCCATTTCAAATTTTACACTCTTAAGGAAATAAAGAAGCTAAAAGAGCATTGTCACTGGCTCTAAGAAAGAGAAATAATATTTCATAAAAATTCTTTTAGGAAACAAGAAAAAAAAAATCGGTATTTCACTACATTCCAAAGCTTCATTTAACACAATTCTAGGTACCTTCCTGTGCTCATCCTTATATATGTCAAAGATAATACCTCTTTCAAAATACCATTAAAGTTGATATGTTCTTTCTCATAACTAAATTACCTACAATCAATTTACCTGTCACATCAGGTAGCTGAGATATTCCTCTCAATGCCAGTGCCCAGGCAAGTCTAACAGTGGCTTGCAGCCCAGGGAGTTTCCAAAGCTGTGAGTCTTGAAGGCGGGAGTGAACTGTTGCGATGTACTGTCTTTCTGTCAACAGTGGAAGTTGATGAATCATATCTGAAAACACAAATATAGACCACTATACCAAAAAGTAGAAAAATTCTCACTTTTGATATACAGGAGTAATGTCTAAAAATCAGAAAATCAGAGTACTCTTATCAAATAACTGTGGACTAATTAACATTAATGTTTGACAAACCAAAAACAAAATCACCACCACAAAAATTATATGCAAACAAACTGAAAGAGGCAATCGACAACAATTCTAAATTTTAATGCTATTTTTTTCAATTTTTTTAAATAAGCTTACTATAAAAAATTTTAAAAATAGTTAAAGAGTCACTCATTTTTTCCTGTATATAAATTCTAAAATATATTAGGGTGCCTGGCTGGCTCAACCGGTTGAGCGTGTGACTCTTGATCTTGGGGTTCTAAGTTCAAGCTCCACATTGGGTGTAGAGATTACTTAAAAATAAAATCTTTAGGGGTGCCTGGGTGGCTCAGTCGGTTAAGCATCCGACTCTTCATTTTGGCTCGGTCATGATCTCAAAGTCATGAGATTGAGGCCCGTGTCAGGCTCCATGGAGCCTACTTAAGATTCCCTCTCTCTTCCTCTCCCTCTGCCCCAACCCCACTGCTTGTGCATTCTCTCTCTCTAAAAAAATAAAATATAAATCTTTTAAAAAATAAATTAAAAAAATATATAAATCAATGCCATTTAAAGATCAAAAAAGATATAATTTGGGGCGCCTGGCTGGTTCAGTTGCTGGAGTGTATGACTCTTGATCTTGGGGTTGTGAGTTCGAGCCCCATGTTGGGTGTAGAGGTTACTTAAAAATAAAATCTTTAAATAAAAAAAAAAAGAATTTTATTAGATAAATAAATGCCTGAATTTAAAATATCAAGCAAAAACTGGCCAAAACAAAGGATCCAAATTGCAAACAAGTATCTACTCTGATTATAACAAATGAAATTGCTAAATAATACTATTTTTCAATTTACAGTTCAATTATACTATGGTACTTCAAACAAGCACAGGATTCTGAATAAATACTAAAATGGGAAACACCACTAACACCTAAGAATTCATTTATTTTACTTCATTATTTTCTTGTACTTCCTTTTGATGTCAGTGGTTCCCAACCTTTAACCAAGAACACATTCTTTATTTAATTTCCTGTGTTTTAAAAGTTTCCATCTACTACTATGCATGTACTACTAATTCACTTCTCCCATTTATTAATCAAACATATACAGAACCAACAAGAAATTACAATCAAAATGAGTTAATTAACATAAGCATCCTAAATTTATAAAATTACAACCTAATACAAAACCTTCCATTTTAGCCTATGAAACCTTCCAGGCATTTCATTTTGCTTTTGGAAGTCCCACTTACAAGCTTCCATGAACACAGTCTGCCCCTACTTAATTCTGTGCTTTACTTCATTCAAGACAGGAAATCTGACGAATGCAGTAACGGGCAGCATTCCTAGATGAGCACAGGTAGCAATTATTCTGTGACACGCAAAGCACTGTGTGACAATTTGACTGGAGGAAAGGGCTACTTATGTTTTCCATAAGCCTTTCCTAATGCCTAAAGATGGTCACCAAACATGAGTGGAAAATGTCTATCCTCTTTACATACCTACTGAGAGAACATGCCAATGACACGATCAAAAGTGGACAGAGGTAATGATGTAATGTATGGTGATTAACATAACATAATAAAGGGCGCCTGAGTGGCTCAGTTGGTTAAAGCGACTGCCTTTGGCTCAGGTCATGATCCTGGAGTCCCGGGATCTAGTCCCGCATCGGGCTCCCTGCTCAGCAGGGAGTCTGCTTCTCCCTCTGACCCTCCTCCCTCTCATGCTCTCTGTCTCTCATTCTCTCGCTCTCAAATAAATAAAAATAAAATCTTTAAAAAAAATAAATAAATAACATAATAAAAAAAAAGTGGACAGAGGATAACTAACTGTTCAAGTAAGTATAAATATCTATGCTGTTAAAAGGCAATAATCTTCCAATAATCTTCGGGAATCATTTTTGAGATCCTCATTTCTAAGCAGTAGTGTATGAGGTTACCAAGTAAAAATATTACCTACTTCAGAGAAAATATAAATTAGAGAGAATATATTACTAAAAATGATAGTTATCCTCCCTGAGAATGTTTTCGTGAAAGGTTTGAAATGTGAATAATTAATATAAAGAAACAAGCAATTGATTGTGCATGCAGAACTCATGAACATGTATTACATAACTTTTACCACTTTCCTATTCCAAAATCGAAAAGGACAATAGAGATATCTAACAGGGTACATATTTTTAAAAGGTGATCTTTATCTAAATATTCAAATATTGATGAATTACACACACAGGAAAAAAATACAAGAATAAAATATACAATTTTTTATTTTAGTAGTTAAAATATTGCCCTTCTTAGGTGTAACCTCCAAAATTTAATCTGATTTTTTTAAATAAAGACATTAATAGGTATAAAATTCAATACCATCTCTTTCCTCTGTGCTTTGTTCTACAAAACTGATATCAAAGCAGTACAGAAGAGCCATAAGAAGAGCCAGATTCACGGCATCCAACGAGCCATTAGCCTCAACTGTCACTTTTTCCAAATGTCCAATAAGAAGCAGAGTGTCATCTTTGCCTAAAGGTGACTGACAAGCCCAGGCAAAAAGGCTTTCTGCCAGAGACTGCCTGCACTCCTTGATGAGATCAGAAACCTAGAGATAAAAATGTATGATTATCAGTATACATAAATCACAGTGAAGCCTCGTCTTATTCCAAAAAGTAAACCACCTTTTACAAAGCTAACTAACTAAATAAATCTGTCTGAATCCACAAGTAACCCTAAAATCTCACCTCTAGAATTCTAAACAAACCCTACTGTTAATTCCTCATTTTAAGTTCCAAGCTCCTTTATGTAATGAAGGAGCTTGGAACTTACATTAATTCCTTGGAACTTCATGTAATTCCTTCAAGAGTTCATTCCAGAAAAAGAGCTACAAAAGCACATAAGTGACTAGAAAGAAGTGAAAACAGCTGAAAGTCAATTTTGGATAGAGATGCCTATACATTTCAATGGACATTAGCAATTTTCCTATGCCTGTGTTAGAATGTTCTAAATGCCATGACTTTTCTGCCTGAGAAACGACACAGACGACCCATGAACTGATCTCATTGAACCCTTGCCTCTTTTCGGTGTTTTTCACTGCCCAAACCTCTCTCCCGCTGTAGTTTCTCAAACTCATTGTTCACATCAATCTGTGACACCAGAGTAAGGACTTTATAAGTCAATCCTTGCTCCATCAGCTCCTCTGTAAAGCGGGTTGTCATGGAAACCAGCTCTGGACTGTAATGAAAAGAAATCAATGGAGAAAGTTACAATGAACAGTCACGTCTACACTTCATCATACAGATACAGCAAGTGGTCTTGACAATAATGTTTCATTACTGGAAAAAAAAACAGGATGAATTGTAACTCAGCTCTTTTCATCCTTGCTAGGTAATTAGGCGTCAATAAACTTCTAACCATAAATAATTATTTTTTATTTGTAAACAAAACAAAGCAGCTTTAATTTGTCATTCTTTGCAGAATACTCAGTTATGTTACATATTTTATTTAAATTATACATACTAAAAGGAGAAATTTTTGTTATTTCTAATAATTAAAATAACAATTCGACAAGTAATTTCCAAAAACGCCCTGAAATCCAAAGAAGCAAACAGACCTGAGTTCGAGGGTCCATGTTTTTCCTCGTCTGGACTGTATCAAGGCTTTCAGGGAGTTTGCAATGCACCGTTTTCCATCCCAGTATAAAAGAACAGCTACTAATCCTCTGGTGAGACCAGGAAAATGTGGCTGTTGGTGCTCTCCTAGATAGGGGAGTTGAGAAATAATTTAGTAAATATGTGTTTAGGAGGAGACAAAAAATTACTATACCAATGTTCAGTTCAAAGAAATCACAGAATCTCAGGGTTCAAGGGGTCCTCTGGTCCTCTACTCGAAACACCCATCTGCTGTTTTCCTCCTCCCACATCCTCAAGAGGCCATCCAATTTGTGCTGGAACACCAGCACTCACATGGAACTCACCATTTCCCAAACTCTCAACCTCACCTTTATCCACGATTTCCAGATGCTGGTCTCACTGCGGTCCACTGAGTCTAATAATATTTAATGCCCATTTCCCCCTCTTTCACATGAAGTCTTTCAAATGTTTAGAAGTTTCTTCCCCTAGAGTTTTCTCTGAAAAGTAAATAACCCAATTCCTATGTTTCTAGTTCAGTCGCCCTTTCAACTGCTCTCCTTTGAATAAGTTCCACTTTTGTTTTTTTTTAGTTTTGGTCCAATTTCCTAAGGCTGGTTGTCTTCTCCCCAAAGTCCAATCACTCCACTCTCTCCTGTCCCCAAATTCATCTTGCGGCTCACACCTCTGCACAGGCCATTCCTCGTACCTGGACGCCTTTTGTCCTCCTGAGTGCACACCTATTCCATGTGACATGTGCCTACTCATATTTCAACACCTAGTTCAGGCCTCATGAGCTTTGTGAAGACTTCTCTGTACACCCTGAGGTCACTTTAATCCCCTTGCCTCTGGACCATCACTAAATCTTGCATAAACTGGCATTAATGCACTTTAATGTATAATTACCTGTCTCCATATTTTTCTCAATTACTAGACTATGAGCTCCTTTACACTAGTTGAAGTTTTGTTCGTGTTTCTATCCCTGGAGTCTTACCACAGTGCCTGGCCCATGATAAAAATAAAATAAATGTTTGTTAAATGCAAGTTCTGAGTTAAACTAAAAACTCAAAGCCTATCCAGTTAACATTTCCGCAATAGAGTGGGAAAACTACCTTCCTACTTCTCAGTATTATACTTCTTTTAATGCAGCTTAGGTCAAAAAGGATTTTGGAAGCCACGTGATATCTTTAAACATAGGAGACTTTCTTGGGGCACCTGGGCGGCTCAGTCAGTTAAGTGCCCAACTCAGGTTTTGGCTCAGGTCGTGATCTCATGGATCATGGGATCAAGCCTCTCGTGGGGCTCCGTGCTCAGTGCGGAGTCTGCTTGAGAGTCTCTCCCTCTGTCTGCCCCTCCCCAAACTCGCGTGCACACTCTCTCTCTTTATATGTAACTATTCTGCTTAATGCCCCTGTCAGCAACTTCCCATTGCAAAATAAAATCCAAGTAATTTTCTTTGCCTGCAAGACTAAATATACTCAGATTCCTGCTCTCTTCCTTAACTTCCCTCGCCCTCCCCCATCTTTGTGAGGCACCTGCATCTTTTTACCCATGGTCTCATTATTCTTTAGTGTGCCTCTGGCCTCACCTCAAGCACTTGCTGTTTGCTCTGCCTGGGTCACCCTTCTCCAACAACTCTGGCACCTTGTCATCATGCAGGTCTCAGGTCAAATGTCCCAGAGAAGCCTTCCTTAAGTATCCTATTTAGAGTTGCCCCCTAAAAGCCCCCATCTCTCTATATCACATAGTTTTATTTTCTTCCTCATACTCAGTATTACTAAAATTATCTTATTTCTAACCTATTATCTGAATCACCTCCTCAAAAAGAACTCCAAAAAAGCGGTGAACTTACTTTCTTACTCATTACATGACAATAAATTCTTTGTGCTATAAAATTTGTGAGATGCTGCCAATGATTCTTTGCTAGTAAATTACCATGTAAAAGCCTATTTTAAAACAGTTAAATTACCTTTAACAATTCCAATCACTAAAGCCCTCCCATTAATCAAAGATAAACAGAAGGAGATATTTTGAGTATGGTATTTCAACTAAACTACTTTGGAATCTGAATGATAACAACCCTTTAAACACTGAGGGAATGACTTTATAATTCTGTACTATCTTACCACAGATTCACTTAAATGTCAACCTACCAGCAAGGAGAAGCTCAACAGCTGCCAATTCTCCAATATCAAAAAGGTCACTAAGGATAAAGGCCTCTTTAATGAGCTGTTCAGGAAGAAGTCGGGTTCCCTGTTGACCCTGGATAGCGACTCCCTCTGTACTGGCTTTCTGAACCTTCTCGTGTTGTTGGACATTTTTTGGCTACAATGGTAAAAATAAATAAAATCATGGAATGAAAATAGTATACTGGAGACAAGGTCTTAAATTATTACCTAGAGAAGTTAATTCATGATAAGGCAGACAGCTAACATGATGGAAGAAGTACTGCTTATCAGACAATCTACAATTAGACCTTTATGACATGACACTTCCTATTACCTTCAACACTTATGCTGTTACTATCTTCTCAATAACTGCTTCTGCTAAACTCTGAAATACAAAATGTTGAGAAAGCACACAAAACAGTACACTATTTTTCAAATTTGTAAGGAACGTTTCTAATTATATATTTCATAAATAAAAACACAAGGCCTGCAAGTGGGAAATAACAAATGGATATATGAATTGTTGAATCAGTTAGGAGGACTAAGGATAGTTTGTTAATATATTATGTAAAATGCAGTCTTATTCACAAAAGTCTTACTTGATTCAAATATTTAACAAATGACATACAGTATAGAATTACTTGATGGATCATAAAATTTCAGAAATTTACATTTTATAAAAGGCCACATCGGTCATTTAATCCAACTCTACTATTAGCAGATGGAAAAGCGGGCGCCTGGGTGAGGCAGTCAGTTAAGCGTCCAACTCTTAGTTTCGGCTCAGGTTGCAATCTCAGGGTCATGAGATCAAGCTCTGCACTGCGCTCCACCCTTAGTGTGGATCTACTTCAGATTCTCTCTCCCCCTCCTTCTGCCCCTCCTGCTCCTGCTTACTCGCTCGCTCGCTCTCTCTCTATAAAAAAATTAAATCTTTGAAACAAAAAAAAACCAAACAGATGGAAAAGCTAATGCCCAGATAAGTCAGGTGACATCCCTGTGCACATACAACTCTAGTGGTAGAGCCAAGACTGGAACTCAGCTCAACTGGCTCCCAGGCTACAGCTCTTTCTACTAAAGACAGCAAGGGAAAAAAATAAAAATAAAAAAGCTAAAAAGCAAAAGGCCATTTCTGGTAAGACAAACAGTTCTTAGATAGTCTTGTTAGTCTATAAGAGAAAATTATCAAACAGCAAGAAAAGGAATTTCCAAATATAAATTCCCTCCACTGAAGTACTCAATTCCTGGTTGAAAAGGATTTCAAGATGCAGTGATTAATGACACGCAAGAATAAATTAGTTCAGCTAATACAACTTACATAACATTATGAAGAGTTAAAATGTTGAAAATGTACCTGGAAATAAACAAAATAATCAATCTTACTGAGCTTAGATATATTAACTATCGGTCAGAAGTTCCAAGGAGGCTCGTATTTCTGGAATATACTAAATCTTCTACATCACATTCAAATATTACTAAGATATCTCCTGGCTAGAGATTACAGTATTAGCATCTGTGGAGAACAGAAAGGTAATAACTGCTTCTAGGAAAAATTACACTCGTAAAGAAAACTTGAGTCAAGGACTAGGACAAGTAGTATATTTCATTCACATGCATTAAAAACGTAGTTGCTCTCTAATCTTTAAAAAAACAAAAAAAAAAAACATATCCAAGAAGCAAAAAAGAAAATTTCCTACTGGGTTTCTGAACAATGAGATGAAGTCAGGTTTGTGTTTCTTCAAAATCATGTCAAGAAGGTGGACAGCTTCAGGTTGTCTTCTCCAAAGGGCATTTCCCACTGTTTGCCAAATGTCTTTGTAAGGACCCCAGAGGCTGGCAGCTTCAAGAAAAAACAAACAAAACAAGCATCAGATAAAACACACGTGTGGAAAACAACATTAGGTTACTGTCCACACATTTCAGTCATGCTCACCATACCTACTTCAAAATATACAGGGTTATACCTACAAACCAAACATTAATATAAAAGCATACATATCAGGTTTCTCAAGCAACAATAAAAACATTATTTTACTTAATATAACATAAAGTAAATCCTAACTTTAAACTGGAATATCTGCCATGGTTTTGCCACTCTTTTAGATGTGTGACATGGAGCAAGGAAATAACCTCTTAAACTTCAGTTTCTGTGCATAAGTAATAGAGAAATCATCTATATCATAGGGTTGGATTGATTCAATGATATAAACCAGGTGAGACACAAGACAGTGCCTGGCATACTGCAGGCACTCAGTAAATGTAGGTGCTTCCTATCCTCCCCACCATCCAAGTAAAAGCAGGAGCAGGGGCAAAAGATTAGATTTTGTAAAACTTAGCAGCTGAAAAAAAGCACTTTATTGTGGCTGGGACACTAGCTATTAAAAATCAACATAGAAATATGGAACACTTCTATAAATTTATATAAAAAGGATCACATTTTGATTTGTAAAAGTAATAACAGTAAGTAATACTGAGCTTTTGCTATGGTTCTAAGCTCTTCACACATATTATTTTATTTCAGAACACTATGAGGTCAGCACTATGTCTTCCTCCATTTTATAGATATGGAAACTGAGGCAGAGAGGTCAAGAAACTCACCCAAGGCCACACTGGATAGGTGAGTCATGAACCCAGGCAGTTTCTCATCAGAATGTGCCTTAACTGCTAAACTACATTGTCTCTATACATAATACTTGGAAAACGAAAATGTTTGGGATAAATACAGGTATTTCTGACATATCTATTAAGTGAAGAAATTAAGATCACATCTAGACATACCTAGGCAAATTCAACTAAACTCAGCCAAATTCACTTATCTAAAAATGTTTTAAGCCCTTAACAATAAAATATTACAGAGGATAAGAGAAACAATCTGGTCTTTAAAAACTCACATCAAGTTTTGGAGACAAAGCATACTTCAGTGAAAAATTTTAGTAACAATACAAAAAAGGGAACATGATTGTTGCCACAAAAAATAAATAAGGATTTCAAAAGACAAAACGATGGTCAAGAATTTCTAAGGGATGACTACACCTGTGCAGCAATTTGGGGAAAATCTGGGTGACAAAGAGCAGCCAAGGGAAAGTGGGAGCTAAGGCTCAAAGACAGGTGTGAAAGTGTAAAAGAGAATTCAAAGAGCCATAGTGATGTTAAAAGAGTTGTGACTTCCAAACTTTTTTGACTATAACCCACGGTAAGAAATATTCTGTATCTCAATCTAGTACCCACTTATATGCAAAACTGAAAAGTTGTATATAAAGTACTAATATTCATTCATTGTATCAATGCACTCCAAGATTTTGTATCCTGTTCACTATTTTATTCACTATATAAATTCACTATATTTATTTTAGACCCACTGTTTGAATAACACTCCCTGAAGACCCAAGTTTGTTTGCAAACAATCAAATATGGTACCGATATGTGTTTATAAAGACTCTGAAAGGGAAACTAGTCAAAACCAATCAGTCTAGGTGCCAGGGTGGCTTGGTCGGTTAAGCATCTGCCTTCGGCTCAGGTCATGATCCCGGGGTCTGGGATCGAGCCCCGCAAAGGGCTCCCTGCTCAGCGGGGAATCTGCTTCTCCCTCTCCCTCTGCTGCCACTCTGCCTACTTGTGCTATCTCTCTGTCAAATAAATAAATAAAATCTTTAAAAAAACAAAAAACAAACAAACAAAAAATACCAATCAGTCATTCCAGAAACTTGGAACTTATCTACAGCCTAAACTGTTAAGGGTGGTGTGTAAACATGCTTAACTGCTATCTGAGAAAACACAAATCCAAAGAAACCTACCAGGGCAGGCAGGGCACACTCTGCTGAGCATGGAGTCTACTTGAGACTCTCTCTCTCCCTCTCCCTGCCCCTCCCTCCTGTCCCCCCTCTCATGTGTACACTATCTCTCTCTCTAAGAAGAAAAAAAAAAAAGAATAAAAAATAAACCTACCAGTGCAGTAAGATGGCATGATAATGTAACCTAATTAAATGTGTTAAATGTTCATTGTCCTATGAATAATGCTGTCAGAAAAAGGCAATGCACTGGGAAAAATTTTTTAAGGGGGAATGTGCTGGGAGAGGACAGACTAAACTAGTCAAACCAGATCATTTATTCACTCAACAAGTATTTACTGAGGGCTTTCTATGTGCCAGGGACTATTGACCAAGCAAGACAAACAGGATCCCAGTCCTCACAGAACTTAGAGATTGACACAGAGAAAGTCATTAAACATAGAATTCAGAAAATAATTACCAATATAATAAAAGACAGTGGAGAAGTACAGAGTGCTAGGAGAACATATAAAAGGGAGAACCTAGTCTAACCTAATCTGAAGATCAGGGCAGGAAGCTATAGGTCTTTGGTGTGGGGATGTGGGAGATGGGAATCAGCAGGTCTAGACCTCACATAAACAGCAGTCTACTCCCTGCTTTTCTTTCATTCTTGCCAATTTTCTGAGTAAAAAATATAGCTTGTCATATAAATTTCTAGAGTAAAAAAAACCAACATGAGTACCAGTGCAGATATACTTCCCATTAAAGATCAATAAATTGAAATACTGGTTTACCTATCTGTCTTTTGAGTCTCATTAAAGAAAATCAATTGCTAGGATCCAATCAACTCTGGATATACTAAGAGCCCGCCAAAATGAGAACCTAACCCCTAGATCCTGCTGATTGCCAGTGAGGTACTGGTTGGATGCTAACTAGCTAATTTCCCTAGAGATCATTTTCTTGGCCTTCTCTAACTGCAAAGGATAGAGCAGGTTTGAGTCCTGGATTCCAGGCCAAGATGGAATTTTTCCTATTAGTAAATAGGAAAGTCTCAAGTAGTAGATGACAAAATGAAATTGGTACTATAGGGCAATGGTGTGGTTGCTGGACTAAATAGAACCACAGAAGTGTCAGGAACCTAGGATGACAGGTTAAGTAAGCCGCTAATACGGTGATAGAACCTAAAGGAGGATGAGGGCAGTAAAATGACAAGAAAAGGCCTGTTAGTAGAAAAGAGCCCAAACTAGCAACTGACTGGCACAGGGTACAAAAGAAAGGTATCAAGGGGAGCCTGGCTGGCTCAGTCGGTACAGCATGTGACTCTTGATGTCAGAGTTATGAGTTCAAGCCATACACTGGGTGTAGAGAATCTTAAAAAGAAAAAAGAAAGAAAGGTATCAAACAACTTCTAGGCAAATCTGAAACTTGCCTTACACAGGTATTTAAAAATTCTGAGAAAGAGCTGACAAAAGTAAATTCTCTTCTTTAACAGTAACAATATATTGAGGCACCTGGGTGGCTCAGTTGGTTAATCGTCCAACTCTTGATTTCAGCTCAGGTCAGGATCTCAGAATCGAGGGACTGAGCCCTGAGTGCACCTCCGCACTCAGCACGGAGTCGGCTTGGGATTCTCTCTCTCCCTCTACCCCTCCCCCCGCCCCCCCACAGGCATGCACACTCTCAAATAAAAATAAATAAATCTTTAAAAAAATAAATAAAAGTAACAATATACAACAGAACCTCTGAAGAACCAATAAATTTCTTTGTATTAAACATACTTAGCATTATAAGCTGAATGAGTTATAGAGAAAAATTCTATTTCCCCCCCTTTTATGAAGCTGAGAGGCATCCAGTAACTAGTCAAAAATCTACCAAAAACCCCATGTATCCTGGTATCCTTAGTCTATTATTAACATCAACACAACACATAGTTAATTGCAACAAAGAGTTTTCATTGGTTGGCTAATTTTCATAAATATCTTTCTGTGATTACAAATGAAAAAAGGCTATAAATTCTTCCAAATTACTAAATATGTTTAACATAAGTGATCTCATTTGAGAAATATATTTTCTTTAATGTTTAGGAATACCTCCAGCAAATCACATTCATTCACTCATTTATCATGTACTCGGTACTGGTGAGCTTACAGTGCAGTGACAAAACACAGTAATTATATAGTCAGACGTAAGGGTAATATCCAACTTGACAAGTGCTATGAAGGAGAGGTACCCAGGGCAAGAGATTACAGAATCGGGGAATACAACCAAGTCAAGGAGGTCAGGGAAGAGAAGGATTCCTTGAGGAAGTGATCATTAGTTGAAGTCTGAAGGATCAAGAATGGAGTTAACTGAAGGGAGGAGGGGAGAACATACATCCAGGAAGAGAGGACAGCACCAAGGGTTCCCATGGGAAGAGGGAACACTGCCCTCTTAAAGAACTGAAAAAGCCAAGAGCGCTAGAGTACAGGAAATAAGGGTTTGGTAAGGAGGCAACTGGCATAGCAAGCAGGGCTCCCTAACCCATATTAAAGATTTTGGTCTTTGCCCTAAAAGATCAAACAAGATAAAGATTTTTAAAGTCTGAGGTACTTAATGAAATAGAAAAGCACATTTACCTTACTGAAAGCTGTTTAAGAGGATGGGAAGAGACTAGAGTGGGTAGAGCAAGAAAAGGTATGGAAATGGTACCAGTGTATACTGACAAATCTTTTGAAAGGTTTGACTGTGAAGAGAAGCAAAAGGATAGTAACTGGGACATGAGATCAAGATCAAAAGGGGAGGTTAGTGGAAAGAAAAGAGAGAGGTGAATATAGGAGAGGGAGGGGATAGTAGGGAGAAGGGCATAAAGGGTGGGAGGAGGGCATAAAGGGTGGGATTTAACTTAGACACAGGGAAACTGGTTAAAAAGAGTATAGATACATGTAGGTTTAAAGTTTTTAGGGTGAAAAAAGAGAGTGCATGCCTACTGGCTCTTATTCTTCTCTATGACTAGGAGGCTGAGGGATCAGTTACAAGTTAAAGTTTTGAGGAGTTGTGGAAAAAGTCTGAAACAGTCTTTTCAGGACAGGGGTGAAGAGGACAGGGGTGACAAGACTACTGTGAACAGGACAGGGGTGACAAGACTGCCACAGAAAGCCTGCTAACCACTGTCAATGGTTGCTTACTAACAAGCCTGTAGGTCTACTCGGCTGGAATGATACAGGTCACAATACCAGTAAATCACGCAGCTGAAACTCAAGCAAAGGTCTTAGAATCTACAACCTCTATTTTTCCCTGTCCACAACTATAAGATGTTTGTTTGTTTATTTGTTTGAATTGTGGTAAAAACAACAACACAGAATTTGCTATCTTAAACATTGTTAAGTGTAGAGTTCAGTAATGTTAAGTGCATTCACATTGTTGCACAACAGATGTCCAGAACTTTTTCATCTTGCACAATGGAAACTCTGTACCCATTCACTGAACAACTCTCCATTTCTCCCTTCCCTCACGCAACCAACATTCTTTGTTTCTGAGTTTGACTACTTTAGGTATCAAATATAAGTGGAATCATTCAGTATTTATCTTTTTCTGACTGGCTTACTTCACTTAGCACAATGTCCTCAAGGTCTATCTATGTTGTAGCGTATGACAGGATTTCCTTCCTAAGGCCAAATAATATCCCACTGTATGTATATACTACATTTTGTTTATCCACTCATCCATCTATGGTCCTTTGGGCTGCTACCCTAGGATGTTTAATTAAATATACATATATTCTCCTGACTCAGCTGTGAAAAATGTTTCCTTTCTATGTTATTAATTAAACACTCCTGTCACAAGGCCTTATTATACAATGTATACTCTTTGCAGTTGTTGGTAACTCCCTTTCCTTGTTCCTTCAATGATTTATGTTTAATGATAGTAACTTGGGATATGTACTAAAGAACAGTAATATAACCACACATATAATATGCAAGCCTTGTTTTTAAGATTATATGTGGTTAGGAGACGAGGACAGAAATATTTAGAACATAACTTCATGAGCAGCATTCATATATATGAAAATTTGATGTAATAAAACGAATTAGGTTGTGCTTAAGTAGTTTAAGCACCTAAGACTGGTTTACAATCATTAGGTGTATAAACTTGGGGATGTTACTTAACTACCCTAAGCCTTTATTTCCCAATCTGTAGACTGGGGTACTTAACAGCAGCTACTCCATAGGTGTACAAAGGGGATTAAATGAGATAATGCAAGTACAACACTTAGTCCAATGCCTGGGACATACCAGATGCTCAATAAACATAATCCTTCATCATTATAAAATAATTTGTGAGTGTTCCTGAAATGGGTTGATTTGCAAAATTCAGATTTAGCAACTTTACAAGAATATGAGTCCTGTGGAAAGCAGAACCAGCACTCCCACCCCCCAACCCCCCCCAAAAAAAGACTACATAGAGAAAGGAGGGAAAAAATTGCCCAGTAAATATTACTCTTGAGTGAGATTCTCTACTAACATTTACCACACAGACATGCTCTTTAAATTGAATCTAAGAAGCTAACCGCACCTCATTCTGAGCAGGAATACTCCGTTTTCGAGACCATTCTGCCCTGTGCAGGACTTTTGGCATCTTTGCCCCGCCCATTAGGCGCCAGGAATTGTGACAATCAAAATGCACCCACTCTTTCAAAAGCCTCTGGGAACGGTACCGCCCAAGGTTGAGAATCACCAAAAGAGAACCCACCCCAAATCCTCTAGAGTCCTTCAACTACCTTCTTGGTTCTACCCTGCCCGGAAGATCTACCACTCCAAAGGCAGAGTATACAGGGACGCGCCACATGCGCAGAGCTCAAGAGTCATCGGCTGAGCCAGTGGCACCGCCTCCCCAGCCACCTTCCAGGTTGCAGGCTTCATAATCAAAGATATTCGCTTCCTACAAGACCGCCCAAAATCCATAAGGGACTGCGCTACCTACTCTGAGGTGCGAGTTTTCAGCCTACGCTTGTAGCTAAAAATTATCTCGGGTCCTCTGGCCTCACTGCCGGAGACCTGTGTATCTTGACGAAATCCGGGCCAAAGACACATCCTGGGGTGGGGAGTTGAAGGGACCAAGCTCAGCCCCTGGCTGCAAGAGACTGCACGCCCGGTTCCAGGGGACCAAGCCTCCGTGCCTCCACCCCAACTCCAGGGCTAGAGCTGCAGCGCCGACGCGCGCCATTCAAACTGGGGAGGGGTGGGACTCTAGGCCCAGAGCTAGGGAAAAGCAAGCACGATACAGAAGTGAAGGCCTGGACTGCGAGGAGCCTCACAGTCCGGGTCTCTCCCTAAAGAACCAACCATCGCCCTGCCCGACTGTTTCCTTTCTGCCCCGGCCGCCCTTACCCGAATTTACCGCCAACAGCGTCGCCATCTTGGAGGCGCACTAACGGAGCCCTCCTGTCGCACGGAAGCCCCAGAAAAGGATGAGGCTGCCCGAAGCCATGCCTGAACGGAAAGGTCCCACCCTGTCTCGGAATGGCACTCTCGACTGACTCAGGCAGACAAAGACTTGAAAATCTGCCGTAGGTCACAGATGTCAATTTTCGCCGCGATATTCTCATTCAAATTAGGCAAGGGCAACCAGCAAGGAGATGCGAGGTCCTCGATATGACGTTAGTCGTGCAGTGCATTCTGGGCCTTGTAGTTTCTATTTAATGATGAGTGAAGTTCAGGGGAACGATAAGACAACGAGACTAATTATTGAAATTATGGCTATTTATGATATTATAAAAGCCATAAATAAATTGAAGTCATTATCTCCATGTCAAATTAAACCTTCCTTGCATTCCTCTCTTTGAGGAGTGGAGTGGGGTGTAAGGTATATAAATCCTAAAAAGCCATTTATCAGTTATAAACTAAGTTTTCATTATATTTCAATATACCAAGTGTGTTGCGTCAACATAGTTGCATAGATTGAAACAAATCAAAGTGAAACAAATCATAACTTTTTATTATGACACTTTCATATGTATACAAAAGTAGAATAATGAATGCTCAGCTTCAATCACATGGCCAATTCCTGTACTCCACCCCTAAACTCCAGGGGAGATTATTTTGAAGAAATATCCAGACATATCATCTCATAAATACCTAATATTTTTCTACCTAAGCACCCCCAAATAGCTGGATTTTTTTTTTTTTTTTTTTTAGATTTATTTATTTGAAAGAGAGAGAGAGAAAGCATGAGTGGGGGGGGGGGGAGCAGAGGGAGAAGGGGAAGGCAACACCAGGCTGAGCAGAACCAACATGGGGCTTGATCCCAGGACCTGGAGATCATGACCCCAGCCAAAGGCAGACCCTTAACTGACTGAGCAACCCAGGGCCCCCAAATAGCTGGATCTTCTTTTTTTAGTTACTAAATTTTAGTTTGCTAATTTTCAAACTAAAATATAAAGAGTCATTACCATTTACTATCATATGCCAGATGTTCATTACAAATTTGACATTATTGGACAATGCAATAATTATTATGTTGTCTCATTTAATCCCTAAAACAACCCTATTAGGAAAATGATGTTAATTATAGCTACTTATCTCAGAGATGTTCCCTGTGCCTTACAATCTCAATTTATCAACTCCAACATTCCACTGAGGTTGGGAGGAGATAAGAGTTTATATTTCTACTTCATTGTTGGAAATCAGAATTACATAATTTAGACACAATCAGAGCAGGCATGTTCATTCTTTTGAACAAACAGTATTGAGTGACACAATGTACATTAGGTGGAACACAGAAGTCTTTGGAGATTTTTTTTGAAAGTCATTGTTTTATAGACACAAATGCCAGACTACCATGAAAGTGGTTTTAAGGAGTGAAGGGGAAGAGAAAATGAAAAGGCAAAGCAACATTTCCTGAAGTTTAGCATGAAAGGGAGAAAAATATTGAGCAGAAACTTGGCAGAGAGTGGCATTTAAAGATTTTCTTTCTCAGGACAACTATTACAAACCCTCCTTCCCTCCACCCCTGCAGGCCCACACACTTCCCTCTCAGCAGATTACTTTGCTTTCTATGAAGGAACACTTAAACTTCCTGCCACTCTCCCTCATCCATCACATTTACAAGGATTCCTCAATCCATAGCAATTGAGATATTGCCATCACAACTCCCTTAAAACTGCTCTCAGGATGGTCACTAATGACCAATTGTCAACCCCATCAGCACTTTTCTGAATTTCTTAGAAATTCTTTTCCCCCTTGACTTGTGGTGCACCATCCTTGTTGGTTTTCTAGTTCTTAAGTTTCCTGTATGACTTCTCTTCCTCCTCTCACCCATTAAATGTAGGTCTTTCCTTTGGGTCTCTATTTATTCATTCTACTTGCTTTCTCTAGGAAATCTTACTGCTTCCTATTACCCCCTGTTTGCTGATGAATTCTCTATTTGAATCTCTAGTCCAGTCCTTTCTCCTGGGCTTCAGATTTGCATATCCAGCATGTCTACTCCACATGTCTATTGATCATCACACAGTCATCTCAGAATCACTTAATTAATTAACCCCAAACTTAAATTAGCACTTTCCGGGGTGCCTGGGTGGCTCGGTTGGTTAAGCATCTGCCTTCGGCTCGGGTCATGATCCCAGGGTCCTGGGATCGAGCCCCACATCAGGCTCCCTGCTCGTCAGGAAGCCTGCTTCTCCCTCTCCCACTCCCCTTGTTTGTGTTCCCTCTCTTGCTGCGTCTCTCTCTGTCAAATAAATAAATAAATAAATAAATAATAGCACTTTCCTCCTAAAATTCTGCCACCTGTATCCACCCAATTGCCAAAGTCAGAAATCTGGGAGTCATTCTATATGCTTCCTTCAACAGCCAAATCCTACTCATTCTATCTCATAGATATTTCTAGAACCCTTTTTCTTTGCTCTGTTCCCTATGTCATTGTTCTCTTCAGGTCAAGCTTCTTTTAACTTGTATTTTGCAATAGCCTCTCATAGGTCTTCTTGATTTCCATCTCATCCTCCTCTCATGGACCCCAAAGTCATTTTTCTTTTTTTTTTTTAGGATTTATTTACTTATCTGAGAGAGAGAGCACATGCGCACATGCATGTGTACGAGTTGGGGGAGAGGCCAAGGGAGAGAATCTCAAGCAGACTCCCCATGCAGGGCTCCATCCCATGACCCATGAGATCATGACTTGAGCCGAAATCACAAGTAGGATGCTTAACAGACTGAGCCACCCAGGTACCCTCCCAAAGTGATTTCCAAATACACAAATCAGATCCTGTACTTGCCCTGATCAAAATTCATCAATGAGCTCTCACCCAAAAGTAATATTTGAAAACTTCTTAGCAAGGAACTCATGCCACTTCCTGATCTGGTTCAGCCTCCTTCTTCAACCTCCTCACCCTCACTCTTCTCACGCAGTCATATCTTTTTGCTGATCTTTCTGAGCTATTTTCTATTCCCCAAGTACAACATACTTTCTTGTACTGTGTATGAATGAATGTCTTTGCACCTGTTTTTCTATATGCCTGGAATGCCCTTCCATCCCTTCCCTAGCCTATTGACCACCCACGAAATCAACCTCCCAAATATAACCCATCTTCCAAGTCTGAGGGCCTGTGTTAATGCTGCCTCCCTGATGGTATCTTTGATTACTCCAACTAATTCAGGGGATTCTTTCCCTACATCCCTATTGTACTCTTAGCCATCCCTATTACAGCCCTACATACTGTGATGACTGTCTCTCCACTAAAACTGTTAGCTTCTTGTGGTAGACTGTTATTAAAAGGCCCCCAATGAATCACACATCCCTGAATTCAAGCTAGTGTGTAATCATATGCCACACTGAATCTGGGTGGGCCTTATGACTTGCTTGGGCCAAAAAAATGCAGTGGAAATGATGTTGGGCAAGTTCCAAGGACTGAAGAGGCAGTGCTGCTTCTGCTTTTCCTCTTTTGGCGCCCTGAACATCACATGAGGAGATCTGAGCTTGCCTCTTTGAAGATGAAAGACCATGAGGAGAGAAGCCTAGCCAGCCTCCAGCTGTTCCTATTATCCCAGCTGAGATGTCAGATATGAATAAGGCCATCTTGGATCCTCCAGGCCTAGCAGAGCCACCAGTTGACTGCAATTGGGTATGTAAGCCCAGCCCAAATTGCAAAATTGTGAGCAAGTGAACACCTAGTGTTTTAAGCTACAGTTTTGTGGTTTGTTATGCTCAAAAAACAACTGCTTTGGGGCATCTGGATGGCTCAGTCGGTGAAGCGTCCGACTCTTGATTTCAGCTCAGGTCATGATCTCAGGGTTGTGAGATCGAGACCCACATACTGGGAATGGAGCTTGCTTAAGATTCTCTCCCTCCCTCTCCCTCTGCCCCTCCCCCCCAAAACAAACAAACAAACACAAACAAAAAAACTGATTCACTCCAACAGCAACTCTGTCTTCTTATATTTAAGTTCCCTGCTCCTGCCACATCTCTGGCTTGCAAGTACAATTCAGAAAAAACAGTTTGCAGAGCTTGGTGCTTCCATGATCCACTGAAAGAAAGAGAGATGGAACATATGATTGTGGTTGACGGTTCAGACCCTAGAGCTTGGCTTCCTGGGCTCAAATTCTTTTAGCTGTGAAACCCTCCTTGGTGAATCAGTTTCCACATCTCTAAATGGGGATGATAATATTAGTACCTTCACAGAAGAATTTTTAAGAAACTTTTTGTAGGCACACCTGGGTGGCTCAGATGGTTAAGCGTCTGTCTTAGGCTCAGGTCATGGTCCGGGGGTCATGGGATTGAGCCCCACGTCCGGGCTCCCAGCTCAGCGGGGAATCTGCTTCTCCCTCTGCCTCTCCCTCTGCTTGTGCTCTCTCTATGTGTGTGTGTCTCTCTCTCCAATGAATAAATTTTAAAAATCTTAAAAAAAAAAAGAAGCTTTTTGTAAAGTGCTTAGAATGTGCTATATGAATGTTTGTTAAATAAAAATCAATTGTTTCTAAGGCAAAATAAGTGCTAAATGGAGGTATAGTAAATTACTTAAAACTAGTTTAGCCAAAAGTGCACTGCAGGGGCGCCTGGCTGGCTTGGTCGGTAGAACATAAGACTCTTGATCTCAGGATTGTGAGTTTGACCCCCCACGTTGGGTGTAGAGATTACTTAAAAAAATAAAACCTTAAAAAAAATAAAGTGTACTGCAGGGGCGCCTGGGTGCCTCAGTCTGTTTAAGCGTCTGCCTTCAGCTCAGGTCATGATCCCGGGGTCCTGGGATGGAGCCCTGCTTCAGGTTCCTGGCTCAGTGGGAAATCTGCTTCTCCCTCTCCCTCCCCCCCTCAAATAAATAAAAAAATCTTTTTAAAAAGTGTACTGTAAATGTGGAAGCATGCAGCAGTTAAACAATGTGTGGTTTCTCTGGGGTCAGGGGTAGGACTGCCCCAATCAGATTGATCCATTATTTGTAACTTGCCTCACTGCCCCTACTAGTTGAGTTTTAAATGTATACACAAAGTGCTTTGAGATCTTAAAATAAGGACAGTTATTTCTTATTTGGAGTCTGGGAAATGAAAATTAGGTA